TCAACTGAGGTAGATTTTCTTTTATATACTTAGCATCACGTGCACGCCCTCACACCGGTCACGAGGGTTCCTGATGAACTATCGTGGCATATGGCAAATGCGTTAAGCAACATCCTCTGCATTTGTCTCGTTCAAATTGTTGAATCAGGTATTGAGATATGAACGCATGCACATATTTATAAGTGAAGTAATCTTTATAGTTTCAGTTAGTTTAATTAATTCCCCTTTTAATTTCTCGATGAATGCCTGCGTAAGGAAGGGGAAATGAGATTGATATATTTACACGTAAACCACTATCACCTTCGCCGAATCTAAAATATCCCAACCTTGATCTCTCGATTCTCATTTGCACCCGTGGCAACAATCATAGCACAACTTAACCTTTATATATATATATATATATATATAACCCTTGCCAAGCTTTATGTCTTATTATAAGTTTGAAGCCGGTGCATGCATGCTCGAATGGCAATAATAGGGGCACGTAGCCAACTTAAATACTCAGAAAATCCTATCCGGAATGAATGAATTATATTAAATGGAATGGATAATGTTGCAATTAAACGATCTTGTATATGTTGACATTTCTTCGGCACGACTAGAAATTTTTCATCTCTTCTAATTCATGATTTTTTTTCTTCCATTCACTACTATCTCTCTCTCATACCTGTTTTGATTGCATCGTCAAATTCTAGTATTGAACTTTTTTAAAGCCATGAGATGTTTGGTATACGGAGGAAAAGAGGTAAAAACTAAAAATTACATTGAGAATGCATTAAAAATTATTAAAAGAGGTATATATTTAATAGTATTTTTAATAAATGATTTTTCAAGTATACATTTTTAATAAAATATAAAAAATAATAATTTTTTGTAAAAGTAAAACATTCAATATTATTAATATACATTGGATCATATAAATTTTTATTGTCTTATATTATACATTAAAAAATGTTTAATAAAAATTATTCTATTTTGATTTCTTAAAGAGTTAATATATCAATCCTTAAGAAATAGTAAACATGATGTTGCTCTTATTTTTAAAATTTTAATTTTTTTTTCCTTGTTAATTAATTAAACTCTGAAATTTTTTTGTGGTTGTTTTTTTTTATTTAGGATAGTTGAATGAAACATTTAAGGATTAGAGGAAAATGAGAGTATAATTGAGAATATAATGATTAATGAGTCTTACGTCTTTAAAATAAGAGATGAATATAAACATAAACTTTATCGTTTACAAAGACAAATAAGAAGGATGAAAATGATATTTTGTCTTTAAAATAAATAAAAAAACGACAAATGTAAATCAGGTCTCATAAAGCTGCGATTAGCAAACAAAAATAAAAAAAATATAAAAAGTATTTATGATGTCCAAATATAAAACTATTTAATATTTATTTTTGAAAATAATTAAGGATATTTAGATAGTGTGTTTGATGATTCTTAAATAGTATTCTCGTTAGCATAGCCTTGAAAAAACAATTCTTAGAACAAATAAGAATCTCTCAAGGTTTTGGAAGTTTTGTAATGATTGAACGGTGGTATGCAGTAGTTTTCTAATTAATTTGTAGACATATATTGACGTACCTTAATTATTACTAATATTGTTAAATTTCACCACCTCAAATGTGGTCCAAGTTAGACGAAGACAACACTATTATCAAATTTCACCAAGTCCAAGTTATACGAATACATTGCACATAAATTGATTTGCGTATTTAGTTTTGTTTAAGTGTTTTGTTCTTTTCTCTACCTACCGAAAATACAGAACATACAAATTGTTTTTCTTTGGGGGATATCACTACCCACAGGAGACAATATCAATTTTCACAAGCAAGGTGAAGCCAATCATTCACGACACAAATCTCTACACATCTCCTTCAAAGTTTAGTTGCATCTTGCCCCCATTGCGACACTTACGGGTGATTGTTTCGATTTTTAAGAATGCACACTTGGAAATGTTAAAGATATATATGTAACAGTGGGAGATATTTTAGGGTAGTTTATATGAAAATGTCTTTGTGTAGATTATATTTTTTGGATTTTTTTAAAGTTTAAATGGTAAGATTCATTATAATCTCACTTTCAAACTCGGTAGAATCATGTTTTTAAGTTCACTTTTTTTGGAAATATAATTTTGTAAACCTTGAAATTAATGTAACGTTTAGGAATACTCCTCCATCTTCAGAGCAAATTTCACCAGAGCCACTCTCACTGCTATATAAAACACGACTTACTTGTCTGCAAACCTTCCAACAAAAAAGGGTCCTACCTAATAGATCATATTCACATATCTGATCAGATACTATCCAAATTAGAAGAAAATAACTGTCTATTAACACGTATTTGTGAGCCTTTTATTTATTAGTTAACTGTAATTTACTTAAAAATAGTCAATTAAAAACACTATTAAATGAAATATAATACATTCCCTTCATTAGCTGCACAGTTAACTAATTTTCTTATCGATCTTTTATCACCAAAAAAAGTTGTTATTTTGACATTTGTAGCACCGTTTTTCTTTATCAGCCAACGAACAAAATAAACTATTTTGACCTTTATACGAGGAGTTTAAATTAAATAGAGGGCACTCAAAAAAGAAAAGAAAAAAAAGTTCCTGCATATTAACTCTATAAGTCAATTTCAAGATCTAATGCTTATCAAAATTTAGTGGTTATTGATTATTTGTCAACTTATTTTTTAATTACTTCCTTAGTTAGCTTACTAGGTTAATAAGAGCTCTCTTTAGATCGACAACCAATGGAGAAAGCTACCAAGTACACTTGGTGGAGTCTTGTCCACCATGGAACATGTTTTTTTTCTCTCTCTCTTCTGAGCTACGCTGCGAAATTGCGAATACAACATCAAGGTACAAATGTTTGGATATGTTGGGATAATGATGGTGAAATGAAATAGAAAGCTGGAACAAAATGATATGAAAGTAATAACATAAAATAAAAAGGCAATGCTATTGTGTCATTTTACTAATGTCTGTTATAAAGGGATCAAAATTTTATTTTATTATCTGAAAAGTTGACAAAATAATAAGTTACAATTTTGTTAGTATAGTTTTACTTCACCCTTCTTAAATTAAAACAAACCTTTATGATTATGTATATATGAAGTATTAGAGTAGTAGTCTTTCTAGATAAATAAAGAAAGGTAACAATTCATTTGCAGCTGAAAAAAAGAAAAAAAGAAAAAAGACAATGAAGATAAGATGGCATAGGGTTAAGCAGGAAATGCCACTTGACCCGGCTCTGCACCATTGCTTTGAAATCTAAGATAGATAGATAGATAGACTTCCTATTATTTTATCTGAATGTATATGCAATATGCAGATGAGGCTGCCACGTGTCGTGTTGTGGAAAGAGCCTGATCCAATTAAAAAAAAATCTCATGTTTTATGATATATAGTTTCTGGTAAAGGTATTATGGTATATAGTTAAGTAATTATTTCTATTAAAACCTTTAGCCGAAAATTAAACTATCAATTATTTCTAATCATCGTTCAATTTTTCAAAAATTTAGATTTTCAGATTTTGGTTGTGTATAAAATAAATACGATGATATTTTATGTTTTCAAATTTTATTTTTTTATAAATTATTTTTTACAGACCAATTTAATAAAAAAATGTTTAAAATTAATGCGAGACATTATAGCAGGGACACATGTGATTTTGATAATTATTTAATAATATAATTTAAAAATTGAAACTTTTAAATTTAATTCTTTAATTAAAATAATAATTATTAATTATGAATAAATAATAAATATACTCATTAAAACTCAAACAAATAAAATATAATGATAACTTTTTAATTGTTAAATAAATTTAATGTATATTTGTACTGTACATGAGACTTTCTATTTGAGCGGTAACGTGACACGGTTTACGTTGGTTGTTTCCTTACGCTGACTATGCCATGAAACACAGTCAGTTTATTTATGACTATTTAATGGTAGTTATTAAAATATATAAAATTTATTTTTATATGATTTAATTTCATTCATTCTAATATTATTAGAGGAAAGAAAACTTTGAAAAAGCATCGTTAGAAAACTGTGGCGCAGCGCACCGCTCAAAAAAAAGCTATGTCAGCAATTTGTTTTTAGCCAAATAACTATACTAAATTAGAGATTATTTTTTATTTATGATTTTATCAAAAAATATTATATTTGTATATATTAAAATCATTACTTTTATATTTATTAAAAAATTTAATATATTTATTTTATTTTTATTATATTATTATCATATTTTCAAAATATTTTTCTTCTTTATTTTTTATATCTATTTAATAAGAATGAAATTATATTTTTCACACAAAAAGGAACTCAAGAAATCATATATTATTCTGCCGCTTGAAATTAAGATTTCAGACTTGTTTGTGTAAAGTTAAAAAAACAATTCTTCAAACAAAAATGTCCGTTTAAAGGCAAAATAATATAATCAAACTGATAACAATAAATTGAGTCTCTTAACAGAAAAATATATTGGTTAAGAAAATTAATAAATAAATTAGAAAAATGGTACAATTTAACACACGTTTGATCGATTTTTTAATCTTAAAAGATATATTTCTTTATTAATTTTACCTTAAAATAGTATAAATGTTTTTTAATAAAAGAATCATCATTTTTCACGTAGTATTTTATTTATTTACTGCTTTTAAATGGTTTCAAAGCCCAATTTCACAGATTACTAATAAAAATCTGTCAATTATTATTATTTTTTTTTTATCATTACAGTATTTATAAAAATAAAAATATTTATTAGGATTTTAAAAAGAAGAAAAAAAGAAAGGGTGGAGAAGCGTGTAGTGTAGAGAAGTGAGAGGTTATGAGAAGCACTAAGAACATGAAATTAAGGACGAAGACGGGGTGGATCTGGGTCAACGGCATTTGACCCAAATAAACGACAACAAGGGGCCGTTTTAGTAATTAACTACTCCCACTTTCGTACGTTATTTTAATTTTGTGCAGTGTCGTTGATGTTGCTGTGGTGTATTCTGATTTCTCATTCATATATGACTCCCCATTCTACTTTGTCTCTCCCATTTACACATAAATTCTTCACACCTACACTTTACTATTTAAAATAGGTGGTTACTTATTAACATGAGAACTAGAAGAGGCTTTTCTTATCCTCCAATTCCAACCATGTTTTCCGACACTGTTAGCCGGAAAAGACAGAAGAAATCGCCGGACACAACCGCTGGTAACTCTGACTTTTTCGAGTCTTTGCCTGATGACCTTGTCCTCTCTATTCTCTGCAAACTTAGCTCCACAGCGTCTTCCCCTTCCGATTTTGTTAGTGTTTTGATCACGTATGTGCCCAGAACAACAATCAAACCTTCTCTAATTTCTCAATTTGTTAAAAATCATATTTTTTGTTTTCTGGGTTAATTGATTTATTGGAATTGAACAGGTGCAAGAGACTAAACTCTTTAGCTCTTCACTCTCTGGTATTGTCGAAAGCATCCCATAAAACATTCTCAGTTAAAGCTAAAAACTGGTGTGACTCCGCACATCGTTTTCTCAAACACTGTGCCGATGCCGGAAACATTGAGGCGTGTTACACTCTTGGCATGGTAATTACACTATTTTTTTTTTAATTTTTTTATTTTAAACAAAAATAACAAGAGTTGGGACTATTGTTTTCTATGTTCAGATTCGGTTCTACTGTTTGCAAAACAGAGGTAGCGGAGCCTCGCTTATGGCTAAGGCAGCGATGCACTCTCACGCGCCGGCTCTCTACTCGCTGGCCGTTATTCAGTTTAACGGCAGCGGCGGCACCAAAAACGACAAAGACCTTCGAGCTGGAGTTGCGCTTTGCGCACGCGCTGCTTTCCTCGGTCACATCGACGCGCTGCGTGAACTTGGCCATTGCTTGCAAGATGGTTACGGAGTTAAGCAGAACGTAACGGAAGGACGACGGTTTCTGGTCCAAGCCAATGCGCGTGAACTTGCAGCCGTTTTGTCCGCTGGTAATAATAAACGGCCATGGCTGACATGGAGCCTCCACCCGGTTCCACACCCGCATCCTCGGCTCCAGTCACTTGCCGGGTCGGGTTGCCCGTTGTTGAGTGATTACGGTTGCAACGTGCCGGCGCCGGAGGCTCATCCGGCGAGCCAGTTCATGGCGGAGTGGTTTGAGGTTGGGGGCGGGTCACCGGGTCCGGGTATGAGACTGTGTTCACATTTGGGTTGTGGGCGACCCGAAACCAGGAAGCATGAGTTTCGGAGGTGTTCGGTTTGCGGTGCGGTGAATTACTGCTCACGGGCGTGCCAAGCGCTTGATTGGAAGTTCCGCCACAAGGCGGAGTGTGCTCCCGTTGAGAGGTGGCTCGATGAGGAGGGTGAAGATGTAGCCGGCGAAGATGACGGCGGCGGCGACGGTGAAGGGGCAGTGATGGTTAATAGTTAGGAGATTTTTGGAAAGGTTAACGACAACGTTAACGGAAGCTTGTTTGGAAGTTTCAAGTTTCATCGGGTATGAATCTAATTTTTGGGTGTTGGGTAAATGAAAAAAAAAAAATCTGATTTATTACTGTGGCCCTGCAATGTGCAAACTTCAATGGCAGGGTTTGGCTTCTTCGTTACTTTCACTTTTGTATAGAATAGTAAATTCTCCTGAGAAACAAATGAAGGGGATACTTTTTGATTAATTTTTTTTACTTGTCTCTTGTTAGTTTAACAAAGAGCAATTAGCAATCCTTAATCTATTGTTAATTTTGGTAAATTAAGACATGAACTTGACTCCTTAGTTTTTCTACCAATTTAGTTGTTTTCACATTTTAGTTAAACTCAATATTAATTTAAACTCTCTTTCTTATTGACTTTATGATAATGCATATTATGAGAATTACCGAGTCATTGAAATTCAAATGTGGTTACTTGTGAAACAAAACATTACAAGTCTTTTGAAAATTCGATTGTTTGAGACATAAAATATAAATAAATAAATATGATAATTCTATTATATGATTGATGTGAGATTCAGACATTTATTAGTTAACGTGTTCAGTGTCTTGGCATTCGGCATCAAGTGGCAGCCATGTTGAACAATTATTTTATATATCTGTATGGTATTTAAAATTTAGTTAATTTTTTTTTATCACGTTGCATTATTTATTATTTTAATTTATTTTCTTTTTATCTCATAAAATTTAAAAATGGAGTGACCTAAAAATGGGGTGTCAATGTTATTCTCGTGTTTTTCACGTGACTGTGTCTGAGAAACAGCGTAAATTAGGATTGCAAGTAACAGCAATTGGTGTTGGAAAACAGGTAAAAAGTTAGAACATCTTAAGTTGGGTTTTACAATCTTGCCTCCTTTCAGACACTGATATCCACGATTCATCAAAGTGATAATGACAACTCCTAAAAAAGTGTTACCACTTGATGGCACCGATTCTTTTATGGATAATTAATTTTCACTCAGTAGTTATAAGAGTGATCTTTCTTTTTTTGGAGATTTTGGAGATATTCTTGTTTAATCGCATAGAGAAAAGAATGTCCAAGAAAGTGTAAACTGTAAAGTAAGAGTGTGGGAATATTAATAATCTTGTTTGGAATTACTTTTTGAAATCACAGAATCATTTTTCTGCATATAAAATATATTCCAATCTTAATTTGGATTTTTTCAAAAATAAACAGAATAATTACACTGACCTCTTCATGAAGTTATCAATAATTACACTCAGACCTTAGTTGATTCATGAATTATACTTTTATTCTTATTTGTATATTATTTTTAAGGAGTGTTTATTCTCACTCTTATACGATCATTTTTATAACAAACAAAAAATAAATAAAAAATAATTAAGTCTATTAAAATTTTAAAAATATTCAGTTAGTAATTTGTATATTTAATGATATTAATAAAAAAATATAATTTTTTTAATAATTAATGTGCATTGTTGCATCTTCCAGAACCCTCTTATAATCAGGCATTAATTATGTCAAGCTATTTTGTGGTCAAAGAGATAAGAGATTAGATATTTGGGGACCAATGAAAGAGGGTTGAGAAAACATGTGAAAAAGGAAATATTGAAAGGAGATGGAGGTTATGTATCTTTTCATATACAGTATTTGAAGCTAAATGGAGAAAAAAAATATTTTTCAATTTATCAAAAATAAAAATTGGTGTGTCAGTGGAAAAAATAATTTAAAGATGAAAGTGAGTGTGTGGTGGGAGCGCACTTATTCTTTCAGCGAGGCTCATTATTAATATTCAGTTGCATTTAAATACTGTACATATCGGTGGGGCTCCAAGCCCAGTCCCCTTTGGCCCACTAACAGTAATTCAAGTTTCTCTTTTTTTTCTTAATTTTTATTGAATGACTATGTTTAAATATTTAATATTGGTAAAACAAAATGGAATAGGATGAATGAAATCAATACATAAAAAATAGAATTAGAATAATTTTTTTTAAAAAAATTCATTGTATAATAAAAGGATTTGATTTGTCATCATCTTTTAGTTCTTAACACTAAATAAGAATTACAATATAAAAATATTTTAAATAATTCCTATTTCATTAGCATTTTTCAATCTCCATTGAGATAATTGCTTCAATTTCATTTTAATTTAAATGCATAAATAGACATTTGTGAATAGCTGTTGAACTTAATCAAGTTCCTAAAAGCAGTAATGTACTTATTTGATATTTACAAAAAAATCATGCATATATTAATTTTAAAGACTAAATTTATCATAAAATTAAGGGATTAAGAAACTACAAACTAAAAAATATAGTATAATATATCATAAAATTGGTATTTGAAAAAAATAAATTGTGTACATAGAAATTAAAACAACAGGTGTAACTTTCAAGATTAAATTATTTATTTGATCTCAAAATTATGTGATAATATAAAAGTTTGGTTAATTAACTTGGATTAGCCAGCTGTGGTGACAAGCTATATATACTTGTTACTTGCTAACTACTCTATTTGATTGATAATGCAAACGGTTTTATGGAAGAGACAGAAGTGGAGTCTTTTATGTCTTTGAATTAGACCCTTTTCTTTTTGATTGAGCATCTTCAATTTTCGATCTTTTCTTTTATTTTCTGCTTCTTTGGTGTCTTTGTTTATATATAAAATAAAGTTAACGTGATGTTGGTTGCCAGCATCTTTCGACCTTCTTTTGTCTGGCTTAATTGGGGATCAGAATCCGAGGGAAAAAAATGTAAAGTAAAATACAGCATACAAGCTTATTCGGGATTGATATACATAACATGGTATATTCTACAATTGACAATGACTTAAATAATATAATTCGAATTTTGAAATTTGCTCTGAATTAATTGATAGTTATAAATTGGATCTGTCCTTAAAATCACCTTAAGACACGTATAAGTGATGTATAAAAAAATTATTATATATAACTTATTTTAATTAATGAAGGATAAGTAGTGTGTCATTTTCTTAAGGATTATTTTTCAATTACCATCTCAAAAATCTTCACTATTTAAGTTACAATAACTTGTAATGAATAAATTTTATTTTATCAAAAATCTTAAATCTATATCATACAACGTATGCCAAGGATTCAAGAAATATATTACACAATTTTGAAAAATAATGTTCAATAATTATTAGTCTCTATATTTTTATAAAGAGGTTATTAATAAATGTGTTGATTTTCTTGCTAACTGAACTTATAATATCTCAGATAAAATTTATTAGTTATTCTTTTTCTTTCCTTTATAGTTTCTCTACTTAAAAAAATAATTATAGGATTTATTTCCTTATATTAATTTATTAAGTTTGCTTGTTTTGTCTTGAATTTTTTTAAGCCTCATTTATTATAAAAAAATAATAATGATCAATAAATATTAATATTGGTTAATATTTATTATTTTTCTCAAGAGTCTTAATTCTTTAAATAGCTGTAGATTAAATAAAGCATAAAGCAAAAAAATTTAATAAATAAGATAATTTACTTCTAATTTTAACTTTAAAAATAATTTATTATTATAAAATTGAGTCTAAGCTCAACTCTTATATAGTCAATTTAAGACAGGCATTAAGTAATGAATAAATCATTCAATAAAAAAAATATAAATTAAGATGAAAGCAAATCAGATAACACGAAATTTATAATGAAATTCATCATTTTCTAATTCAGGAATTCAGGTAACATGTACAAAAATAAGAGAGTTAAATATAATCTTCATTAATAATTTGATGAAATTTATCCTTAATTCTTCAAATTTTGTTAGCCACAGACCTAACTAAAAAGGTGATCCAAGTGATGCTATGTGTTTATATTTAAAACAAAGTGAAAATCTGTTCAAATTGTTCTCTCCAAGTGATCGTAGCCAAGATCAAAAGAAGGTTAATTATCCTCAGATTTTGATCGCCATAGACCTAACTAATAGCGTGTTTTTTAAGTTAAATATAAATTTAATTACAAAAGGTAATTATACCAATTTTTAATGTAAAATAATTTTAAATTCAACTAAATTTGAATGAATTTTTGTTTCTTTACTAGCAAAATCCGAAGTATTTGAGATTAAATCATGTTCTATTTTATAATTTTCAAAACTCAAGTATGATACAATACCACACTTCTAATGGAATTGGATAGTTTTGTTCAACTTTCAATTCCTCAATTTGATGGTAATCATGATCATGGAGTACGCTGATGGAGAATTTCTTATAACTTAAGGAGTGCTGTAAATTGTTTCAGTAACAGTTAGATGTAATGAAACTTAATAATGTCATAGCATAGAATTATCTCTTTCAGAGCCATTGATATCTCAATCTTTGAAACCATTATTTGCAAAGACGTTGCCAACGGTATATTTGTCAACAATATGCATATCTATGGTGACAAGATGGGATAAAATACAGCTATTGACAAGATTGTTAAACCATGACACTACAATTTAATTTTGTGTTTTATGCTATAGAAGAATCTCATGATACTGAAGCTTTCAATTGATGAGGCACAAAGTTCTTGGTTGATTGAAGCCTAGACAATGACCGTGGTAGAGGCAATGACAACAACAGAGCAGAGATCGAGGCAAAGGTAATAAAAGACCGAACAATTTCAACGCTAAGAAAATCAATCGCAATGGAAAAGAAGGAAACGAGAGTTCTACCGAATGGTTTGCAAAAAAAGTCCAAAATTGAATAGAAATGTCACAATGTATGAATAGAAATTTGTACATAGGGCAATGATGTTTAAACTTGTCAGCTTTCATGAGAGGAATGTAACTTTGCAAAATATGTTATTATTTAAACTAAGAAAAATTGACACTGCATTTTCCATAGTTTATCATTCTTTTTATTCATACGTTCCAAAATATTGTACAGCTGAACACAAGTTAGTTTGTGTGGATCCTTCTAGGATATAATATAACTAGAAAACAACTATATGGTTTCATCAGGTAATGAACACATAATTGTGTAAATCCAAGGATAGAACAGGAAGGAGGGTGGTTGAGATATAATTTGTCCTGAGCGACCCATCAACGCAAGAATTGATTAACGAGTTCTATAAGTAGCGCTATAAAACGATTAGCTCGAGTTGTTTACCTATTATGTCAACTTTTGTGGGTCCACTGGTATAAAGAAATCAAATTCATCTGCCAATGGGTGCAATAGCCAGTATTGTACTTATCATGTCCTGTACGGTCAATAGTCGTAATTAAAGACACTGAGCAAAGCAATCTTCTATATATGCAAATAAAAAAGTAGGACACAAACTTCATGACCATTTAGCGTACCATTTACATAAATCCCTATTTTCTAGGTACTTGGATTTGTTACATGGTCTTGCCAACTCTAGCCACAACCACCACCTGGCCCAGAAAGTTTCAACCCACGAAGCCCTCACTCAGAAGCAAATATTGTAAAGAAGCAAAGCTCAACTTAATCAGAATCAGATGATTCTGATCTCTTTTCAGCTGAGGCTGTTTCATCTCCTTTCAAATTCGCCTCTCCCTGCTGCTTAAATGCCTTGGCTATCTCGTCAATGGGAATCAAAGGTAGATACCCAACAACACTATAACCCTTTTCAGTCATGACCTTGATCACATGGTTATACTTCTCTGACCAGTGAGCAGCGGTGGGAACTGCCATCTCTGCCAATGCATGGACTGGTGGATAATGGTTAAGCCCATTCCACAACTTCACGGAGTTTATTAACAGAAAATGCTTTGACTCAGTAGCAACATGATGTATAGCTGCTCGTGGCCCCCCAGATCGAGCCTCACATGCAAATTTCCCCGCTTCATGTGTCACTTTCTGAATCACACACTTAGCCTGATCGGCAAGCTGCTTAGCAAAAGGAGGAGCATGCTCATCGAACTTGCGAGTAGCTTCATCCACCTGCCCAAATCATATGCTAATTGGTTTAGCCACAATTTTCTTAACAAAACAATGCCCCTTCAAACATTAATATTGAATTTCAAGAACACAAGGCACAAGGGCACTTAAATAAGAGGCTGCGTGGAACAAAAGAATCAAGCGTCAACTCAAGGAAACGAAAAGTTGAATAATGAAAAACAGCAAACTTCGGTTTTTTTATTTGGCAGGCTAATGAATCAAGGAAACTCCAGCTCACGAAGAGTTATACCTTTCCAGCAATCCAGCATCATCAAATCAAAAGTTTGATCAACCGAAAGAATTTATTCATTTCAAACAAACATATTGTTATTCGCTATTAAGATACTAGCATAAAGTTTTTATTTTTAAGTTTTGTAAGGAAAATACAATATACTTTTGATCTATAAGTCTAAGCAACCAAGTAGTAGATACTCATGAAACAGATCTTGATCTGAGTTTAAATAAACGGATAAACATAAAAAGTAACAAGACAATTCATTATTGCAAGCTGAGTATGAATCATCAACAAGCTTTTCCCAATTTAGCTATTTCCCCCTAAATGAGCCACTGGAAAAAACAGAAAGGCTTACAAACGACACGATAAAGCATTGGTTTTTATCTACATACGCGGATGTAGAGATGATCGAGAGACAAAGGGAGAGAGATTACCTTATTGTCAACAAAAACCAGGACATCATCAGGGACGCCCTTGAATTTGTTGCAAACAGGACCAAGAACGGTGGTTACAGTGCTCTCCACTGTTCCAACAGCGGATCTCAAAGGCCCTGAGTTCTGCTTTGCGTACTCAAACAGATTTGACGCAAACACGTATGTTTGTATAGCAGCAATTCTCACAAACCCCAAGTGCTTTAATTCTTTGTTGTTGCTCTCAACCCTTGCCTCTATCTGCAGAAATAAAGTAGAATCACAAGTCGTTTTTCATCTTCCAAAAAAGAAAATCAGAGAAGCAATTTTGAGAAAAGCCAAAAAAAAAGAAAAAAAAAAACAATTATGCCAACCAACCTCGTTGGTGGCCATGGTCTGTGTCGGAACTTGCTCGTTGGTAAAATGTAAAGGAGTGGAGGTTTCAATTTTGTTTTATAGAAAGACGGAAGAGGACTAATGAAACGCCAAAAACATAAAACTTTGAAGGCCCACAGAGTGGAGTGAAACGACGGTGGGGGATTGGAGAGAAAACCTTCAACCTTGTTTGTAATTGGTCTGAAGGAACACAGCATGGGACAGCTTATATTATTATCTCAATCTCATCCCACGCCACAGTAGAATCCAAAACACACGTCTCAGGGTTCGTCAAGTTAGGAGTGGGGTCCACGTTCAGACCGACTCCTAGGGATCTTTCTAGGCCTAACTAGCTATTTCCAGAAGCCACGTGGCAGTTTCTCGGAATTTGAGAACCTCCTTCGGAGTGGAGCGACTAGGATCCGATACTACAATCTTATGGCCCTCTGCGGGGACCCACATTTACGGCAGGATTCACAAACCTGCGGACGGAGTTGCGTAATACAAACGATTTATAATTGCAATTGATATCCGGAAAATTAAAATCAAATATTTATAGAACCAAGTATTTATAAAACTAAGAAAAAAAAAACTTCTTGTCACAAAAACTAAAAAAGTAAAAAAAATAAAGTACAATAACGTTGCATTAGTGGAGAAATATCATTAACTTAATGATTTAAATAATAATTACTAAAATAAAACAAAATAAAAATTTATTCTCTGTTTGGAATAAAATTTTGCCATGTAAACACCTATTTTGTATTAAGTATCGAAGAAATTAATTTTTAATATGATTTCACCCTAAAGATAGACGAAATGTATACTGAACAACAAATTGAATAATAATTTTTTGCTTCGCGACACATAGTCTAATCACGTTATTTCGTTCTTAACCTATACAAAAAGGTGATTTTGTCTGACTTAGGGACAAAACAACGAGATTGGACCATGTGTCGGTAAAGCAATTGTAATCGCGCCTCTCTCTTCCTTTTTCCCTCTCTGCTGTTTCAAATGTCTTTCTTCCATTTTTTCTGTTTAGCAACATGAGTGATTTTTTTTTTTTATCGTTTTAGCTTTATTCGTGAGTGAGCTTGGTCATCCATTATAGAATCGTGTCCAGATTTGCTTGGTTTGCAGCAAGTGAAAGTGTTTTTGGATTGAAAGTTTAAGGAAGTTGAGAGAATTGGTAACCTACTATACAGTCACAGTGAACGGAGAACAAAGGTAGTCAGAGGTAGCCGAAGAGACGCCATCGTCCAGACACAAAAATTTATAGTAGTAATTGAAAGTATTAAAATTGATAACAAAAATTTGTTAAAATTATAGTAGTAAATATTTGACTATATAAATAATTGCAACAAAAAAATATAATTAACATTGTTTAATAATGATGAAATAATAAATTTAGTTATGTAATTTAATTATTGGAGTGATATTAATTAGTTTAGAATAAAAAGTTTTATTTATATAAACTTATAATGAAATAATAAAATTAAGGACTAATAATATGAGATTAAATTATTATTGGAGTGATATTATTAAAGTGTTACTAATAATATGAGATTAAATTATTTTGAATAAATAATATAATTTTTAATGAAATAAGAAAATTAGTTATCCAATATAAATTTTTAGAGGGCTATAAATTAATAAAAATTAATTTAGATGAATTATTTATAATTATCTAATTTAATTTAGGAAGAAAAAAATTTGAATGTCGAATCTAAATTTTTAGAGTGATTGTAATTAGTTTACGTTAATTATTGATAATTATATAATTTAATAAATGATGACTAATAAAAAATTAAAAACAAACAACTTGTTAATTAGTGTTTTATTGTATGATGAAAATTGTTAAATGGGAAGTACTACAAATATTTTAATGTTTATAGTTTTTAATTAATATAAGTAATTTATTTTGATGTACTAAGTTTAAAATAATTGTTAAATGTAGGGGAAAAATACATAAAATATTATTACATATTTCTGAACAAATTATTAATTTATTTAGTCAAATTTTAAAAATTGGTTATGAATAATTATTTTTTATTTTATTTGTATTACAATGATTAAAATGTTATAAATAGATTTTGTATTTGAATAATATGATGAATTAAGAACATATTGTGGTATTATACTTGATGCTTGTTATGAAATTTTTTTGTATAGTTTATATTAAAATTTAAAATGTTGACCATGTTATATTTTATAGATAATTGATATTTTGTTTATTTGAGTTGATAACATATTATTTTTGTAAATGACTTTATTTTCATGACAAAATAGAGTCATTCATTCTAGACTAGAGGATCCTTCATTATTCCACTTACAAAATATTCACATGCCTGAACATATTTAAGATGGTCGAGATCATCCTATTTTGAAGGTTAGGAAGTCAATTTATTCCAGCTAGTTTGGATGGTGTTCTAGAGGAGATCCTTCCACAATAATGTGTGACGATACTTACCATACAAAAATGTTTCATCTACCTGAACAATATGTTTGCAAAAGTTAAATGCTTCCTTACATTGATAAAAATACTAAAATAATCGTTCAAATACTCTAAATATGTTATTCTCTTTTGATTCCTAACAACAAATGATTTCATTTTAATCTTATAAACAGACCCTAGAGCATGAAATTGCATGTACTCCAACAAGTTTGGCAATGTAGCATATGATTCATTCCAGTCACTAAATATTCTAACAATCGCCTTTTATTTCGCCTTTCAAGCTTTTTTGTATGAAATTTTATATCCAAATTGACTTGTCATCCTTTCTTAAATTAGACTTATAGGCAATGATGGTTCAAGATTAACCATACCTACACAAAACACAACAAAAGAACTAAGTACCTTTGTTGAGAAAAGGCTTCACGAAATAAGATATTATGCAAAACTTAAGGCTTCACGAAATAAGATATTATGTAAAACTTACCAATTATGCATGAACAAATCAAATCTGAATCTAGTTTAGTATGGTCTTGAAATATTGTAGGGTTGAGACATGTATGCTTACACTCACATCTTGTTATTTTTCACTTTATTGAATTTTTAAGCAATGATACTCTTATTCTCCATGGGCAACTATTGTTATGGTTTAAACACCTCACATATAACTTTGTTAGTTTTGACTCAACAACAAAATAATTCTAATGTATCCTCATTGCATATTGTTTTAAGGCATTTTTAACTTCAAAAGTCAAATAATAAACCCACATATAACAGATCTCCAATAACCCATAAAATATCTTCACTAATTTCTTCTGCTTTAATTTCTTAGTCTGGGTGGTCCAATTAATATAATTGTAGTGTGGACTTACATTCCAAAAAAGTATTTCACCTACAACTACATATTGAGATAAATTATTCATTAAAATAAAATAAACAATTTAATCAATATACTCTTTAAATGTTACCTTCAACATTTTCTTGTAAATTTAAGTTTGAATCAAAATCACCATCGACATCTGTATCTGACAAGCTGTCTATTAGAATACATCCTTCATCAATATCATCATCACTATCATCACTATTCACTTCTTCATCTTCATCTTCATAACTGTATAAATTTTCATATCCTTCAAAATACATGCACTTATTCAATATGTGTTGTCACTAAAAATAAATTAAAAATAATTTATAACAATATAATTTATATCTTTTGTAACATTTATATTCATAAATTCCATAAGGTTAGGCAGTGACATTGATAAGCTTAAGTCCAACATATTTGACTCAACTCTTGAACTCTCACCAAATGCAATATTCACATATAATTCAATATTAATTGTAATACTTTGTTATTGATACGCACTAATCATACAATCAATATTTTCATCATCATATATATCCAATGCATTGTATTATTTAGCGCTTGAATCAATCATAAAATGAGAAATTATTCTAGATATGACATGATTATTACAAATATTCAACTTGTAATGAATCTTTTTTTTTTAAATTCATAAAACTTATCCCTCTTTTTATTTTTATCATTTTTTTGTTACCTTCATATGTCACACCTTCGTTTTCGATAACAATTTTTCCATTCCAATATATAATAATAATAATCTTACTCATCATGCATTTATAAAAAAAAAAAACATATCAATGAAAAATTACAATTATACTTATTTACGTAAATAATAAAAAAATTATTATTAACACACACAAACATATTATTATTTCACATCATTTTATATTACAAAAAATGAAATATTTTTTAAACGTATTTCACATATATAAAATAAATGTTCACAACAAATATAACATCATTTTTTTTATCAAACAAGTTAATATTAAATATCTACTAACTTCTATATTTTATTTAACAATATTTAAAAATTTATTTTTTAATTTCAACATACACAAAAAAATATTTATTAAATATTCATAAATTTTAACTACCTCTATTATTTTAAATAATTAAAATATTTCAATTTTAATAATTGATCAATAACAAAAATACTAAAAAATATATTCAAAATTTACTAACCTTAAATTTTCTTTCAATCTTTAAAAGTGTAGGAACGTTCTTTTTCTTCTTTACTGTGATTTAGATTTGAAAATATGTAACATTATATACTCAAATTGTGCTGGATAAAAAGAGGTAGTCGAATGAAGTTGACCCGCGAGTAAAAAGAGTTTCATCTCAATTATGAGTGAAGTTATAATGCATTTCATCTTAGACGTGGATGAAATTATTAAGATGCAAACAAGTGTCCAGATCCTTGTTTCGTACTAACTTGAAACGAATTACTAATATTTTGACACGTGGCCCTTGTTTTGTCTCTCTTTTTTATAAAATCACTAACACATGTCAACTTGTGGAATGTTTTGTCCTTCTTTTAGACAAAATAATTAATTTAAAAATAAAAAAAATAATTTCATCTAATTTAAATACGAAATAGCAGCTTACATGACCAAAAATTACTCTAAACAGAAAATAAGCTTTGATTTTATTTTATTTTGATAATTATCTTTTAAAAAAAATATTATTTAAATCATTAATCCAATATCATTTAAGATGGACACAAAAGAAAATATCATAATAGTAACTTAGACCCGGCGAAACTTCTTTAGGTGATTGTTTGACAATTTTTGGGGTGAAATAAGATTAAAGCACTAGTGATAAACTTAAATTACATATTATAGTTTATAACTTCGTGCTTTAAATTCCATTTTTTTTCATCTCAACTTAGTGGCAGTCAATTTTAAATTCCCATAGGGTCTTCGTTCCAATCATACCCTTCCTTAGTTTCAAGAATTCAACTTTTCTAGATTAGGTAATAGTATATTTGCTAAAACTTATAGTCCAAGGAAAATCGTGGACCTGCATAATTAAGTGGAAGACGAGGTAACTACGACGACGGAATAAAGACGGGGCAGGGGGACAACTTTGATCAACTAAAATTTGTATAAAGCTATATAAAGTAGTAATAGCAATGCTTGGCGTAAGCAAATTACAAAAGAAAAAAACCCGTAAAAAAAATTACAAAAGAAAAAAAAAGTCGGCATGGAAAACCACAGGCATTTCTACCATGAGCATTCTCTCTGTGCTGCTGTGGGCATTATCAAACTTTTAATTTGTATGTCATTTTTATATATGAGTGTTTAACGCGAGTAAAAGTCAGGTTATGTTGTTATGTTATTATATTATCCACAAATATTGAGCGATCGGAACTCATGTTCGCGGAGGCTGAGATCTCTGTCGCTTCACGTTTTGATGGATAGGCTCTTTGACCTACAAAGGAAAGAAATAAGGGATAGATTAGAAAAATACTTTCAGACTGCAAACGTGTGCAAATTATTCGAAGACTTTAATATTGAAGAAAGAAATATAAGGAATAAGGAATCCACAATATACCGAGCTAGTTTTCCTTGGCCGCTTTTCTTGGGAGGACCTACTGCATATAATTGTATCAGCTTCGTCACCTTGATGAGGAATTACATTTGCTCTGCCGTTCTCTTTGCCTGGCGCAAAACTTTCTCTTGAAGCAACTGGCTGTACAATCCCCAAATAAATTACATCAGGTATACAAGTGAAAATCTTCAACAATAGAGTCACTATGGATGTTAGAAACTGGAAAATCAAGCGGTATAACATGCCTCAACCCTGCTTGTGGGGGTGTTCCCTGGCTCCTTTGCCTTTGTCATTTTCTGTCCACTCCTGGAGTCAGTATAATTAGTATCAGATGTCACTTTCATTCGTGTTAAATCTGATCCAATAGAGTGGAGAACACCACATGTGGACACGTCATAATTGCTTCCTGATTACCGAGAAAACATAAGATAGTTTGTAAGTTGACCGAGTACCAAGCTGTGGTGTGGGTAGGATAAATATTAACGGCCTTAATCCATTACCATTCAAACGGAAACCAGTTTGTATGGACTTGCCATTTGGTTCACAGGGATCAACATCCTGTAAAATTTGAAAACGTGAAATAGGTAAACATACGTTGGAAATAAATGGTGATGTAAACCCCATATACGTGGCAGTTATTACCATGGCTTCAGTAGCGCTTAGAGCTTTCTGGACTTCAACGAATTTCCTCTCAGTCAACTCAGAATGGATAACACGTTTTCCTGACGTGCCGCAGACATAAAAAGTATCCAGAATTAAAATAGACAAAGAAAAGAGAAGGATTACTCTGTTAGTTAATTTGATACCTAATCTTTTGTTGCCTTTGGGCTCAACAAACCCATCCCGAACCATTTTATCAATTATCTTTCGTGCTGCTGTCTGGTTTACTTCTCCCTCAAGCAAACTTTGAAGCTTAGAGACTGACACATGTGTCATCGGAAGAGCATGATAGAGAGCCTGCAATATTTACGCACAAATTATCAAATAATGTAATAGTAATATATTGTCATATAACTAAATTGCTCCTATAATAACGCAACAATTTTAAGAGTTCGATGAACATATTGCCTGTAGTCCAGACTACAGACTCCATCGTCTCACTCTTCAGGCGATGCAAGGTGGCTTGAAAGCTGAAGACAATTCACAATATGTAGTGTTTTAAGTTTTTTAAACGATTTTAAATATTAACAGCATCTTGCACAATTCATTTCAAATCGGTATTACGTGTGTAGTTTACTTTGGCCGAAGAAAGATCGCTTTCATATTTGAGTTGTTGAGCATTCATTGTGAACAAACGTGACGTAGATAAGTCGTCAGCAAAGAGGCAAAGATCCTCTTTTGGTTTAGGATGCCAAAGATCTTCATAAACAACATGTAAAAGAATAATAAAAGAAGACAAAATAAAACTGACCTTCATGTATATGCGATCTTCAACCTGCAAAACGCTGTCAAAGACTTGAGGAATTTGACCATCAATTTCTTCTTTCACAATGGCAAACTCATATTCAAATTTCTGACATTGCAATTCCATCAGAGAGGGAAAGAAAAAAGGAAAGGATTCTAGAACCGCAGAAAGCGTGAAAGTCAATTGAGAGAAAAATCAACCTTGTCCTTGTTAATGGCGTAGATTTCCTTCCCTATTTTTGATAGCACGTCTTCCTCAACAAGCTTGTCCATGATCTCTGTAGAATCAATCAAAATCAAGCAAAAGAAAAATAAAGTTTGGGAACTGATAAAATCTGCAGCATAGCTTGAACGTGATTGATAGTTAACCTTCATACCTTCAGTTAGAACCTGCAAGTAAAACAACTCAACTCAAATTCTTTTTAACAAAAGATGAGAAGAAAAGAGACTAAAATTTTAGTTAGATCATAATCTAAAAATGGTCAAGCAAAAGCATAATCTGAATAGAAGTGTTATAACAATCAAGTAAAAAAAGTAGGTACCACTGAGATGTCTGGAAAATTCGCTAGAACATCAGTAAGCTCAACAGTGTCACGGTGGCAACTTTTGATCCACTCCTTGACCCGGTTCAGTTGTTGCTCATCTTCCACAGGGTCCTGGGTATTGTCTGAACATATAATAGGTCATTAAATAGTCTGAGTTACGGCCTTGTAACTGGATCAACAGCTGTAAAGAACTAGGGAAAAAATTGTGTCGAATGGAAAAGAATGTGGAAAAAATTATTCCAGAGTTGAGTTTATTATATAGGCACATCTGCCCACGCGAACACACAAAAGACGTAGTTTACCTTCATTAATCCCGCCATTATCGTCCTGTTCTTGCTGTTTCTCTGTCATTGTTTACTTATTAAAAGAAAATATTGGAGAAAATTGAGTAGAGCAGCAATAAGAAAAGTCATCCTAGTTACCAATTGGAGCAACTATATATCGATTCCCTTGAGTAAGATCAACCTGGAAGTTGTGAAATGTCAAATTTAAGCAACACGATCATTATTATAAGTCAGTCAATTTTGAATCTTCTGATAACTAAAATCATAATAGAAATGGCTATATCAAGCAACCTCCTCATTCACCTCACTGTCAGTATCATAATACTCATTCTTCTGAGTGGAATCATCACCAGTGCTCATATCGTCTTGAATTCCCTCATTATCATCTTCACAAGGGTCGAGCACACTCTTCACCTATAAAATGGAAGAAGAAATTATTGGTAAAACCATAAGAAATAGATTTAAAACTTAGCTGTGAACACGTATCCTTCCATTACCTTCAGAGCTAATACAAAATGCTTGCTGTTTACATTCCCAACCTCCATTTTCAATGGATTTTTTGCCCATGGATGATAAGCTTCTTCATCTGTGCATCCCCTGAAGAAAGGAGGCTCATAATCAGCTGGCTGCAGGAAAAAATTATATTGTGAGATGCTGTATATAAGTAGCGTTTGGCATAACAGAATGTTCAAATGTTCACCAGTTGCATAACAAAGCATATGATATCATTTAGTATGAACATCATTAACCATCCTTAATTAAAGAAAAACAACCTAGTCGAAAATGCATTTCGAGTCTGGACAAGGCTGAAATTCATTTAAAAAAAAGGCAAAATGATTTCATAATCAATACATAAAGAACAAACGTTTGCTGTTCATTTTAAAAAACATACCGTCACATCGTCATAGTAGAGGAGCTTCATCAGAATGGTACGCTGGGGGAAAATATAGAAGTCAGTTTATGCAATGAGTGCTGAAGCTAGTGAGAGAATAATGTGGAATTATCAAGCATAACATTTCAATTTATTTACCTCTTCTGGCATTTTCTCCAGAGTTCTCATCAACTGAACCAGCGTTCGGATCATTTTACAAGCAGAACTCCTGAAGATTATACCGAATACAAATTATTTTCAATTAAATTTGCGAGTTATCATTCAGATCTAAATTATATTTTCTTTTGCGACATCAACCTCATCTGCTGGGGTGTGATTTCTGTGGTCGAGTTACACTTGAAGGTTCCCCCTTGCCTTTTGTTTCCAGTGCGGTTGATATTCATCGAAACCTCTTGTTTGTCAGAATCAGAATAGCTAAAGGAAACTGCACGACAAACTACCTATATTTATGAATCCTCCAAAAATGTCTCAAGGTAGATAATTTGGAATCCATATTTTGCCACTAGCTTATAGAGGTGGCATTCTCTTCTTGTTAAAACAATAAGCTACGTGATATTCATTTAACAACAGTTGCCAAATTCCATCACACTCCGCTGATCAAAATTTCAATCAGATACGTTAAAGTCTCACATGCATATTCCTCAATCATTGGTCCATCCACTGCTTCGCACACACAGAACAAAAGCGTCTTTAGGTATTTCTTTTGTAAAGCATCGTATACACCTGCAAAAAGAAATAGAATAAAACAAATAAAACATGCATTGCAAGCAACGCAAAAATCGTGTCCTAGAAGCCTTGGTTAGACAGTAGCTTTAGCGTGCCTTTCTCCATCCAATCAATCAGTCTGCGAGACTCGGCATCCACTGGCATAAGTTTTTTAATCTTCATCTCTGTCATTTCAAGCATAGTTTTAGATGAAATTCAACAACAAATATTCGAAGATGCAACGACAAAGGAAAGAGTAAATTGGCTAGCGCACTAACATAGGTTTTACCTAATGCAGGGACTGACTTATCATTGAAGTACTTCTCAGGAAATAGTCCTCTGATATAACTGATATTGAATATGGCAATTCGGAGCAGGTTTCTCGTCTTGCAAATGAAATTTCAAATTAGATAATGTATGTAAGGTAATTTCAGACTCTGGATTCATAGTAGTAAAGCTCCTCAAATTGCAGAAACAAGTGGATTAACATTTCTCCTTGTGACTCAAATTAAACTTCGGATAGCTGAGATTACATTTTCTCAGAAATATTCAAGGCAAATAGGTACTGAAATTGAAGTTAACATACTTTCAGTTTTAGATCTCGTCTGATCCTAATGATAGTATAGAGTTAAATAGTAAATATGTCAAAGATGAATCAAATTATTTTTACTGAACCAAAAATCTTCGGTTACTGAATCTATCGGCAAATGGAGTCCTCTCAAGTGTAGGATTTGATAACAAAAGGAATATAGCTTCTATGTGATTTTGAAAACTAAGCTTACTGAAGAAATCTAAAATGCATGAAAGCAATAAGTTATAAATTGGAAATGCAGGAGAAGAAGAAGAAGAACCAAAACAAAACTCAAGCGAACAAATAAAAATACCAGATCGCTATGATTTGAGTAAAATCAGATTAAAATGTGCAATGTAAGAAATGTAGGAAGCTAAATGGTTGTTAAGCACCAGAAGAAGTGAATCCTGCTCGGTGATTTCAGCTTCCTTGACTTTTTGTGCAACGACCTGAAAGAAAGAAATGAAATATTCAGAAACCATATCAGGGAGAGGAAGAAGATGAGGGAAAACTAATAGGAGCTTCGAAGAGCTTTCTGGTCTCACCATGGTAACCGAATTTCAGAGTCACAAACTCAGCGAAATAGAATGCAGAGAATTAAGTCTTAAGTTGGTATAAAAATTTGAATGAGATGAATGTAGCGGGCGGGGATGAAAAGCAAGGAGTGGGTATTTATAGGCCGAATCAGGTGTAGTTAGGGGCTCGATGCACCATCACGCAAGTTGGCACTGCCATTGGTGTGCTGAAAGTTCGTTCTGGTGCCGTTATTTTGAAAAATGCTATTGAATTGGATTTTATTTTATTTGTTCGTTATATTAAATTTTCTTATGGTCTGGTCACGCGAGTTTGGTGAGTGAATTGGCGCCAAAAAGGAAATAGAGTAGTTGTGGGCTTGGTTTGTTAGGCCAGGCCTCGTTTTCATGCAAACTATAGTAAAAACAAAAAGTATGCTTTGTTTCCTAAATTAGGAAAAAAAAACTAAAGAAAAATAGAAAAATGCTTATCCCTCTTGGTGAGATACCATTAAATGTCTTCATTTTAAGGAATATATTTTAGAAATGTGCGTATAAAGGAAGATAAAAAATAAAAAGAGATTAAAACAATTATATACAATATCAACTAGTAATAATAAATTTTAAATAGTTAACGTAAAAATCTCTTGACCAAGTGTGGGTTTTTGTTTTGGTCAAGTGCAGTTGCATCGATATTTATGCACTATTCGCGCCGAATTCTATAAGCAAACCCAATCTAGCCACGAGAGAATGGCTTATATATATATATATATAGGTTAAACAAAACTAATTGGGGAATTTTTATTAACAGGACAGTAACCAACCATCCGCACAAGTCATCTTGTATAGAAAAACGGTTTCTACTCTCCACACATGCTCACACTCTTATATCTTCCCCTTCCTTTTTGTTGGTTCAGTGTATATCATTACAACTTCAGCAACAGAGAATGCTAATGTTAAATCATAATCCAAGAATGCTATAAGATACAAAAGTTGCCTCCTTTCGTCAATATTGTATAACCCACAATTCATTCTGATAAGAAATCTCTTCTATTTGTATTTAGAGGATGCACAGCTGCAGCAATTTTCTCCCGCAAGTTGAATTTCTTTGCAATTAGTGGCCGGACATCATCAACTCCAACCAAGCTCTCCAAGAACGGAAGTAATAAAAGCAATTCTTGGTCTGAACGATCATCAAACCAACTCTCAATCGGTATTCCATTATCCACTTGGAATCCAAATGCCTACGCCAAAAAAAAAAAAACAGCAGAAAAGGTATCATGTAACATGTAAATAGTACTTTCCAAGAAGTATGTTCATAACCTTTTCTATAAACAAAAACAAAATAAAACACCCATACAAGTCATAACCTAATTTTATTCAATGTTAACAGATATCTACTTACAATTTAAAAAAAAAAAAGTATTTTAAAAATGAGAAATATTAGCAACATCTTGATTATTGATTGAAATTAATTAAAAATTATTTAAAAAAAGATCTTACAATTACTGAGTGGGCTTTCATATGCAGCTCTAAGAATGGCAGTATAGTAGCACATTGCAAATGTTAGCCACTTGGCCATAACAAGGGCATTACTTATTTCTTAAGTCAAAAGAACCTATGGTCGTATACCTGTGGGGAATTGTCAATTATTATAACATGCGCCAAGTCACGACCAAGCACTGTTAAATCTTTGAGGTAATTCCCCTCCACATAAACACAGGATTCACGGTATACACGGTGGCGAAATATCTTCCGCTTTGGATCAAGCACATTTAGAAGTTGCTCAGCATAAATACTTTGACTAGCTGTAAATATAATAATCTCAAAAAGACCAGAAACTCTCTCAAGGAAATCTTTGAGGTGAGGGCGGCAGCGTACAAAGACAATGTGCTCCTCACAATTGAAATTAACAGGAAAAGTGAAGTCTACATCCTCACATGGTTCCAGGGAAGAATGCACCAAAGTTTCTGCAGAGTCAAAAACAATATGCAAAATATAAAATGAGCAATTCAGCCAGAATCATACATCAGTAAGTTGCAGCAGAAAGTGTGTCCATGTATCTAAACCGAAAAAAAAAAGGGCTATGACAGGCATCTTATCAGTTAGGCATGCAACATAAAAATTGACACAATTTTCTTACCATCCAAGTCCAGGACAAGGGTGGTAGACGGGCAACTCCGTGTCTGCTTAGGTAGCAACAATCGTCTAAAAGTTGGAACCACAGTAGACAAGTCTGGTAAGGTCTTTATGAATAAGTATGGGTCAAAGTCATCAAAATCTTCAAATTCTTCATCCTCTGGGCACATATCAGAAGACATGGAATCCTGACCGTGCTCATCAACACATTCCAGCTTTGAGTTTTTCATGGCAAGATATATGGCAGAAACTTCCAAGGAAAGACCATTTCCGTCAAAATCAGAATTGCAACCATTCACATTTTTTGTGTTTAAAGCAAGCATCTGATCACCATATCTCCCAGATTTAGGGTAGTCGGATGAATTGTTTGCATCTACTTCCATCGCAGTGTCAGAGTCTTGACTAACATGACCATCTACATCTACTGTATCCTCCTGTTGCAACTCTATTTCTTGACCTGGAGAAATTCTCTTTTGGTCATCGTTCTGAAAAATTTTGACAAAATCAACTAGAGAGAAACAAAAGAAAAAGATTAAAAATTAACAATGAAAAAATTTAAAATATCATATGGAAATTAGTAAAATTACACGGACAAAAAGAAAAGAAGTAATTCAAAGCGAATAATTATTATAATGATGATATCATTTACCTCTGTCAACAACTTTTCCTCCAGAACCTTTGGATAAGTGAAACCCAGGAGAAAATATAGTTCCAGACTCCAGATGAACAGCTTGCTTGTTACAACCCTGCAGCATTATTTCAAAAAGGTTAAAAAACAAAAAGGTATTTAAGAGAATATCCAGTGTTCTAAGGGAAATCCCTTCAAATTGACATTTCAATTTCTAGAAAACATTTACATTTAACAAGCCCAACACATCTGAAAACCTTAAATCCACATTCAAGAAACGAGTACTTTGCCAGATGAAGTTGAATCGTTAGCAACTGAACCTAAGATTCATAAAGCAGCTTTCCAGCAGAAGAGAAACTTATGTAGACTGCATGCATGCACAGCAACACAAAAGGCAGTCTAGTTAAATTACCAAAATATCAAATCCTGCTCCATTCACTGCATCATCTTCCAAACAAGCATTGGAATTCCCATTATCCATAAAGTCATACTCATTGTTTAAATCAGTTGAGTGTCCGGGCTCTCCAGCTTTATTCTCAAGAGTGCCGACTGGAGTTACACCAAGAAGAAAGGTAAAACCAGTTAATTAGTCATTATTTTCAAATTTCTGAAAGATGCATTGTATTGGGCATTATATATGCAAAATGAAAACTAAGAAAAATTGTTAGGACTTCCGACCACATGAAGGAGCAAGCTAGTTATGAATCAGAGTCAGACATGGCAGAAATTAAAATAAAAAGAAAATTAAATGTTATAATACACATAAGCAAAAAGCTAATAAATATAGATTATTTTATAAAACTGAACCAACCATTACTAGTAACTTACAAGGTTTACTCTTTCTAGCAGATGATGTAATTAAGTCTGTGACTTTCTTTTCTGCTGCTCGTACATTTTCAGAGACCTTCCTTTGTGCTCTTGAAACCCTGGGACTGCCACACTCTTTATTAGCATTTCGCCTGAAGGCTTTCTTCCTAGTTTGCATGTCTACTTTGAGAAGAATGTTGGACAACCCAGTTGACTTTTGTGGGAGTAACCAAAGCAGCAAATACAGTTCCAGAACAACTATCCTGATACCATGCATTCAGGAACAGATTATCAAGGATCCTTGCCAATTGAAGACACCTTAGTAAATACTAAGAAGCTAACACTTTTGAGGAACATATAAAACTCAACACTAAGCAATATGTTTTGCAAGATACTAAAAACCAGGATAAATTTTCATAACGGCTTCAAATCCCCAACTGGTTTCGTCGCACGAGACAATAATTCATACCATTGATATCAGAAAAAATAAAAGCAGCAAAAAAACAAAAAAAGGAACCATGCTCGAACTTAAAATTTGTTCCAGAGAAACCGAATATATTTCCAAGAGCTATTCATACATCATCACATTAACCAAGCTACTAACAAACTAGTCACTCCATCCTCACACATGACTATCGAATCAACAGAAACCCAAACAACCAAACTGAAACTGAGAAACTCCAAAAGCGCACCAAATCAACCATCCAACATCAATTGTCATATCAGCATCCAAAATTTGAGCATCAAACAGAACAATAAACCCTCCACACTGAGATCGCATAAAAACCCTAAAAACATAACAGACCTAAAAACACAACAACTAAAAGACACGGATGTGAGCTAAACGAGCAAGCTCCAGCTAAAATCACAGATACCTGATTCGGAAATCAAAAGCAATGATCTCTCACAACATGCATCGCATTCGCACTGGCTTCTCTTTAAACAGGAAAGAACAAATCAACGAGCATAAGAAAGAACTAAATTAGAATGAATCAGCTCGGAAAATAAGCGGAAGGAACAGAGTAAAACCCTAGATTTCTTCAGTAGTGAAATGAGTAGCTATATTCCTCCCTGACTGAGAAAAATTTTGGATGTTTTCCCTCCAATGAGAAAGTGAGAGGGAAAAGCAATGAAGGATGGAAAATTATTTTTATCAAAACGAAAGGATGTGTCGATAAATATAAATGCAGATTGAAACTTATTAAATAATTTAGTAATTAAAAAATAAAAAATATATATTCTTGTCCACCGAAATTTGGAATGCTTCTTCTTACACGTTTGAAACGTACACGCGAGGCTATTTGTTATGTGCTTCCACACACACTCACGTGGATGCGCACGTGTCTCAATCACCAGTGCGTTTGGGCCGTTGCCGGGTAGTGACACTCACGGGTCATAATGACCCTACCTCGCTTCTGTCGTTTTAAATTTCAAAATCAGATTCAACTCCTTTCTCTTATCGTCAAACTTCCTTTAATTTACCTTTTGATGCTCTTCTCTTTCCTCAATTTGCTAATGGGGACCTCAGTTAATGGATATTGCGAATTGGACCCAATTGTTTTTTCTTCTCTGTGAGGAAAGGATTAGAGAAAAATGATGCCCTCCTCGATTTTAGAGGTAGCTTCATGCTTGATCAGTTTATATTAGAAATAAACTATAAATATTTGGGTCAATATTTTTTTCTAAAACAATTTAAATTAGAAAGGAAATTGAAGAGGCGGAAAAATCAAATCACAATGTGTCCTTAAAAACTTTAAAAATTATTTACAAAAACAATAATAATAATATTAAATGAATCTTAAGAAATATTTAATGACGTTTTTTTTTTATGTAACAAAAGTATAATATCAAAATTTTCAATGTAACATAAGTAAGAAAAAAGATGTTTAAAAATTGAATAGATGACAAAGATGCAATTACTTTAAAATAATAAAGCAAATATAAAAACAATAATATCACTTCCAAATAGAAGATGAAAACTAAAAATGTTTGTGTAAGTAGCATTAAAAGATTGTTAACAAATTTAAACAAATTTATTAGAAAGCGTTGCTTTTGTTGAACAAAAATTTCAAATAGCAAAATATATTAATTAAACCGTTTGAGAAACAATGAAGGAGAATTGGAGTTGAATCTTAGAATACATGAATAAACCGTTTGAGAGTAAAATTAGTAAAAAAAAATAATACTGAAATCTAGTTCGTATATATATATATATTACTTATAAATCTATTTTGATTTGAATTAAAGCTAATTGATGATTTATTTTAAGCCCTAGTAAATTTAATTGTAAAAAAATTGATTTGTATTCAAGTATGATATCTTTAAAGTGAGTTGAAAAGAACATATCTTGTTTAATTACTATGGTAACGCAGAGAGTGTAAACAGGAACCAGAGTATATAGTCTATTAGTTTATACGTAGAACCAATTTCAACCCAATAAAGAAGAAGCCAAGAGTTTCCCCCTCTCTCAAACTTAATTGTACTTATTGTACAGTTAATTTTATTTGTCATAAACACACGCCCCGTGGAAAAAACAACTTTATATAATACAACATGACCTCTCCGCGGAATACCACATCTTTAAATATTATTATTTTTTCGTTGAAACAAAAAAAAAAAGAGAAATGAAAATGATATTAATATTAAAATTAGGTCGAAGACGTGTCACAAAATTTGAAAAGCAACTATGTTTCACCCCTTTTCTACTGTAAGTCTCCTCGTTTATCGATTTCCTAGTACCATTGGTTCACGTTATCCAAATAGATAAATGGTAATTGTAGATATGGGATAGTGACTAAGTTAGCACAATCATCTGCGTTACCAACCGATGTTAAAAAAATTATTTTTGATAGTTATTTTTTATAGTCATTTCATCACCCTATCCTTAAATTGATGGTTATTTTTGAACAAACAAATTTATTTTTATAAAAAATAGTTATAATACCTTTTAAGTATTTTTATATTGTTAATAATTATTTTTCCAATAGAATCATACCACTTTCAGATGCTTAAAATAAGTCATAAAAACTTATATTTTCTTTTTCAAAACAGGACAAGTTAACCTAATCTATTATTTAATGAATTAGGGTAACCTAATAAACTATTAATGAATCAGGCTCCGTCAACCCAATTTTGGGAATCCTAACCAGAAGTTGGAAAATTCAGAAGGCCAAATTTGCAAAATTGCCACAATATACGAGTTGCGAATACTTTAAACAGTACGAGGTTAATTTTAACTTATTTTAAAGAAACATTTGTTTTTACAAATTTATTAGACTTTAGCAATTATTTTACTAAAATTAAATTTCACCAAGCATGATAATATCCGGTAAAGAAATTAATATACATATGCACTTTATTTTACAGATTAATAAAGAAAAATATATAGTGTGCACACCATCAATCCACTTACTTTTAGGATTTTATTTTCCCTTTTAAATCTTACAGAAGCACATAGTTTCCAAATAAACCAAATTTTCTTCTCAGTTATCATTCGTTTTCATAATGTTTTGTTTCTTTACCCATTTTTAGTCCACTTACTTAGTTTTACGCACGCAATGATTTATAGTTTGGTCACAAAAAACACACAAATGAAGGAGATGAAAACCATGACTAATGCAACTCCGTCAATCAGATACGAAGAAACAATGCCGCCCAAAAATCATTTCAGAGGCTAAAGTCATACAATACAGACCAGCAACGGCTACGGCAAGTCGATTTTAAACAGATAATTCTTAAAAATTAATCTTATAAACGGTAAAGAAAGCCATGAATAATAATGTCGGTATGCCGAAAACACAAATGCAATACCTAATTCGCAACTTCCAATCTAAAGTGAATAACCAGTCATCAATTACTTTCGTCATGATACATTAAAGAAACAACTTAACATGCTTATCTGGGAGGTGGCGGTGGAATATTAGATTTGGCCATTCCCACCCATACTACTATACCTACTGCAAGAATAATCCATCCAAATATATCATACTTAAGGTCATTGCTCGTCTGCTTTTTAGATTCCTGAAATGAACCAAACAATAATATATATTAAGTTCCTCTATAAACAAACTAAAACAGGCATACATCAATTATTAGAAATAGTATTCTTCATTAAGGATTATTGAATAATTATAATCTCAGAAAATAATCACGAGTAACCTTTTCAAACAATTCAATCCCATAAGGTTACTTTCATCATTTTTCAACGTCAAAAAACATGGCAAGCTAGAGTAGAAGATGGGCAGCTCAAGGACATAAAAAGCTTGTTATTGTCTTAAAAATTTAACAGGTTAGCCTCGGTACTTGTGATCTGAGTAACAGAAGGAAAATAATAATTGGGGAACACAAAGTTGCCAACACGACCCAAGTTTGCTAATACAAAACCAATTCTTACTATTGTAACATAGGCAGCCAAATGGCCAACCATAGAGTGCAGTGCTTTAACAGACACCTGGGGCCTACAAATAATATATGGCAAACAAAGGGAGAAGCAATGCGATGCAAATAACCTAATAAATCTACATTTAAACTGAATTAATGATTAAGAAAAAAATTAAATTATATTTACAATATAACACAATGAAAACAAGCTTTACAGAAAGAGGATAGAGAAATATCATAGGCAAGAGATATACAGGGTGCATCACCAAGGTAAAATATTAGCAAAATCCTAAAAGCATGTCCCAGAGAATCATGAACATGCCTCTAACTCCCAACATAAAAAAGTGCCAAATACTATTCCTATGGGAAGGAAAGAAAGATTTTTCTAATATACATGATGGTTTCATAACTTAACACTAACCATGAATAATTTCTAGAAGATGCAAGTTCTAATAATCTGCTTAAATAAAAAGCATTGTACCCCAAAATTTGAGGCATGATGGTTCTGAACACCGCTTTATCCATAGAACAAAAACCCCATTTAAGTCGCTTTGAGCATTTTAAAATTTTCAAGATGTCACTTCCATCAATTTGACATAGCAGGTTGACGTTACACGTCAATTAGTATTCATGAGAACATGACTCTAATTTAATTAAATGCACTGAAATTTCAATAATACAACCTTTCCTTTTGAAGAAGAGGATCCTGCACTACCCATCTGACCAAGCCCATTTTTGTGGATCTCCATGTGTAGTTCTGGGGCCTATGAGGATGGTTCACAGAAACTCATCAAAGTAGAAATGATAAAATGGTGAACAAGTTACACATAATATTAACAGAAAAATAAGGAATTGAGAAAGCAGTTGGACCAAATTGAGAAATCACATTTTAATATGATTCGGCAGCGAATAAATCAAGAAAATTTCTCTCTTTTGCACCAAAGCCAAAGACCACAGACCAAAATTAACCAGATCAAGATTAAATAGTGTCCTCTTCTCTATTATCAGTATTATGTTATAAACAGTTTTGAATGATAAGTATACAATTTAGTGCTCGCCACAATAACACAAAATATGATCTGTTTTGATCCTCCCTAGGTCCTAATGCACATTTCAAGCCTCCAATCCAATTTTGATGGTTTTCATATCAATTAACAATTTTTCTCTAGTTTAGCGCATTAACTGTAAGTAAAACCTGAGATATCTAGTATAGTGGACATTGAGATTTATTTTGTTATAGTCATCCATAATTCTGAATATTAAACAACAGAATCTGATTCATTCAATAAAACATTAAAATCTCATAGATAAACCCTGTAGTAAACAGCAGAAACATTAAACTTAATTGTGACCTAGTTTACACTAATATATATACTCAGCAAGTTGTGTTCCCATCAGTCATGAAAACAGTAACATTTTTCAGCTAAAAATCAGAGTAGACAAGGCAGTTTAAGCTGATATGATCTTTCTTTAGCAAAATTTTGAAAATGAAAATAAAATCAATTGCACGATTAATATTGATACAATGGCCATAGCAAGTCCATTACCTTAACTGCAACTTCCAAAGATTTTCTATAGAGCTCATTCTCAGGATCCTACAAATTCAGAATCCACCATTAAGTCACTTCAGAATTCCAAGCCCATAACTAATACTACATCAAGAAGAACAGATCAAATACATTACCTCATCCACAGCTTTCTGGAAATACTCATGTGCCTTGTCAAAATAACCCTTTGCCTCAGTGATATCAGGGGTTAGAAATGCATAAGACGTGTTGGCATTTCCCAAGCACCAAAGAGTGTCATGCTTTGCTGGATTGATCAACAAAGCTTCCTCCAGCTTTGAAAGGGCATCTGTTTAGTTGTTTGGTTCAAACCAAAACCCAAAACAATCAATCGCGGTTACTCGCCCTTCCCTTCGCCAAAAGACAAATTTACTTTAAAATTTACCTTCAATCATCTTCTTGGAATCCCTAGGATTTTGGAATGCCGACAACTCGATCAAAGCTCCTCCCCACTTGGTCAGATTCTGTATGAATATATGTTCAAACACACTTACGTTTGTTTCATCAGCTTCTACAAGGAAAATGTACCTAACATATTTTATAGAAGGCATATGACTCCAAGCAATAACGTTTCCAGTTTTCCACGTTTTAGGTCACAAAAGAATAATATCAGTAACAGTTTCATACATACAAAAGTTCTAACAGACACCTTCACAATTCGGAAACAGCATATGTATGAGAAAGTAACATACTCATACACGTAAGTGATGCTGAAGAGAAATTTAGGGTAGAACAAAAAGCGATACGTACATCAGCGTCAAGAGGATTCTCTGCATAGTTTGCTTCAGCGGTCTTTCGCGTATGCTCGAATAACAGTAACCGCTCAAAATCATCTTGAGAAAACTCCATTCTCTTCTGTGATTGTGAAATGTTGAGCACACAAGTGACTGCAACTGCAACTAAACTCGAGGAAGGAGAAAGACTTGACCTGGGCCTAGGCTTGGAATTCCTAGACCTAGGCCTACGCAATAAAAAAGCCCATCACGGCCCACCTCACGATTTATTTTTTTCTTTAGCGGGAAGGGTTAGGGTAATATGACGATAATACCCCTCGGTCTATTTCCGTTCCCGCCAAATTGAAAACCTTACTCAACCTTAAAATGAGAAAAATGAAGATTGAAAGAGAAATTGTAATGGTTATGGCGGAAGAAGAAGAGAAGGCGGTATCGAGCGAACCCGAATTCCCGAAGAGTCGGGTGAAGAAGATTATGACTCTGGACGAAGAGGTGAAGAGGGTGAGCTCAGAAGCGCTGTTCCTGGTGTCGCGCTCCACGGAATTATTCCTCCAATATCTTGCTGAAAATTCAGCGCAAGTTGCCATTGAGAAGAAACGCAAGACGGTGAAGCTTGAACACATAAGAATGGCCGTGAAGAGGCACCGACCAACTCGGGATTTTCTCCTCGATTCGCTTCCGTTGCCTTCTCAGCCCACTAAACCCGATGGGCCCACTCCGGCTGGGGATCGGCCCAAATCCAATACTGCTCCGCCTGGTACTCGTCGTATTGATCACTTCTTCCGAAAGCCAGAATCTGAAAACCAAACCCAAGCCCCAATAGATGCCCAAGCCCCAATAGATGAATCTTAGGTTGTCCTTGTTTTTCACTGCAATGGAGATTTGTATCTTATGTCAATCAGAGATCACAATTTACAGTGCATTAGCAAAAACATAAAGTTCTAATTTGTAAGCACCTTAAGCATGTGTGATTTGTTCATTAGCTTTTTCAATTCTAGTAGAGTTGCTTTAGTTTACTCATTTGAAGTTGGCAAACATTAATAATCGTTGAAATTCGTTAAATGGGATTTGTGATCAAGAAATGCATCTTTCAATCTAGGTACTGAAACATAAATATATCCGTTGCAACATCAATTTGTTTTTTTCAGTTTTATTCGATGTCTCCCCCTTCAGGATTTTCTTACTCTCATAGAAGCTTAGGGTTGTTTAGTTGATATACAATTCAGGGCATCTTAATTGAATCCATAAAACAGCAAAATGGATTCGTTTTAGTTGGGGCGAGCAAAAACACTGTATGATACAAGATTGTAAATAGAACAATGAGTCAAGAATTTAATCTGTTTGCAGCTGACATCAATCAAGTATGAGCTCTCATCCATTTGGGCAAATTTAAGCGCATAAACATAAGTACATAAAAATTCCTATGCTCGGTGTGTTTGAACTTATTCTTTTGCAGGTCCACAACAGTTTTCTTGGAAAGCAAGCTTTATAAAGTATTTTCAGTCAAAATCTATGTTTTTAATAAAGAAATTTAAGGAGAAAAAGGTCCAGCGTGTGTTGACACCATAGAAGATGTCTCGTCTCTTGTATGAGAAGCGAAGCCAGGTTCACCAAAAATCTTTTTTCTTTGTACATTCCTTCCATCCTTAAAGAATGCTATGCCTTGATTTCCTGAATTTATGCTGTTGGATCCCAGCTGTTGGATACTCATAGAAAGCCTTCTGTTCAGGGGCATGGAGTCTAGACCTCCATTCAGGTTTCGACTTGGAAGACGCCTACTGCCGGTGCTTGGTCTAGACGCATAAGTAATATCTCGCTCAATGACTGCTTGGTTTTGAACCTTTTTCTTTTCCCACGGCTAAAAACCAAACATGAGAAAGGAGGTGAGAATGATGTTGGTATGGAGTATAACATATGCAAGGATCATTTCGTGAACAACTTAATGTGAACAAGTATTTAATGCTTTAAACTGATATATGTCAAACACTAACCTGCTGTCTTTTCTTATCCTCCTCCTTTTCTCGCCTTAGTATATTATATTCTTCCAATATTGCCATTAGAGGTACCTACACAGATGTCATTTAGGCTTGCTGTTATCAACTTGACAAACCACAGCACTATAAAGGTCACTTAGTGAACATATATACTTGGTCATGAGAAAGGAAACTGTGACATCGTAAGACTTCTCAAACCATTTCATTTTAACATAACTAAGCCAAGAAATCTAGAACTGTATAACATGATTTGCTTCTTGGAATTTTTCAGGTTTTTGTTAACTTGATATGTGCTGGGATGTGATTGTGTGTTCTGTATTTTTCGAAAATTTATTGAAGTATGGTCTGTGGCATTGCTTGATTAACACAATTTGCAATGTGGCACGTTTAAGAATAGAAGAAACTAGAGTTTCATTATTGCTCCTATGCACACTATGCCAAAATATTGTTGTACAGTAGTTGTGGCATTTATCATTGGCTACACCATTCTTAAAATGAAGAGTTCCTGGATTAAAATCTGTTTTGCCACGTGCATCCATATGCAAATGCTATTCAAAAGGAATGTTGTTTAATCTTCAATGTTAGATGACATGATTATCTGGTGAAAGAGAACAATTCATAGAATGGCATCTGCAAGTTTTCTCCTCTTTAATATTTGAAATCAGTCAGTTATCTGAGACATTAAGTGGGCCTAGGGCTATCAAATTAAGGAATATATATAATAGATGGGAATCGTCTCATAATACTTATTTAGCCTCTTTTAATATGGTGAATGTTCTCTGAATTTTTAAAATCTCATTAATTCCCTTTTAAGAATTATTTAATTTTAGATTCTTATACACATTTTGAGTACATGTTTTCTATTATGTCGATTATGCTCAACTCCGAAGTGTTGCAGTGTAAGATGACTTACCTGATCGTACAAGAAAATTTTATTTCTTTCTTCCTCCCAACTCCTGGTCATTTTTATTAGCAAATCTACCATAGCTGGAAATAGCAACCATAGTTTGTAAGCCCATGCATGGGAGTTTGCTGACAGTTGGTCCAATTATCTGTTTTGATCTCTCATACACACTCACATACCTGGCATTCTGCTGACCATTATACGGGCACGTTCAGCACGTCTCAAGTTTTTGTGAGCTCCTCTACTGACTGAGTATCGATTCTCATCCTGATAGCACACTTGATTGTGACATACAATAAATACAGTCGATAAACCTATTTACAAATATTGATTCAAATGAAAATTCTAACCCTGCTATATTCTTCTAGCCAGCGCTCCTCATCACGTGCTAACATCCACTTCTCCACTTTCTCCATTATAGCCTTCCTGCTAGATGCCTCTTCTTTTGCTCTTGATATCTGTTCATCCATGCTCATGAGGAGATCGGAATGGTCAATCTCCCCTGTTGTACATGTAAGTCAATTTCCAGGCTGGTTTAGTTTTGAAGTAAATCTCATACATATTTTGTAATGGAATATACACAAATATTACTTAGATTCACCTGAGTTTATGAGGTTAATTATATTGTTCATCTCTGCCCGTGAAGGAATCTCCACGTGTGATTTCTTGCATATCAACTCCAGTTCCTCCTGCTTCTTCTGGAATAGCTCCTTCATCTTGCTTGCTTTTAGTTGATCCAATCTCTTTACTTCAGCTTCAGTCTTGTAAAAAAAATGAGGTTTTTTAAATATCTTTCTGATATTTTGTGGATCATTAAAGTTTGATACTTACCTGCTGAACTATTTCTAGAGTAAGACTTCCTGGATCTGTTACTTCCGCAGATGAGACTGACAACAAATTGATTACATGGGAAAACGATTGTCGTTCACTGTATGGCGTATCCATAAGATTCCAAAGATTTGACAGTGCTTTGCCTAAATGATGAAGCTGCAAAATATATCAAGAATATGACAAATTTGTAAAATGGAAGGCATAAAAGTCAAGGGAAAAAGCAATAGTAAAAGCTTAAGAACCTGAAGCATTTATTTTACCGTAGCCTCAAGACAGGTTAGTACTCTTACGATGATACATAATTTCTGTTTGACATACGTGTAAGTGTGGGCAAAGAGTCACTTCTACATAATGTAAAGTCATATAATTTTGTATCTCGAATGTCTTTTTCTATTTTGATTAAAAAATAATAATGTCACGATTACAATAATAAGAGGCAGCAGACGTTTTTATGTTGATTTAATAAGTAGGATAATTCCTTAGAAAGGGGAGAAAGTATGCACGGGCAATTTCAAATTTCACATCTTTTATTTACCTTGTCCAGCCGATTTTGCTTTTCTTCAAAGAGGGACTCCACTGTGGTATTGAGTTTATCCAGAATAGTGTCGCTTATATTTTTTGTTATTCCACACAAGTCGTTCAAGCTTGGATGAACTTCCATGATGATCGCAGAAGAATCTTTTCCCAAGATCGTGGACAAGCTGTGTATCATGTCGATATATTTCTCCACTTGCTGAAGTCTTTCATTCTTTTAAGTGTAATCATCACAAAAAATAATATGAAAATGTTAAAAAGTTTGAAGAATACTACTTAATGGTGGGGGTAAAAAAAACATCAACTGCTTCTAGGTACCTTCTCATTGTAAAGTCTTTGCAATTCACTCTGATACTCCTCTAGTCTTTTTAGTGAAAGATCATTCTCGTTTACTACAATGGTTGAGGGTTCACTGTCCGAGTTACCTGCAATTTCTGCAGAAATTTTTTGAATTTGACCTTGCACGGCGCGGAATTGTTTTAACCTATCTTCTTTCCTCATACGCATTTCCTGAAGTGCTGGAGTGATTGAATCTAGCTGCTCTTTTAGTGTACCCGCTCTTTTTTCTGGCTGTTCAGTTAGTACTGTCATCAATCTAGAGTCTATACTGGTTCATGATTTCTTGTTGAAGCATAAACTTTACCATTGAAGTCACATTCAAGAAGTAAAATTCTCTAGCAAAGTTGTATTGTTTGCCAAAGCTTAGCTCAGCAACTAATCTATTTTCTAGCATCTTTCTCACAATTATCTCATAAGTCACAATAGAATATTGTATAGACTTTAAACAACGAGATGTAATTGAAAGCAAAAATGTTATGTAATTTCTAACTCGCTTAAACAACTAGGCACCGAAAAGAAAAAGAACCACTAATAATTAGCACAGGTTTACTTTAGATAAATGAAATGGTATCTTATTGCTTAACATTGTTCTTGGTTCTGATTTTTTAACTAATAATTTGAGATGGCTAAATGGAATAAGTACCCGTCCAGGTAGAGATCTTTCACCAAGGGACAAAAGAAGGTGGGTAAATTCAGCCTCAGCCTCAGCCAATTCTTGATGCAGACGAGCTCTAGATATATTTGCTCTGTCAACTTTTCTTCTGTAAACCTCAAGGCACTCTTGCTCCAAATCTAGCAAAACCTTCTCCCTTTCGAACTTATCTTCTCCAACTTCATCCCATATGATCTAAATTCATAACATAAGATTAAAAAAAATGAAATGTAACAGGAGTTATCTGAAAACATTTGACATATGAAAATAAGCCTCTTGCCTGCAATTCCTGTAGCAGGAATCCACATGAAGTCTCTAGCAATGTGGAGCTTCTCATTCCAATTGGTGTCTGGAATGAACCCATTTGATTTTATGGTACCTTTCAGTATAGATAACTTAGAGACCACTATGGAGTTAACTTCCTGGATAGAAAATTAAAGAATGAAGAGGCGAAATTCAAGAATGATGAGAAAGAAGTTTTGGTGTCAGTGGGGATAGTATTTACATTTGGTGTTAGTTTTTGCTTAAAAGACAAGGATGGCAGAGGTGGGTAATGTAAGCTTTGGGTTCAAGAATCAGCCAGTCGTTTGATCCTTCAGACTTTATCTTTTCTCCTCTTTTATTACTTATAACTGTCTCTCTCATTAGAACCTAAAATTGATGGACTTCCTTATTCAGAGATATCAGATGTGATATGTGTTTTGCATCAGGCTTTGTCAAATATGGCACTTTTTATTTTATAGGACTTGATTCCTACGTTATCTTTCTCAAATGTATGATGCTGATCTTGATTGGGGATAAATAAGTGTGAAATAATTATTTATTGCTTTTTTGTAATGGATGCTAAAGTTGATTATTTTTCTTTCAAGTTTCCAGAAGTGATATCAAATTTAGTAGGGCATCATTATCACGTGTATTGTGAGCTTTTTTTTTTTAAAAAAAAAAAGGTTGTTTATTTAGGTGCAAAGACAACACCAGCGAAATTAATTTTGGAGTTCCAATAAAAACTTGAATAAAACGTTCTACCTTATTCCAGCAAGAGAGTAAAGTTGAGCTTTGTCTTGTCAAGGACGAAAGACAGCATAGAGATGAAAATATAAGATGAGAATATTGCATTCATGAATTTTACAATACAACCCTTGAGAATTTGGGGAAAATCTTGAGAGAACGGGAGGACAAATGCCACTAAATTGATGAATTTTCATTCCAAGAAGCACCAAGCTTTCAGTCATATTTAATATATATATATATATATATATATATATATATATATATATAATAAAAAAATATGTCAAGTATATTCTAAATTATATATAATATATAAAATTTATAGAAAATAAGAATCTGAAAAATAATAAGTTTAAGAACTATATTATATTTTTAATGAATTTTGTAATTTCAACTATATTATTTTATCATTATTATAATATAATTTTTTTATAAAAAATTATAATAAGTTTATGTTTTAATAATTATAAAAAGTGGGAGAATGAAAATAAATCCCTCTCGCACAAAAATTTTGGTTTGGCGATGCATAATTACATTCACGACCTTGTTCAACTACCACTTTTACAAATTAAAAAAAAAAACTTAAATTAAAGTCTAAATTCAGTCAAAGCACATTTCTATGTAAAAGTCGAATCGAATTCGGATGATTACTTATGAATTCAAATTTGATTATCATCCCTAATTCCCTATCTATCGAGCACATTTCACGAACAATACCGGAGATCAATTTTGTCTTTTCTCCGAAAGCAGGTTTTTAGAGAAGAAGGGGAGAAATATTTTTTTAATTTTAAATTAAATAATATTATTTATGATAATAAATACCTAATTAATATATTAAATTTATATTAATATATCAATTAATATTTTTTATTTTAAATATATTCATTTTAAAATAATTTGTCCTCCCATTATCTCTTCACTTCACTTCCCACAACTCTTAAAAATACAAATTTGAGTAGATATCATGATCTCATCTATGCAAGCTCAGACTTGTAAATGAGAGAAGGGAAACAATTATCCAATAAATTCTTGCGTAATGCTTATATTTTATATCACCCACTTTCTCTTTCATTTTCATGCACTTTTTAAATTTTTTTTTTTTTTATCTCTTCCATTTTGTTTCATTCACATCTTTTGTTTTCTTTCTCTTTCATTTTAACTTTCTTTCTATCCTTTTTTTCTCCACTCATTTAAAACCTAAAAAGTGAGTATCAACTTATATTTTTCTATTCTTGAATGCAACGTCTTAACGTACAGAGAATGACCCGGACTGGTGTCATACATGTGGTATCCACGACACATGAACCAATCTATTGTATAAATGTGGACAATTCTTTGCACATACTCAGTCTCTGCAGAATTAAATTTTTGTTGTCGACCATTTTTGGGATTTTGTTTTATTTCCTGTTGTAAATAACATGTAACTAATCATTCTAATTGTTAAGGTTTTTTTTTTTTCATTTGACACTACGAGGATTAGGGAGAGGCCTCATGATTGGAGCAGTGTCTAAGGAATTTTCACCACTTAGGATGTTTCTTTTATAAATGATATTTTAATTTATCCCTGCTGAAGAGGGGAAAAGAAAATGGAAAATGAATAACATTTCCTTCATAAAAAAAATTAATCCCTAAGAAAAACTTTCAACAAATGTCTCAATTAACATATCAGGCTAAGGGAAACTAATTGTACATACCAGGGACCACCTGTTATATTTGTACGAGGACAAGCCAATTTTATATAGTATACTTAGTTTAGAATTAGACAAATAAAGAGGAAATGATTTAGTGTCACAACTCACGGTATTCAAAAAACATCAATATCTGTAACTTCGTTTTCTTTTTGAATTACAAAGATAGTTATTAATTGTCGGATTGATACATTAACATTTCATGTATAAAAAAAAGTACACTAAGCTTCTGGTAAATGATAATGACTGAAATCTCCAATTATCTGATTGGTAAACTAAATTCTACGCAACACTTTGGTTCCACTTCCTCAAGTATGGGAACACAACAATCATTAACGCTTCATTCCCTTTGTTACTGCTTATGCTAAGGTGGCAAATAGTAACAGTACTCTTTGCAGGGCACATGTATTGTCTTGTCACTTCCATAGCATGCTCCGTTTTAGCTTGTTTGCAGGGCAAAATCAATAATAGCATATTATTGGAAAAATTACCTCTATCCTTTATCAAATATGAGTAAGCATTTTCATTTTTTTAAAATATTTATAGATTAAAATAAATAATACCATTTGGGTTGGCCTGGCCCACAAATCATGTGATGATTAAACAACAAGGTGTGTAGCTCTTGTCGCCAAAAAAATAAACAAAAAATAAGGGTGTGGATTGGCAAACCAAGCTTCATTTGATAATAATACTATACTTGTGCACGATTCAATCTCACGGAAATAACTTTTATAATAAGGTTCAAAGCAAGATCTGAGCACAGATCAGAACATAATTATTGACTCGTTGACAAAAACTTACACAGTATACTTAACTTTCATTACATTTCTTTTTATAAGCACTACACTTGAAATTTCTATAATTGTTTGAAATTTTGAAACTTCACGGAGTAAAATCTCGTACTAGAGGGCATAAAGAGCTAGCATAATCAACAATGACATAGAGTTCACCAAAAGAGAGCTTAATAGAGAAATTTGGTAGACGACCCTTTTATATTATAATGGAGGACACAATTATAGGAAGACCTATCACTTTTTGTGAAAAGTACTTTAATTTCCATTTTATGTCTCTCTGTTTCATAATGCAACACTCACATTAATCACTAATACAAGAGGATCCTGATCCTGATCCACGGATAAACATCACTTCCAAAATTTGAAATAAGAGTTGGGTTCCAAAACTTAAAAAATAATTATCTAGAGAATAATTGTAAAACTTCTTATATTATTTTCTGATTAATCTTTCTAGTTAATAATATTTTTGTATGTTCAAAATATTAAATGCATTTATCTTTTCATTTAGGAATTTTCGTAAACTATTAAAAAATAGTAAAAATGTAAAATATATATATATATATATATATATATATATATATATATATAACATTTGTTACGTAAAGAATACCAAAAAAGTTATTTATGAAATATCTAAAAGAGATTATTCTAACTTATAAAAGTAGATTAATTTTAGTTTGTTGCAATAAACTTCACTATTAAGCCTATGAATAAACTATCATTTCATAATAATTTATTAAAGAAGTATTTATTTAAGCTATTCACTTAATTCTTAATTTCGTTACATAGATGAAAGCCTTTACAAGGATGTTTACAAGCAGACCCAAAAAACAATACATGCATTTGTTCGTCTATTTATCCATTTGAGAAAACAACACATGAGTGGTGTAGATTAACATGTTTTCTTCACGTACAATTATTTTGCATACACCATAGTCAAAAAGGGGCTAGGAAGTACATGGATTTGGGGGTCATGAAAAAGTTAAAAGCAACGAATAAAACTAAGAAATTGTAGTATTACTGGACAATGAACTCGTGTAACAATTGATTCAATTAGTAGATCCACATAATCAAGACTTCCAATTACTAATTAGTCAAAATTTTCCAAACGAGAATCTCGTGGATGTAAAGTGGAAATTTCCTTAGCACTAGTCATCAAGGAGATGGTTTAAATAGCTATCGTGTAAGGAATGATGAATATAAATTACAGATAAGCTACTTAATAGTCACTAGTGACAAATTAAAGCTATGGACTCAATAAGCAGGAGAGCGAACTGTACACAAAGCTTTGGTCACGTTTCAACAAAGAAGATTGAAAGAAGGCATGTCTTCAATTCTTAGAACATCATCCATCAACAATTCTTTCTCTAGCTGAAGTCGTGTGGATTTCAAAACATCCTATAATAAAAAAAATAACACTTATTCAATCCCTTTTAAAGAAGCTCTTTAACACAGCACAAAAAGAAAATGTACATTTTATTCATAAGTTAAAAACAAGTATGTGACCAATTCTTACATTGAATTCCATATATGTAGCATTCCTCTCCAGCCACTGATTGTCCATAACCACGAATGCCACGCAATAAAGCAAGTCAAATGCCCACTCATTTTCTGCACATGTATGAGAATATTGGAAGAATGGTGAGAAATCACCAACTCTAAGATGAATCACATAAAAGATAGGGCAAATTACAGTCACATTCTATAAGGTTTAACAAAATTTCACTCAATATCTATTGTTTTAATATTTTGACTTCCCTGATTTTATAACCGTGTACGAAATCAAGTGTACTTTATGTAATCAAAAGGGGTATACAATGTTATGTTGTTACATAAATTAAATGAGGTTTGTATAGGGTAATAAAATAGTGAGGCATCGAGGGAAATCTTAAGACATTTTTGTGTGCAAATTAGGAATAGAGGTATATCAAGATGAATAGTGGAAAAACAATTTAGTTGTTGATTCTAACCTGAAAGCATCTGTAGAAAAACAGCTCTTACAAAAGTCCTGGGTTTGGCTGCAAATGAAGAATAAGCCCTATGTTAGAAATATTGCTGTAATAAAGATAACAAATTCAATCCCCTATAAGATGATAACATTTTGTAGTTTGAGTTTCCTTGGAGAGTTAACCACAAGATTCATGTTTAGTCAAATGGGAGGAGTGTATTACTAAAATTGATCAACAACAATCTTTGGTGCAAAATACTTTTGAGACAAAAAAAGGTTCATGACATACTGGCATCAAGGTCCAGCATTTGCATGATCATAAATGTGATATTTATGCCAGCAACAGCAAAGGGGTACTCCCAAACAGCACCCTTTCCTCCTTGCTTCTTCAATAGGCGCTGAAACGAAGTCTGCAACAACAAACAGAGAAACATCAAAATAAAATAAAATAAGCTATTCATAGAGGAAAGTTAAAAGTGCCAGGACAAAAACACTTATTTCTTTCATCCATAAAATGTCACATTACAAATGGAAAAATCAATGACTATTTTAGTTTTTGCTTTTAGTCACAGAAATGGCACCATCAAGAGATAGTACATAGTTCAGAATCTTACAGAGAATGTCTTTGCAAAGAATAGAAGATTCTCCAACGAAATGAAACCAGCTCCTCTATTCATGAAAATTGGTCCAAAATAGCAGAGTAAGCAACTCATTTCAACAGTGAAAACAGCACAAAAGCATTAGAGGAATAAGGCAGATATAACCTGAAATCAGTAGATGGATCTCTTCCCTGCCATCCCATCTCTTTCCATTGATCAGAAATCAAGCTTTGGAGCTCCTGACCAGGGAATGAAGCAGACCACAGAGCTCTCAAAGCTTCCTATCCATGAAAGAATTTCTAAATGAGTAACTTGCAAAAGAAAGTGAAGAAGATGTGAATAACTAAAATTTCAATACTGTTAAATTTGGTTTGAACCATCAATTTTTCATGTCAATTTTCTGGTACAAATTTAGCTGAGATTAAAATTGCAGTAAATCCTTCAGCATAAGATGCATACTCTGATGCAAAGCGAAATAAGAAAACAAAGATATATGTTGGTACCAAAAGTTAAAGAATATATATACCTGGTGATCAAGCTTAGAAGCATCAAAGAAAATCTTCATTCGACGCTTAAGTCTTCTCAGTCTTTCCTCCTGCAGAATTTTTACAAAGTTGTAGCTCAATGCATTTCAACAACAGTTACTGCAATTATTCTCAGAAAACAAACAATTTCCATTGACATTAAAATTCTAGTTATAATCATGATTTTCAATTGGCTTCTAAACTACTGAAAATTTGTTTGTTTCCAAAATTTTCCAGTTATCTCAAAAACTATCTTGAAATATACTTCACAAACACTAAACGCTTTCTTTGAGATAGTTATGCATATGTAAATTGCAGCCTTTGAGAAGAATGGGCAGGGACAATACAAGTTGTTCAACTTCTTGAACTGATAGAGAAACACAAATTGGCAAAACATAACACTTTGCTTTCTTTTACTGCAACTTGGAAAGAGAACTCTTGTTTTGAATGAACGATTACACAAGCACAAAAAAAAAGACACTATAAAGCAAAAAGGTGGCAGTTGAAGATTTATCAGAATAGGACAACCACTAAAACGGGTACAAAGTCAATTCAATAAAAGTCCTAGCTAGGAGAGTAAATTTGCAGAAGAAAAACATGACACAAACAAAAACTGACCACATCAAGAAACTAAAAAGCTTAAAAATCATACAATAGTTATTCAAGTAAAAAAAAGAAAAAAACAACTAGTCAAGTAAGTAAAACAACAATGTCTAACTTGCAAATCACTGACCTGTAAAGGGGTCAAACTAATGCAGATTCTTTGACAATTTCCCTTGCGCTTGAAGCAAACACAGGTGAGTCCTTTACCAATCCATGCGGGTGAGCCACATGTTGCATGATCTGCATATAACCAATCAGGAGACTTCCTCATTCAACTCTCTTTTTTTTAAACCTTTCCCAAACAAAGCCACTCACTTGGTTGAAGAAAGGAATTAAAAAGACTCAGAAGACTCCTTTTTTTTCACAAGTTAAGGAAGCGCATGATCAAATCAACAAGCACAGTTGTGGCAGAAATGTTGTGTTTTGGGTGGAACCGAACCGTATAGCATTGGAGGGGACATAATCAAAGGAAACTAAGTTGCGTACGGTGAATGAAGAGGAAGTGTGGTAATATGAACAGTGTTCATTGTCGTCTTTTGCCCCGACAAACCAAAAAAGCAAAATGACATAGACAAGCCATGAGCTGTGATGTTGGGCCAATGGGACCATAAACAACCACGTGGCCAGATGAAGATTCATTACATTACATATTATCCTGTCCATGTGATAAATTAAATAAATACACAAAATTTATATGTAGAATTAGATTACCGTTTTTAATCAAATTAAAATTTTATTTCGATACTTTATACCGTTATTTAGCGATTTTTTGCTGATCTTTATTGTAATTTATTATGGTAGTCATAAATAAGTTAAAAATTATAGATTAAATTAGAATAGTTCTCTCTTCAGCGAGATTTTGGTAAATACATTTTGCTATGGCACGAGTAATATTAATAAATTAAATTGTATGAAATTTTATATATTTTAATGAAAACATATATCATATAAAAAAAATCACAAAATAACTCATTTAATACGTTTTTTTCTTTTTCTTTTTGTCTTTTGTCTTTGGGTTTTTTTTCGTAATGGCGACCAGTTAGTTTAGTTGCTCTGGTTTGGTAACTTGCCATCCCCACAAATCCCATGATCTTGTTTGTTCCGTCACACTTCCCTCACTGTAACAACTAACAACTCCATTCATAACACAATCGTATCCTATATATCCTATGTAGTTTGGTTTGACTAGTATCACAAATGCTCTCGTCCAAGGTGGGACCCTCACCTCTCGTGTCCATTCTTGACGTGACCAAACAAACAAACCATCTGCTTCAAACACCGAATTAGGCACTGAATTTGATTACTACCTCTTTGTTTTCACGACACTGTTTTTTTTTTCATTAGGAAACATTGGATTCTTCAAACCGGAAAACGTTATCTTATTATTTTCCCATTGAACCCATTTCTTTTAATATATATAAAAAAAATGTTATCTTTAATAAATGGCTAGTAAATTACATTGAAAAAAACGGGGGAAAAAATGGAGCTTGATGAACAAAATACAATAAACAGATCAGGGTCATCGTAATTTCATTAGTGGAAATTATACAAAAAAATTGCACCAATGCACGAGGCAAAGCTTTGGATTGGACATAAACATAAAGTGAACGATGAAACCGTTAAGGTGAAGAGATTGGAGAAGACAAAATATATTAAAGGCAACGAAGATCACCTGAAGGGTGAGAGATGGAAGAAGATGGAGAAGAAGAGCAAATGGCGATGAGGGTGGCATTGATTCTACTGAGACCCATCACATTATTGTGATTGCTGAATCCTAATGATCTTTTGGTTTCTGGGATCTGCGAAATCCAATTGTGAATGGTTGTACTTTCTATGACACTTATTCTAATAAGTAAGAACAAAAGTGATTTCGTATTACACTGTCGTTTCCAAATTCCACGTTTGTCCCATCTGAATTTCCTCAACCATTTACCAAACTAGACATTAATAATCTTTTACCCTATTCATGGTCGCCTCGTACTTACTGTGTTTGAAACGTAAAAAAAAATGAGATACTATTTGACTAGTAAATTAAAGAATTAATTATGTTTTTATTACTTATAAATATAGTGTTATTTATTTTTGTTTTTTCAATTATTAAATTTGATCATTATATATTTTTCATTTCTTAAAATAGCATATTTTGTCATCATTATTATTTAATGACAATTAACTTGATTATGTTATATCAACAATCATTTTAAGATATTATGGCGTAATATAATTAAATGTGTTATATAATTATAAGGTGATGATAAATATCATTATGAAAAAAAGGTGACGATAAATATTTTTTAAAATTTTAAAACAATAAATACTAAGAGTATGTTTGAAAACACAAATTTGTATTATATTTTATTTTTAAAAAAGAAATTAAACATACTTTAACACGTTTTTTAATAGACTGTGGTTCAATAAACTAAATATACAGAAATTTTAAAAATATTTTATCCTAAACTAGTGAGTGTTTAGAAGAAAAGAACTATTTTTGAAAATTTTATTGATTTTATTTAAAAATGAGATAGTTAATTGGATTGCAAACTTGAGCCATTATTCTTATTATTTAGTTATTATTTTTTGTTGTTTTAAGATTGGAAGCTATCAAAATGACTAAAAATGGTATCAAAATCTGTAGTTTAAAATTTTAAGATTGGAAGCTGTGTATGGTATCAATGATGTGTATGGTATCGATGATATTTTTTCCCCTTTTAGGGATAGTTGTGACTGTAGCTGAAGAATGAATGTACAAGGTCAAAAGAGAGAGGTCTGAAAATCATAGATTCTTCCACCAATCTTGGATTTTAAGCCTCCGGCTTCTATGAACAGTGATCCCTGAAGCTTGTGCTTAAACTATCGCACCAGCGTATAGACAATAACAAGTATTCAGGAATAGAGAAGAGTAAAAACAGTTATATAGACAATAACAAGTATTCAGAAACAGTGTGGAGAAAAGACAAGAACGAGATCAAGAAAACGAGACCAAAAAATCACCATCAAGACCAAAAGCAAGAACAAGTCAAGACCATGACTGAGAACAAGAAAACAGACCAAGACCAAAAGCAAAAGATGAACACAGATGGAAGCAAGAACAAGATCACCACCAACAGCAAGAGCAAGAAAATGAGACGGAGAACAATATCAAGAGGAAGAAAACGAGACCAAGAGGAAGAAAACGAGACCAAGAGCAAGAACAAGAAATCAAGATCAAGATCTAAAACAATAACATGAACACAAACGAGAGCAAGAGCAAGAACCGATATTAAGGACAAGTAAGAGCAAGAAACGAGACCACGATCAATAAATAAGAATATAAATACAGATGAAAGTAAGAACAAGATCAGGAACACAAGACCAAGAATAAGAACAAGGCCTAGAACAAAAAAAAGAACAAGATCAAGATCTAAAAGAAAACATAAACACAAACGAGAGCAAGAGCAAGAAACGAAGAGACCAAGAACAGAATCAAGAAGAAGAGCAGAACCAAGAAAGGGAGAACAGTATCAAGAGAAAGAACAAGATCAAGGACACGTGAGACCAAGATCAAGGACAATAACAAGAATGAGCAAGAAACCAGACCAAGATCAATAAATAAGAATATGAACACAAATGAAAGTAGAACAAGACCAAGAATAAGAACAAGATCAAGATCTAAAAGAAAACATAAACACAAATGAGAGCAAGAGCAAGAAACGAAGAGACGACCAAGAACAGAATCAAGAACAAGAGCAGAACCAAGAAAACGAGAACACTATCAAGAGTAAGAACAAGAACCAATATTAAGGACACGTGACCAAGTCGCTTTATCAAGAACAATAACAAGAAAGAGCAAGAAACGTGACCAAGATCAATAAATAAGAATAATGAAAGTAAGATCAAGACCAAGAGTAAGAACAAGTCCTAGAACAAAAAAAAGAACAAGGTCAAGAACAAGAAAATAAAGACAAAGATCAAGAACAAAACATGAGATACTTACTGTGTTTGAAACGTCAACAAAATAAGACACTGTTTGACAAGTAAATTAAAGAATTAATTATGTTTTTATTATATATAGGTTATAAATATGGTATTATTTATTTTTGTTTTTTCAATTATTGATCATTATATATTTTTAATTTATTAAAATAGCACGTCATTATTATTATTTAATGACAATTAACTTGATTATGTTATATAATTATGGCATAATATAATTAAATGTGTGTTATATAATTATAAGGCGATGATAAATATTTTAAAAAATTAAAATTTAAAAGAACAGATACTAATTAATAGACTATGGCTCGATAAACTAAATGTACGGAAATTTAAAATATATTTCATCCTAAATTAGTTGGTGTTTGGAAGAAAAAAATTAATTTTTTATTGATTTTATTTAAAAATGAGATAGTTAATTGGATTGCAAACTTAGCCCGTATTATTATTATTATTATTTAGTTATTATTTTTTGTTGTTTTACTAAGATTGGCATTTTTTCTTCATGATATTAACATATATATCCTCAGAGCATGTCTTCTTACTTGCACCACTACAAAGGCTCATAAAACCTGAGAGCATGTCCATTATGCTCCCCACCCAAGTGTGGTTAAAGTGTCACCTAAATAAGAGGTTGGAAGCTATCAAAATGACAAAAATGGTATCAAAATCTGTATTCTAAAATTTTAAGATTGGAAGCTGTGTATGGTATCAATGATATTCTTCCCATCTTGGGATTTTGTGACTGTGACTGAATGAATGTACAGCGTCAAAGGAGAGAGCTCTGAAAATCATCTCTTCTTCCACCAATCTTGGATTTTAAGCCTCTGGCTTCTATGAACAGAACGTCTGATCCCTGGAAGCTTGTGCTTGATCTGTCTCCACAGCATATTAACAGCATCTTCCCTTTTTGGAGGGTACTGAAATTCGTAATGATGGGAAATGTTCTTAAGCTGCCTCCACATTTCAGTCCATTTTTTCTTCGGAAACTTCCGAAGCTGATTGATCATGTATTCAGGTTCTAATGCCTCTTTGAATGAAAAGAAAACTGAGAATTGAGAGTAGTCAATCTCGTTCTCAAATGGGAGTTCAATCTTATCACTCACAATAACAGGAACACAGTGACTCACAATGGCATCAAAAAGGCGGCAAGATGAAGGTGTGTCTCCTGCTGGGTGCAAACAGAATTTTGATGAACGCATTCCCTTGGTTGACTGTTACATCACAAGCAGAGCATAAAGGAATGCTAAAGTTAACGATCTTTTTATCATCGGCCCAAAAAAATGAATAGGAAAAATTAGTCTACAAAGAAACTTTTCAAGGTCTAATTTCCCTCTAAATGCAGCATGTTTGATTCAGGGTAATACAAGTATGTTTTCAGTGACAGAAAAATCAAAATGCTTGGATATATTAAAAATAATAGGTTTTCTTCATAGGATTGCTAGTATTCTACGTCGGACCAGCTAAAAACATAACAAAAAAGTGCTATTGCTTTGAAAACATTCCATTTTGTTCAGAAAAAGCAAATTGAATCTCAGTATTAGAATCATGTCAAAAACTTTTTACAAAGAAAAACAAGTAGCAACACATAGTTTGATTGGGAACTATTGTTATATATTTTCCCTTTATTAAGGGTTATTCTTTGACAGATAATGATGGAGAAGAAAAATAATAGCAAAAACGATCTTTTTAACTTAATGGTTAGCCACAAATTTTCCAACGACAATTAAGCGAAAAAAATAGCACAAATCATAGACTGTATCCATAGCTATACTGCTTACCAAGTTTATGTTTTCTCCTGTAGCAACACTTCGTTCATAGTGAACATCATCATAACCAGCTAAAATCTTTGCGAGTTTGACACGGACAACACCATCCTGCAAACACCGCAGAGCCCCAAAAATCAAGTTGCTTGGAATTTTAAGGAAGTGGGTGTTATTCTTTCAACAAAATCTCAGCCTGAGCCACATACATCTTTACGGATAGTCTTCCCTCTGAAAAAAAGAAGCTTAGTGCGAGACTCATATGGATCTTGAGGATCATCATCTGCGTAAGAATCCACAACATGCACATATGGGGACACCACATCTTTGTTCAAATTAGACACCCCTTTGGGGTATCGTCCAAAATCTACAACAATCTGAATAGATTCATTCACTTGATCCCTCAGGAACCTAAAGGCATTGGGATGTGTCATAGGAAACACATGGTCTCTACCTCCAAACCTTTGCCAGTACTTCGATTGCCTTAAGATTCCCATCAAATCAATCTGAACCAGAAACAACCCATGTTAGCGAATGTTCGAAAACACATTAAAAAATCTAGAAACGTGATCCAACACAGAAATTAACCGTGAATTAGTACTCATTTAAATGTGAATCCAAAATCCAAACATGCTATTAACGTTCACCACTAACTACATTAATAAAATAGTAAATAAAAGCAGAAAAAATTCTATTTTAATTTATATCAGCAATCCCCATGCCATGGATACACAATTTTATAACCCTTTTTTTTAAGATTCGGATCCTCTCTTTCTATTGAGAAACCAAAGAAAAAACAAAAACAACAGCTCTATGCAAAATTTATAAATATAAATAGAAGCACTAAACAATCTGTAAATAAATCATAGAAACTTGATAACCCAATCATATCAAGAAATCACATTGAATGAAAATTTCAAATTCATTCTCAGCTACTCCAACTCAACCCTGTAACAATTGGCAAAAAAACCCAAAGAAACACCAAAAATTTAGGTCAACGGAAAATCTACCTGCAATTGTCGATCAACCTTGGAGGCCGAATCCGTCATGTGATGACCGTGAGTATTGAAACTCAGAGAAGAAAAAAACGGCACGAAGAACACCTGAGCAAGTTCCGGATCCGAAACCCTCACGGCATCGCCACCGTCACCGTGCAGAAGCGACCCCATCATCCAGTACTCCACGCTATGCTGCTTCTTCAGCCCGGAATTCTCGGGCCACGGAGGGAATTCCCGGACGGTGACAGGAGCTTCGGACGTGTTCCGGCGATGGAACATGCCGACGTTGAATCGGCGCGGGAGATCGTACATGTAAACCCTGAGAGGAAGGTGGTGGCTGCACGGAGCAGAAGCAACCAGAAGTGGTGATTTGAACACTGGCAATGAATAATAGTAAGAACGAACGTCGAGTGTGCCCACCAAAATGGAGGATGAAACGAGAAGTAGGAGAACGACGCTGAAACAAGTAACCACCTTTCCAAACATGTTTTTCTCGTTTCTTTTCTGCTCTAACTAAAACTATAGCTGCTATTAGTAGTTGCTTTGTTCGCTTTTTAGTTCAGTGCCATTGCTCACATGCATTCCAAGATGCATTTCTTGGTTTGGAGGTAAGAGTAAGAATTCAGTTTCCTTTTATTCTATCAAATTAATGTGCGTTGGATTCGATATTTTCAATTCTTATCTTTCCCGCACAAAAGGGAAAAGCACTGCAAAACTTTCAAGAACAAGGGATGGTAAAAAGGTTAATATTGTATTATCAATTCCTCTATTTCGTTTTATCGACTTTCATTTCATTTTCCCTTTTTTTTCTCTCTCTCTTGGATTATAAGAATTATTATGAAGATGACTTGAAAAATAAATGAAAGAACCACCCAATCCTACTTCACATTTAGCTGCTGTGAGTTTTCAATTTTGATGGTAACATTCCACTGGCTTAGTTTAAGGGTCCATTCGGTTCATGATTGAGAATAAATTCTTGCACTTTTTTAACATTAAATTATTTACTTGTTTCTATGTTGTAAATTTTATTTTATTTTATTTATGAAATAACATTGTTTAAAGAGTTGTTTTTATTCTACAACGAAGGAAAGAGGCCAGAGAGCCTGTGCAATGGTGGGAGGATGCCAGATTGCTTGTCACATCATTCTTAATATCTTTATTTACTTTTTTTTAATCATCCTTTATAATAAGTAAAAAAAAAAAAAAAGCCTTTATTAAACTCATCCTCAACATAACATCACTATATAACTAATTAAAATAAAAATAAATTATACAAAATTAACATTCTTATATATATATATATATATATATATATATATATATATATATTATTTAAAAACCGTAAGTGATATGTTATTATTATTTTTTTTTTTGCTAATAACTCAAGTGATATGTTAATGAAAAATGAAATTGTATCTTACATTCAAAATTGAATGCATTGATTTAAGTTATTGTTTTATATTGTATATCATTAAATTATAAATTTGTGTTGTAAATTATTAAATTATATTTATGATAAAATAAATAAATAAATAAATTAGAATACAAATAATTTTGTTTATTATACACAACTTTTAAAAACTTTCTAAAAGTTTTTTCTATCATCTTACTTTATTTATTTGTTTTATAACCATATCAATGTTAAATATTATCTATCTAATTAAGTACATATATTGTTAATATTGATATTTTGTTATTAAATTATATTCATATATTTAATTTAATTTATCAAGTAAGCATAAAACCACATTCTTTTTAAGTGATATAATGTATTAAATTTTATTTTAAATTAATTAAATTATATAAACTCTATCAATATTTTCTTAACTAAATTAGTCTATAATAATATAAATTTATATCATCTAAAACTACATTATAGAGTTGACATATCATATATGTTATATTTTAAAGTTTATTAATAGAAATATTTATAAATATATTTAAAAAATAATTATAAAAATAATAAAATTTGATATTATAAATATATTTTAAAATGAATTTTAAACATATTAATAATAAATAAAATATAATTAATATAATATAATATTTTTATATTATATTTATTTTTATAACACTCATAAAATATTTTTATAATTAAATTTAATTAAAATATATAATAAATTAATTTATATAAAATTAATTACACTTACTTATTATTATGTATATTTATAATAAAATGTATGCTTATTAAACTTTAGAATGTATATATGGTTATTGTTGTCATTTTTACACATTTAACTTTAACCTCTAAACAGCAATATCATATCGTATCTATTTTTTTCATACAAAAATGTATTTGCTTTTTTTAAACATGGAAAAACACTGAGGTAGAAAAACTTGTATTTGTTCAGAAATACAGAAAGGAAGAAGATTCTCTCTCTCTACAAATAATTGATTTTTTTAATCATATACGAGAATATGTGCCAACAAGTATTTAATCACATGAAATTCAAAAGAATAAGTTTTAATTTCCAGTAGATAAAATATAAAATAAAATATCAACCTTAATCTTTAAACGATTAATAGGTAAACATATCAATTTTTTCTTAGAAAGTTAATTTTACATATATTATTTTATTTATGATACAAACTTATAAATGTATAAAATAAATTTTAAATTTTAATAAATTATGTAGGATAACTCTGTGCTGAATATGCTAGATGAATATTAAAGAAAATTTTTATTATTATTATAATGAATAATTGAAAAATATTAAAAATATAATAATAATTATAATAATAATAATAAAAGATAGAGAAAAAGCAACCATCGCAAATGGTGTAGAGCAATTTTTTATTTTGGTTTATTTAGTCTGGACTCTTACAATTTACTCAATACAGATCTGGACTTGCATTAGTCGGACCGGATCTAGTTCAGGCCCAAAGGGGCCCATTTTATGTGATACCACTCACACACGAAATTGGTAGCCATTATATAAAGTGAATCCCGCTTTCTGTGCCCTAGTTTGCTTCTTCTCTCAGCCGTTGTTCTACTTCAGCCGTGCGGAAGAAGAAGTCACAATGGTAACCATTCACTGCTTCTCTCTATTTCGCTTTTAGATCTCTTTTCGTTTACCTCTTTTTTCTCTTTTCGCAGGTCAAGTACTCCAGAGAACCCGACAATCCCACCAAGTGTAAGTTCAAGTTCACTTTCACTCAATAGCTTTGTATAATCTTCTGATTTACGATTTTTTTTTCTTTTTTCTTTTGTGCAATTGTTATTTATGTATTGTTTTTATTTGCTCAAGTGAATGTTTATTTTGAATCGTTTCTTTTATCTTAATTTTAAACTAATAGTCGATTGTGCCTCGTAACTGCAGCTTGCAAGGCTAGAGGTGCTGATCTCAGAGTGCATTTCAAGGTATTTAGTTAGTTCTGTTACTCTTTGATGGTCGTTTGTGGTGATATAGTTGATTGTCGCGTTAGTTGCATGATTTTTATAATTGATTGTGATTTTGACATGCTTTTGCATTGTAATTGTGTGTGTTGAAAGTAGGAAACCTGATGAAAAAAGCAGGGGTCTGTTTGACCTTGTGGACTGGCCTCTCGTAACCTTCAGGGATATAATTTCCATTGTTATTGGGTGAACCTCTGTTCTTTGTTTCTGACGGAAGGTTCAGTAAATGATGGAACAAGCTTTTCACTGCAAGCTTGTATAAACCAGAATAGTTGATCTCGTAAATACCGTTTTAAAAAATTATGCATAGTTTGTTCATCTGTTTAGGTTTTTAATAAAGGAAAAAGCTTGCCTCTGTGCGAATGTACATTCTAGACCTTATCTGGTGTAGCCACTATTGTTTTTTAGTTAATATATATTTCCTCATTTGTTGATTGAAGTTCCCTAAAGATGTTTATTGGTTAGTAATAGGGTTTAGATTAGTTTATTTATTCACATGCTCTGTTAGCTATTATGTTCTGAGACTTGGAATTTTGTTTAAAATTGTTCCCCACAGAACACCAGGGAGACTGCCTTTGCCATCAGGAAATTGCCCTTGGTGAAAGCTAAAAGATACTTGGAGGATGTTTTGGCCCATAAACAAGCCATTCCTTTCCGACGCTTCTGTGGTGGTGTTGGGAGGACAGCCCAGGCTAAGAATAGGCACTCTAATGGACAAGGACGTTGGCCTGTCAAATCTGCTAAATTCATCCTAGATTTGCTCAAGAATGCTGAGAGCAATGCTGAAGTATGCATGTATATGTATTTTGTTTGCCATGTGATTAATTAAACCAACTTTCATAGTAATTGTACTTTTAATTCCATCCTTGCAGGTAAAAGGTTTGGATGTGGATGCTCTCTACATTTCTCATATCCAGGTTAATCAAGCACAGAAGCAAAGACGTCGCACCTACCGTGCTCATGGAAGAATCAATCGTATGTTGATTTTGTTTTTTGTTTTGATGGATTATTCTTATTATTTTACATGCTTATGTTGTTGGTGACTCCCTGGCAGCCTACATGTCATCTCCCTGCCACATAGAGCTGATCCTATCTGAGAAGGAAGAGCCTGTCCAAAAAGAGGTAGCGATTGATCATCTTGCTAATGATTATTTTGGTTCTTTTGTTTTTGTGTCAAGTGCTTATTTATTGTTGTCTTTGTAGCCTGAGACCCAGTTAGCAACAAGCAAGAAGAAGTCTCAAGCCCTTCGAAGCGGTGCTTCATCTTAAATTGTTATTGAATCAAATGGTTAGAGGGACCTACATTCCTAGATTATGTCAGTTTTGTTGCTCTTCTCCTTTATTTGTTTTGAGCCGTTTTTGAAGCTTGAATATGACATTTTGTTTCGTATACAATGTTTGAAGTTCATTGAGTTACTTGGAAATCTTTATCTTGGTAATCAAATGGTTGATTTGAGTTTTAATTACGTCTTGATGCATGCTGCGGACCTTGTTTGAAGTAGCCTCATTATGCATGGATTTCCCCTTTATGATTTTGCCAGGTTTTTTGAAGGTTGAAAAGCATTTATTTTTTATTGAGAAGATACATCTGCACTTGAATTAGGACGTGTTGTGCTGTCTTTAGGACGTGTTTATTCGAGTTCTGTTTTAGAACTGAAACCCACCCCTATCTAACTTCATATCTTTTATGCTCCATATGTATACGGTGCCTTTATATTGAGAAGGGAAGAAAGTAAGCTCTTAAATTAGCCTCGACATTTTAACATAGAAAATTTACAATCTCGTTGATAGTTAACTAAAATGTAGGAATAATTGTTTTATAAAAAAAAAACGGTTCGTAAAATCTAGAGAGAATGTTGATTCGTAAAGTTGAGAGTAATCGAAAACTCTCTAGCTTCATTTTTATCGCTGTTTTATATTAAAAAAGATCATGTTGATCCGTAAAGTTGAGGATTTATGAAAGTTTTTTAAAATTGTAGGAATCTAAATGTCAAATTTAAAGGACTGCTTGATTTGTTAAGAAAGACGTTAAACTTGTTATAATAGTGCTGGTTTTCCGTTCACTAATTTCCTATTCTCTAAATCGCCGCTTGTAGTTATTGAAAGCCAATTTTTCATAAAATCAATTCATTGGAAGTTGTGGATAGCGATTTGATTAGTCTGCCAGGAATTCGTTATGATAGAAAAAATTATTGCTGTTACAATTTAAATGTCTTGAATTTTAATTATTCTGATAAATTTTTTAATGATAAACAAAACTCTTAGTAGTAATTGAAAGTAAATAGATTAATTTTCAGTCAACATTTATTTTTCACTTCATATGTTTAAATATAAAAGTTTTATTTTATAACAATAACATTGATTAAATTTTTAGAACAATCTCTTTGAACAAAACACTAAGTTTATCGTTTTACAATGTTAATAAATTCATTTGAACAAACAAAAAAACTGTCGCTCTATAGATATGTTTGGCTTGCATTTTAATATATTTATTTTTTTCACAATGTAGAAATTTTAAAAACAATCTAAAGAAATTTCATCGCCGAAAAGAAAATCTGAAATTTTGTAATTTCTGTCAATCTAAGCCTTAACACCTTGTAAAAAATTACTGTTAGAAAGGATATACATACACTCAAGATCACATGAAACTCAATTATATAAACATGCTTGAAAAGGAATTAATGAAAGCATCATATTCTCCATTTAAAAGAGAGAAATTTTAACCAATAACTAAAGCATTTGACACATCATTAATCACATCTGAAAAAATCACACAAGTAAGAACAATTTAATCTTTTCGGAATTGACACTAGAAGTGAAGATTTCGATATATCAAAGAAGAATATGACATATGACGTGGGAATGAATGAATAACATTTAAGCATACTCAAAATTGTTTTCTTTGTGACCAGAAATTTCTCTCGTAACATGGGTTCCTATGCCAATTGTTGGTATCAAATTTATTCATTGAATGTGCATATTTCATTAATTTTGTCATGGAAAAATAAGGAAATTTTATTTATAATCTTATAGACCATTCAAACTCCATTGAACCCTCGCTAGCATAATAAAAGTGAAAAAATCAAATTTAAAAAAAAGTTGAAAAAAATAGCATGACCCCATTTCAAACCCTAGCTGGTCGCTGCTTGCTTCTTGTTTGACTCTGGCCTTTCTTTTTCTGCATTCGATCGATAAAAATCACCCACTCACTCCTAATCGAAGTTTCATCTTACAAAATCTCAAGGTAATAGATTTCTTTCATCGCTAAGCACATGTTCATTAAGCTTCAATTTATTCAATTGTTTATTTGTTTTTTCGTTTACCCGATTACCGAAAAACTCATTTATAGAACATAGAATATGGGGTTCCATTCCTTCAGTGTAGAATATAGAGATACAGAAATGGAGGCTTAAAAGAATTGTCTAGTTTCTGCATAATTGATCTTATTTCTATACCTAATTATACCATTTTTTCCATTGAAAATTTCTAGTTAGGGGGTGTGATTTTAATTTTACAATGAATGTTACTGTGTTGAAGAGTGGAAACATATGGGATTGCCAATTACAAGTTTATTTTTTCAGAGGATTTTGTGAACTTGAATTAAGGTCTCATCCATCTCTCAGCAACCCTCAATTTTAAGTCTCATTCAAATATTGCTGAGTTGAGATTACAGTGGTCCAGTAAAACGGAGATGTAGTCCAATATTTGTTTTGTGACTTTTTGACATCTTGTCATTCAGATATATAATTCCTTTAGATGATTTTAATTTTTTCATTTGCATATTGTATGTAAGATTATGTTTTAATGGTATAATCGTAATAAATATGTTCTTGTATCACTGCTTTAGATCTATGATTTTTAATATTTGGATTTGTAAGGTTGATCAATGTTTTTCCTTAATTTTTTTGCTTCATTAGATGGATTGGCAAGGGCAAAAGCTAGCTGAACAATTAATGCAAATAATGCTGCTTTCATTTGCTGTGATTGCATTTGCATTGGGATATCTTATTGCTTCTTTCCAAATGATGATTCTCATATATGCTGGTGGTGTGGTTCTCACCACATTGGTGACTGTCCCTAATTGGCCCCTTTTCAACCGCCATCCCCTTAAGTGGTTAGATTCAGGTGAGGTAGAAAAGCATCAAAAGCCACAATCGTCTTTGAATGTAAATTCAAAGAAGAAACCCATTAAGAAGTAGGTTTCTTTGGCATATGTTAGTGGAGTATTCCTTTAAAAATACATGCTTTGACAGGATTTTGTATTTCTCATTTCTTTCCCTTCCTTTTTCCTTCACTGGGTATTACATGTACTTTACTTTTTAGGACACCAAATTTATGCTTGGTTGGTTTTTAAATATGGATTGTCTTGGTTCACTAGCCTTTCTGCCCATTTTTCTACTTTAGATTTACAGGTATTGATAAAAATGGGGAGAGGTGCAAAGTGAAGGTACATTGCATAAGGAGAATACTGATTATTATGCTGGAGCGTAAGCATTGCGAATTTTGGTCATTCCCTATATGGAGTTTTGGACCAGAGGCATTATTTGCTAGAGTTTTATGGTGTAGTGTTCGCTACAATTTAATAATTGGGTCTATATTCTGGGTTGTTTTTTTGCTCTTTGAATGGAAAAATCGTTCACCCCAATAAAAGAAAAGGAATCAAAGTTTGGAGTCGCTGGTTCTAAACCTGTGCACAAAGCTAGAGTTCACAGTTGAGGGGTTAAGTAACCACCAATTGGTTCGCACATGGCAAAGGAATTGCGCATTAAGCTTGCAAAACTCGTGAATCTGCAACAGGTTTCCAGGTGACAGGTTATAAGTTCAATACACAGCCTGATCAATTCACTTTGATATTTTTGGTGAGCTGAACTTCAATACACAAAGCCCGAAACAGCTTGATTAATTCCTGAACCAACTAGACTTGCATGGTTTTAAGTTTTATTGAAATCAGGTTGATTCGGGGAAAACTGTGTCATTACCATTGTCTCTCGCGTTGTCATAGCACAATATGCTACTTTTGACCCCCGAAATTGTCTAGTGTAGTGTTCAACGCTTATAGTTCAGGTAACCGAAACAAGTTGTTCTAATCGAAAATGATCATCTCACAAGGGTTAATGTTGCTCTTAATTCAATTATGGGTGACAAGCATGGATCAACCTTTAGAATTCAGAATTCAGAAAAGTGAGTCAAGCGGTGACATTTGTACAGACTCTGTACACGATTGAATCAACGTGACAGAAGACTTTTGGGTAAAAAAAGAACATGAACTTCGGTGAAAGCAAATAAGTTGAACCCGAGATACATGCGGAAAGCGCAGAAAGGACCTATATACAATGAACCCTCCTAAGGTTAACAAATTTCTTAAGAGTTTTCATTTCTCAGCGCCCTTAAAACGGGGTCATTCTCCTCGTCAATCAAATCGTCGTCATCATTCAATTCATCCAAAATTGACTGGTTAATTCTCTTCCGAGATTGTCTCCTATGCTTCTTGGGCTCCAGCCTTGGTTCTGCTTGCTGAACACCCATGTCTCCCATTTTCAACCTGCATAAAAATATAAATGTGAATAAATAAATAAATCAAGAGATGTCATGTTTGATTCGATAATTCCCCAGGATGAAAGACAACAGGATTATACCTCATCTTTTCATGTAAGTAGCATTGTATTGTGGGCAGTACAACTCGCGTCATGAATTACTCATAATACGTTAATAATTTTACTTTGCTACATATTCCGGGAAAGATACTTTTATTGATACGTTCAGAAAGTTTTCGTTTCCCCACAATCATTAACAATGACAGGTAAAGATTGGGGGACAAAATAGTTTATGCATAAAACGAGGTTGCATGTTGAGGATGATTTACGCATGTGAGTAGCTTCTTTCATGGGCTAAAATGCACAATTGCACACACTACTAAATCCATATGTGATAAACATCACAAATATAATAGAATTGTGCTATGAAATTCATGTTCACATCTATGTATTAACATGTACAAAGACAAGAATCAGGTTTTTAAAAATGTATAATACCCTCATTTCAATCATCACAAAAAACTGCTCAGAATGTTCATTTTATGAATAAATAAAAATCCAAGAATTGCTTTTTATCATTGCATCACAGTTTTCAATTAACTGAGTAGTGTTGGTTTTCAATCAACAAAGTCAAAGACACGTTACTCATCATACCTTACATCGCCTTCTCTTTTGGTTCCAAATGTCCTCAACTGGAACTCCTCCCGTATTCTGATTTCATCCAGAAGTTGAAAGTAAAATGAATATCTTTCCCAATCCCCCTTCACAATGCACCCAGGTTCACCCACATGCAAGCAATTGTTAAACGCACATTTAGCAGGCTTGTCAGTACTGAGTGCTTTCCTGATCTGAACAGGGGGAAAATAATATAACATCAATCTAAACAGGAAAAACTGTGTTAACCCCAAATTTAGTCAAATATAACATAAGCATTACTGACTTCAGGAAACGTTTGTGCAAGAGACTGCTTCGTCACTTTCAATAAACTAGGCTGGTTAAATCCAGGAGTATCAGCAAGAAAACCCCCTCCCGACAGTGGAAGCAGAGAGACGTGGCGAGTAGTATGCTTCCCTCTGCCACTTCTTGTCGAAACCTCCCCAACTCGCTGATCCTCAAGCCACTTACTTCCTAAAATCTGAGAAATGGTACACATGCACAAGTAACACAGTCATCAAACACTCGTACACACACTTCGACATATCCAAATACACACGAAAACAAAAAGGACAAAAGAAACAAAAACCCACAGGCTCAAACCAATTCTCCCCTTCTGCAGCATCAGAAACACGAGGATTACTTCTTAGGGCATTGATCAAACTAGACTTCCCAACTCCACTAGGACCCACAATCACCGTAGTTTGATCTCTCAACTTAAATGCAAGAAGATCAAGTCCATATCCAGATTCCACACTGCAAAGAACTGGTTCATAACCCCAGCCACGTACCCTAGCCTTCCAGGAATCCACGGTCTAAACAAGAGCAAAATCAAAAGCAACCAATCACTTCACACCAGAAAACAATAACAGCTGGATTTCAATTTTGCAATTGTAACACAACAAACAAAACCTACACTGATTCAACAAACCAAACACAACAACTTGAACCCTTTTATCCACAATGAATTAACTCCATCATTCTTTCTAACAAACACAATGGACTACATAATAATTAAAAACACATACATAACATAACAAAACCATAATGATAATCACAATGCAAACAATTTGAACCTCTTTATCCACAAGCTCTATCTTGTTAAGTGCCAGGGTTAAGGGAATTCCAGTGGACTCAGCTTCGACCAGGAACCGTGTCAGCGTGAATGGTTCAACCTTGGGCTGATCGAGCGAGAACAGAACCAGCAAATGGTCAACGTTGGCAACGGGAGGGTCAAGAATCTCTGAACTTCGCTGGAACACATTCTCAATCATGCCCCTACGATCCACCCAATCCACAGAACCTACCAGAACCTTGTCCCCAACCATCACCCTCCGCTTTATCTTCTTCAACAGCGCCCTTACCACACAGAGAATCTCAACTCCATGGAAGCTTCCAGAACCTTCTTCGGGAACAATGACGCGCATGAAGTTCGCCTGCGAAGCTGCCACAACACCAATGGCTTGCGATTCAGAGAGAGGAGGATTGTCTTCGAGGGAGAGAACGGGAGCTAGAGATGAATACTCCTTCAAGGTTTGCTTCGCCTTCCACAGGTTCTTGCTCAGCGCTGCTTGTTGATGCTTGTTAGGGTTTTGTTGTCCGGCGGCGATTGAGAAACACCGGAAGCGGCGCAGAAGGAGCGGCGCGGCGGAAGCCACCGCGCGGTGGCGGAGCATGGAGAATGATGCCAGCGACATGGACTTAAACAATTAAGAGAGGGAATCACAAATTGGAATTGAATTGAACGGTGTATTAAATTTTGAATTTTAAGTATTTTTGTGTTACCAATTTTTCACCTTTTTAGGTCACACTCTGTTCAACTCCATTTTCGTGTTACACTGCAAGCAAAAGCCACTCTCGTAGTTTCTGGGACTGCTTTATCTAAACGACATTTTTTTAAAAGAACAAAACGAATCTCCCTCTCCCCTCTCCCCTCTCCTCGCATTTCAACGACGCTTTGCCACTTAAACGACGTTGTGTCTACTACCGCCACTGGGCGACACGTTCTCTCTCTGTTTTGTCTTTTACAGCATAAATTCTAGAGTCGAATTAATAAAATATATATGTTTAGATGTTGAGCTTAAATTTAATTTGATTTTTTAATTTGTTTGATGAGAGTTAAACTTATAAAAATTAAATTTTATTTGTCTTACATATTATTTTTGTAAATTTAAATTTTTTTAGTCGGTCTATTAAAGCTTGTTACTTGTCATAAACTAGCCCAAATAAATTAAATAATCTATTTTATTGCCTTTATCAATATTAATAATTTATAACGTAATTTAAAAAAGTAAATTAATTAGCTAAAAAAATTATAACAACATATTCACGAGGACAAGGTATCTAGTATTTAGAGAAGAGGGTGCAACATCCATGCTTAAATGGATTGTCATGAGGAGAATTTTTAAGACTAAAGAGAACGACGTCACAAAATAGACCACTCATCAACTTCATAATCATTAATTAAGAGCTAATATGATTATTTGTTTCAAAAAAATAACCTTCATATGTAACTGTTAAGTAATTCATAACGCAGATTACCTGCATCAATCTTCATTTTTCTCTTATTCCAACTTCCAATTCAAGTTTTAGATTACAAAAGAAGAATATAAATCTAATTTTAATTTGCGAAAAAAATATATACTTTAAAATTGCATCCTTTTAAAACATATCAGACTAATTATATCAAGTAAAAAAAGGTTTAAATAGGTGGAGAAAAAACTTTAAGTTGTCTAAAATTTAGAAGAAAGCTTCATATTTTAACACATTGAAGTAATTAGATTGATTTATTTTGTCACTTTTAGTGTTCATTTTGCTTCAAGAATAAGGTCTTTGTTAGGATTTATTCGTTTTAAAGTTTATTAAAATTAATTTTAAACAATTCAGTATAATTAAAACATATGTAAAAAACAATAATATTAAAGGACACACAGGGACAGGTCGACAAGACATTTTGGTGATCATTGTCGACGGTGGTAGGAACCACCAGGCACCAATTATCAGAGCATATTTGTTTTACTTTCACATTTAGACAAACGTGACACACTTCAATCATAATTTGGGATTCTATTATTTAAATTTAAACAAAAAAAAGTTATTCAAAATGTGCAAATATTGTTTTACTTATATTTAATGTTTTTCATGTTTGGAGCAATTTGATCGAAGTTAATGTTTTTTTTTTCTCTCTTATCCTATTATTTGTTAAGAAATTGAGGCTTACAAAAACAATAATGCTAACACGTGTTAGAACACTTTCTTCAAGAAACTGTATTAAAAAGTTGCTTTACTATTTTAAAAGAACTAGATCCAAACACTTGATATTTTTGCAATTTTAGTTGTTTCGTTTGTTTTTTAATATATCTTTAAAATGCACACACATGTGTTTAATTGCTTTCTCTCCGAATGGACCCTTAAAATATCACTTTTTGCCCAAACACGTTTGCGCCTTTGCCGTATCATCGTCTCGCATCGGATTAGGTGAGAAAATTAAAATATGAACAACGACCATAAAGTATATAATGTTTGCAAGGGCATTCTAAGAAGTTTATGACACATTTTCAATTCTTAATTTAAAATTTTCTCAACAAATCAGATTTGTGAGTTGATACATAATTTGAAAAAGCATTATTAAAATATAAAAATACTGAATATTTTTATATGATAATTCAAAATTATTTTATCGTTATTATTATCTTTGCTTTATAATGCTATTGCAATTTCCACCTATTCACCTGACAGAACCGCGTATCGTAAAATCGCAGTGCTTCATTGTATGTACTTTCGAATCGAATTTCTTGCTCCATTGGCCAACAACCTCACGTTTCAGGCATCACTACACAATCCTTATCCTCTCAAACGCCATTTTTTACTCAAATTACGGCAATGCCACGGGAAATGGATTTCATGTTCTGAACTTTTATAAAATTTTAAGAATAGATTTGACTTTCTCTTTGCTGTTTCTAGAATTTAATTTTGATTAACTTCACCCATCACCAACTTTTAAAATAAATATTCTTATTACAATATTAAAAAAATTAAAATTTTAGCGAATAGAATTATCAATCCAAATCAACTTACACAAAATTGGAATATGTGGTGCTATCTTCCATGGTTGCTCAGATTTCTCATTCTTTAACTTATGAAAAATGGGAAGATTATTCGGATTCTTGGAACTACTGGTTTTGATTTAGTGGCACGTCTTAGTAACACAGAGTTCACTTAACCTAATGCCACAGGAACCAAAAATCTAAGATTCTTTGTTCCTGTCTGCGGTATAACTTACAATCACATAATATGTTATTTGTCATCATCCATGGTTTTATTCAACACTTGAAACGTGTAAGCGTACAAATATTTAAATGAACGATACAGAAAGAGGTTCTCATTGGTTCAACTTCTTTCATCAAGTGACACTCAATAGATTTTTGTGGGAAACGATTTTTTTTTAAAAAAATTACAGATTTAAATTTAATATAATCTTAGTGAAATTTTAAATATAAATTTAATTGCTGCACCTTTTTATAAAAAAAAAAATACACATTCTAATAAAGTTATACATGCATGCATTATATTTAATAGTTTAAGATCAATTTAAAATATAAAATCAATATATTATATCAGATTTTTTTTAATTAATTAGCCTGCATATATAATAAAAATTTGGTTTCTCGATGAAGATTTTTATAATGTATTTTTTTTTTGTTAACATTAAATTGATAAAATTATATCAAATTTTGTAAATATTTTTAAAAAATTAACAGAAATTATTACAATTTCCAATACAAAAAATTAATAATTAATTATAAATTATAAATTGAATAAATAAAAATAATAATTTTTATAAAACTATAATAAAAAACATTATCAATATTATACTTAAAAAATGATTAACTTTTTCTTATTCCTCATATCTTACAAATTTAAAATCTCAATCAATGGCTATAATAAGAAGGCAAAAAGAGAAAGAAGAGAGGGGGATATTGCATGTCACCAACTTGTCTGTAAATCAATTTTAAGAGTTAAGGTTAACAAAATCTATTAATTAATATGTAAAAATATTTTATAAATATAAATTTTATTTTTTAAATATATATAATATTAAATGATGTAGCTGTTGAATTATATATTAATCATACTTATAAAAAAAAGTATAAAATAAAATTAATAATTAATACATCTTAAATTTATCATATATTTTTATAATTATAATTATTAAAATACTTTATTTTTTTATAATAAAAGAAAATACTAGTTAAACAAAAAATAAAATATAAATTATCACATATTTAAAATATAATTTATAATTTTTTTAATTCATCAATTAAAATTTTAAAGACCGATTATTATAAAATGTTGATTACGATGAACTGATCAATAAAAAAATTTTGACGTATTTTTTAATATATTAATTAAATTTTATAAAAAGGTAAAAAATATAAAATTAAAATTTTAAAAAATAAATTTTAGTTGACAAGAGTTTTTTATTAACCAAATATCATAAAATATGACAAGAGTTATTGTTTCACCATATAAAGTTGAATATTTTCCTTTATCTCCGGAACACAGCTACAACTTCCCAACACAGTGCGGTTTACTTCATTACCATTTTGTTGTTCTGACTCGGTCGCATTATGTGAGTGTTATTCTCTCTCCTACAGTGTTGTTCCTAATCCTATAAATATCCTTTGCTTCTTCCAAACACATCCTTTCTATCCATTCTTCACACTCTGTATTCACCTTCACAACTTCTCTTCTCTGAATCTGCATCTTCTTTCTCTCGTAAGTTCCTTTTCTTTATTTCTTTTTGCTTCTATTATGTTGTGTTGTTGTTTATTGTTCTGTTTTCTTTTCTCTATTACAGATCTACCAACATTTTGACAATAGATTGGGATGCTATTTTGAATCTGGTTCATCCACTCCTTAATACATGTATTGATTCAGACTCTGACACTTTCTGAAACTTTTTGTGCTGTTTGTTGTATGCTATATCTTCTGTGTTTGTCTAAAACGAAACTATACTTTGGTTTTGTTATGATCCACCGCTAAGATTTGTGATGTAAGTAAATTTATTAGTCTCTGTGAAGTTTGGTGAAGGTTCATTTTATGATAAATCAGATTGAATTTCATTTAACAGAGGTTTTTCTAAACAGATTGTAAAGTTTATTGGTTTTCTGATCGATTTGATATTCTCACACATTTCATTGCAAACAAACTGAGTTATATAATCAACGTTTGGCTGATTCCAGATCTGGTGGCGATTTGTGGTTCTTGATTTTTATTTTGTCTTGGCAAATGAAATTTGTGTTTTGTTATTCATCTTACGACGATTAACAGGTGTAATAGAGTGATAGATTTATCATAATTATGATTTTTAATCTTTTGACTTTCTCTCCCTTGCTTCGTTTTTTTTTTTTAATCATTTGTTTCAGTAGAGGCTGAAGTTATTTTCTTCTTTTCAAAATTTCTAACTCAGTTTTTCTCTTTTATTTCTTTCTTGATTTGTGTTGATTTTTGAGATGACGCGCATGTATAAAGCTTATCTTTATCCTATTTGATCTGTTCAGCCAATATGGACTTGAAGAAAATGGAAGTTACAGGTGGCTAAATCTTGGCAACTTCTATGGCCTTCTCTGGTATGTCTTTGTAATTATGTTGATAAGCATTGATTACTTTTTGTATTTAATTTCAAATTTTAACAACTCTTTGTCGTAATGTGTAGATATCTGGGAAATGTGTGAGGGAGGAAACAACTTTGGCAGTTTAAGAAATAAGTGGCAGAAAACAAGTAAGAAGAATTACTGTAGGAGCAGAGCTACTGTTATGGAATTTGAATCAGACTGGACAAAGCACAGAAAATCATCTGCTTATACTGCTCAAGTGATTCGTCCTGCAACATCTTTTATGCCTTGGTCTTGTAGAATCCCAATCGGTGAAGGATTTTATGAATTTCTTTAGTTATTATTTGATTCTCAGTAAGACATTTGCATATTATTTGGTGGATTGATCATGACGAAAGTTCTCTATATCCTTGTGATATATGTTGTGTAATTGCTGGTTTAAAAAATGCCTGGTTTTGCTGTTGGAAAGAAGAGATTTACAGAGTCGAATATGTGTTTCACTGATTTGATCAATCGAGATAAATCAACTCTGTCTCAAAGCAATCATTGTTTAACCCCTGAGGCACTGAATAAAGTTGATAGCCCCATTGTACCTGGGCTGCCTGATGATGTGGCAAAGTATTGTCTTGCACTTGTGCCTCGTTCCAACTTCCCAGCTATGGGGGGTGTCTGTAAGAGATGGAGATCGTTTATTCAAAGCAAAGAATTTGCTACTGTGCGAAAATTGGCTGGGATGCTTGAAGAATGGCTCTATTTCTTAACAATGGACAGTGAAGGAAAGGAAAGTCATTGGGAGGTTGTTGATTTTCTCGGTCATAAATGCCGATCTCTACCACCAATGCCTGGTCCAGCAAAGGCTGGATTCGGAGTAGTGGTTCTTAATGGAAAGTTTCTTGTTATGGCCGGTTATTCAACTATTGAAGGAACTACCTTTGCCTCAGCAGATGTTTACCAATATGATTCTTGCCTCAACAGGTATGATTTTACCTGGAAATTATGGGATTTTGTTTGTTACATGTGATAAATTCTGGCATGTAATTTAGTTACCATTGTTATATTCATAATATGTGAAACATAATGGTATGTCAGTCACACTCATAGTTTATCTGTTTTTTTTTATTAATTTTCTTTTGACTCACTCCATTCTCTTTTGCAATTGCAGTTGGAGCAGATTGTGTGACATGAATGTGGCTCGTTATGACTTTGCTTGTGCTGAAGTCAATGGATTGGTTTATGCTGTTGGAGGCTATGGAGTGAATGGTGACAGTCTCTCCAGTGCTGAGGTATATGATCCAGATACTGACAAGTGGACACTGATAGAAAGCCTTCGCCGCCCAAGATGGGGTTGTTTCGCTTGTGGATTTGAGGGTAAGCTCTATGTGATGGGTGGAAGGTCAAACTTTACTATTGGAAATTCCAAGTTTGTGGACATATATAACCCCGAGAGGCACAGCTGGTGTGAGATTAAGAAGGGCTGTGTTATGGTCACAGCTCATGCAGTATTAGGAAATAAGTTGTTTTGCATAGAGTGGAAGAATCAGCGGAAGCTTTCAATATTCAGTCCTGAGGACAATTCATGGGAAATGGTACCAGTCCCATTGACAGGGAGCTCAAGTATTGGTTTTCGATTTGGGATACTGGATGGAAAGCTTTTGCTTTTCCCACTGGAGGCAGAACCTGCTTATCAAACATTGTTATATGATCCAAATGCTGCTCTTGGGTCAGAGTGGCAGACTTCTGATATAAGGCCATCTGGTTTGTGCTTGTGCACTGTAACAATCAAGGCATGAATGAATCCTTGTCTTGTTCTCAACTCGTGGCTGGTGTAGAGCTTCTGATGTATGGAATTTTCTGCATTTTACTGGAATTAAGAACAGCAGGGAGGTTGAGTGTCCCTCACATTATATTATGATTCGATTTTAATTCTGTGTATTTTGCTTGTGACTTTTAAGTTATTTGCTACCTAGTGTTATCATGTTGTCATGCGTTCCCTTTTGTGTCTCTGGCCGATGACTCTATGAGGGATTAGTTCCCCTTTGTCTTGTAATTATTGACTTTGAGCAGCACTATTTCAAACTGTGGTAGGTGAGTTATATTGTTTGCTGTTCTACTTTCGACTCTTGGTGTTATAAAGCGACAGCATTAGAGTTTTCAAATCATCTAGAGGCAGGTGCACGTGGTAGGCCGTCATACTTTATGGTTGAAAATAAAAAAGTATACTTGGGAGATATCATGTTTAGCACACCATTAAAAATGCATATGAATGGCTAAAAAAATTAATGCCAATAGGGGAGATATCGAGTATGATGATCTGTTTGCAATATTGGAGAGATAAAAATAATGGAATTGGATAGAAAAGAAAATAAAGGAAGATCCGAGTCTCGATGAAGAAGAGATGAAAGTTTGTCTTATTTGTTCGATTTTATCCAAGAAAAATGGATATGTGTGCAAATAAATATTAAATTATTTTATTATTTTAATATAATAAAATTAATTAATGTAAGAGGAACCAAATAGAAAAATGAATAATGGAACTCGCAAAATTACGCTCTTTCTTTTTTTTTATCTAAGGGGTAAATATGAAGAAAAAGAAAAGCATATCCCTTCTTTCTCCTTTCCCTTCCATCCAGATTTTACATGGCAAAACTGGACCGATTGCGCAGGGCAACCCTTCGTAACAGAAAGGCAAAAGCAAAAATTACATATTTTTGGTCTCCACAAAGACATAGTGATCTAAACGATATTGAACTAAAACTTGATTAATCTAGCCTGACTTTGGACCAATTTATTCTTCAGGCCAGCTCCTGAAAGAATTAGTTAATGTATATTTTAATAGGAACTTCTTATTATCACCTCCACAAACTAAAAATTAAAATTAAAAATAAAAACTGATATATGAAAATTTTCAAAGTCATTTAAAGTATTTCTTATTATTATTATTCAAATGTAATTAATTTTTTGTTTCAATTACATTTTCGATTCTTCTAATTTTCATGTTTTGTCTCTCAAAAATTGTTAAGTTAATTAAGTTTTTTATTTTTAAAATTTATCATATTTATTTCCTATCAAAATTTTTTTGTACTTATAACTATAAAATTTTACTTTGTTATTAAAATATTTACAAATTGAATCAATTAAATTGGCTTCTTTTTAAAATCAACTAACCAAAATATTAATTTTACACAAAATAAAAATATCATTTTTTTCTATTCAAGCCCTAATTACGTGTGTAAAAAAAATCACATTTATCAAGTTTTTATTAATTTTTCTGCTTTTAAACTTTTGAAAATATTTTACATTTGAATTTTATTATAGAATCTCCAAAATTTTAAATATTATATATATATATATTCAAGATCTTTTTACACTGGTGTAAATCTAAAAATTTTTATATTTAGTCAAATTTTTTTATTTAACTTAAATTTAATAAGTTATAATTTATTACTTTACTAACTATTAAATTTAAATTAAATGAAAGGTTCAGATTAAATATAAATTTTTTTAGATTTATACTGACGTAAAAAATTATATATATATATATATATATATATATATGATTTTATGTAGAAAAAAATCAGGAGTAAAAAAAAAAAACTTACTTTACTCAAAGCATCAAGAAAAATTGATTACTAGTAAGATCCATGTTGAATAAAAATGGAAAATTATCAATAAATAAAATAATATTTTATTCACAAATATTTACTTTTTAATTTAAGTATTTCGTCTTGCTACACCACCTGGCCACTCCAATCCAAGTTCTCAAAAACAAAACGGACTCGCACCTTTCGTCGAACACCTTCACTGCACTCACACTGAAGTTAAAGCGCGCCTTTTGCTTTGAAATTGGGTTAGAACGAACAAACCTAATTCCTCAGTTCCATCTTCTGTTTCATTACAACCACACACCATGTTTAGCGCCACACAACCTTCTTCTTCTCCCTTTGGTACCCCTTCTTCAACCCCAGCATTCGGTACTCCTTCTTCAACCCCAGCATTCGGTACCCCTTCCTTTGCTACCCCTTCTTCCACCCCTTCCTTCGCTACCCCTTCTTCAACCCCTGCATTTGGTTCTTCCCTCTTCTTAACACCCTTTTCTTCTCAACAACAACAACAACAACAACAACAACAAACTCCACTGTTTCAACAACCACCTTCTACTGGTTTCGGGTTTCAGAATTCTCTCGCAGCACCGCAACCCTCGCCATTTTCAAATGCTCAATTGACTACTCAGATGGCTAACGTTTCACCCGTTCCTTTCTCTCTCGCCGATCGCGATGTTCAAGTAGTTTCTCTTTTCCTCTAAATTATTTCATTTCATTTTTATCGTTTTTTTTTCTATTGATTGATTTTGTGTGTTATCTGGTGTTTCCGAGAAGGCAATCGTTGATTCTTACAAGGAAGATCCTGGAAACCCCAAGTATGCTTTTAAGGTTTTCCTCTCTCTCTCTCTCTCTCTCTTCATTTTAGGGAAACAAAAAAAAGAATTACTCACTTGTCAAGTTTTTATGTTTGGATTTCATTTTGTGCTCATATATATATATATAATTTTAAAATTAGGGTTTAAAGTTTGAACCCAATCTTATATTAGCATTGTTCTTTTCTGATACCATGCAGCAAATGTTAGGATTGGGCTTGTTAGTTTTTCGTGTTTTCTCAGATTGGTGTTGTGTGTTTTTGTGTTGTGCAGCATTTGTTATTCAGTGTAACAGAACCACAGCATAGGGTGAAGCCTGCTGGTGTATCAGATGTAAGTTTGTATTTTTCCAATAAGCACTCTAGTTGGTTGCTTCTTCTACATGTTTTTTGCCAGCATTGGCTGATTGTAGGAATAGTTTATGTTGCTAGATTATGTGGGCAGAGGCTATGGGGAAGCTTGAGGGTATGGAAAGTGCTGATAGGGAACGTTTGTGGCCGCAACTTGTTCAGGGTTTTAAGGATCTTTCACAGCGCCTCAAGGTAATCTTTATTACCTTCATTAGGTTATGTTTGGATTCATGAAAAGGGATAGCGTAGAGGAGTATGGAATTGAATAATGTTAGTTGCCATTTCTTGGATTGTTTCAAGTAGAGTTGATTGGAATGGAATGTGGTAGAATCTATTTCAGCCAATTCCATCAATACTTCTGTTTCCCTCCCCCCCCCCCCCCCCCCCCAATTTGGGTGTATAGGATGGAACTTAATGTTTCTTGATATCTTTAGCATTCTGTTTGCTTCCCAAATTACGGAATAAGAATTTTTCTCTAAAATATTCAAACAATAGTGCAGTAGTGTTATTTCATTTTATCTCATCCATTATACCGAACTCTATTTAATTCCATTCCGCTCCACTTGTCATTATATATCCAAACAAAAGGATACATTTTCACCCACATTGTCATGCAGATCCAAGATGAAGTCATTGTTTCTGATGCAGAGAGATTACGTATAACCCAAAGCAATGTGAAAATGGTATTGTTCTTTCCTCTGCTCTTCCAAGAGCAATGTTAAAGTGGCCCTGGCTTCTGATTTGTCTTTCCATTTGTTTGACGCTTTTTGCAGCTCCAAAGGCATTTTCAAGCCGACACTCTTCCTTGGATTCAAAGATTGAAACAAAAAGAACAAATTCTCCAGCAACGTCTTTTAAGAGTAGGGACAACTTTTATGTGTTTGAGAATGAAACTTCTTGATTGTTGGATGTACCAATTATGTGGCACAAAAATAGCTATAGTAAACGGTTGAGATATAGTAGTTTTATCCGGTGTTTCCCTCCTTCATTATATCTTCTCATGTGGTGATTGAAGGTAATGAGAATAGTGGAGGCCTTGGAGGGAAAAGGCTGCCGTATACCCTTGACAAAAGGGGAAGCTGAACTCGCTGAAAAATTAGCCACAATAACTAGACAGGTAGAATTTTTTATCAAAACCATCTTCTCCCTTCTGCTTATTTGCTGTGATGGAAATAACGGGGAAATATCTTTTTAGCTGAAAGGATCTGGAGCAGAACTGTCTAGAAGGGTACAAAATCTGCTAACTTTATCTCGGGTCAAGGCTAGTAGCAATGGATTTGGTAGTTCCGTTTATCTTCCGGGGTCAACGAAAATTCATGAACAGAGTCTTGCTGACCTTCAGGAGGTAAGATGGGACCAACTTGAGAAGTTTATTACTTAACATCTTGATTTGCATTTATTATTTAAAAAAACACACAAAATTATGAGACAATGCATATGATACGCCAAAGAATTCAATGTAATGATCCACTATTTTGTGAGGGCAGGTTTTGCAGCAGCAGATGGAGGCCATAGCAAGACTTGGCAGTGTTCTGAAGCGAGATATACGGGATATGGAGATTATGATGACTGATGACAGCGGCGCCACTGAAAATGGGAATTTAATCTGAACTTAAGAAAATCTTAACTAAGCCTTCTTGCGTTGCATTCGCATTTTATTTATAATTTTTTAAGCTATCATCAGTTAGTAATTCGTAAAAGCTAATGTAACAAGCACATCGGCATTTTTTATATGGTGTTTCCGCTGCGATTTGGAACTTCCTATCATATGCATTTTGAGAAAACGTTATGCAAATTAACGGTTATATCTAGCAAACTTTATTTTTACGGTGATTACAACTAAATCAAGATTTGTTAAAAGGTGTTTCTCGGGTGCACAAAACTAAAGATATTCTCCTGACATAAAATTTTATATCTTTTAGATGTTTTCGGATTCCTAATGTTGAAACTTCTCAGCATTGGCACCTGCATTTTATTATTACTTCAAAATAAGAATGGTGAAATTGGTCAATAATATTAACCCAAGTAATCAGATGTAACTTAAGTCTGAGGAGAGTGTTAAAGACACAGAACATCTTGCTACCATTTCTCAACTCGTCGTTGTTAAATATCCTTCATGCACTGTCAAGTTGGGTTTAGCAGCGACACTATCAATAAGTATAAAATTATCAATGTTAACAGCGTAATTCGGATTCGAATGCATCATTTTGATAATTTTGGCTTAGTTATCGAGGTTAGAGACTCCCACAACGAACCAGCTATTTGAATTCCATAACAAAATAAGAAAAGAATTCTATCAATTAACTAACTATATGGTGTCTGAAAAAGATAATTAAGGCATAAATCAGTTGCCCTGATTAAAACTGCTATACATAAACAGATGAGCTAGAAATAGAAACAATGTGTCAAGGGCTCCGATGAAATCATGTGAGAACAAACTCTCATCGTAGATCATCTAGCATACAAAACTGCAGTGGAGCGTACAGTGGACGTCCCTGCCAAGCATCAAATTTCTAAATTACTTTTGACGATTATCACATTGGAGGATGAGTAATTATATGATATGGTAAATCCTGTGAAGTTAACATATGCAAATTTATATAGCAAAAAAAAAAAAAAAAAGCAAATTTAGTTTAATTCTACGGATGGCCTTTCCTTTTGTTCATTATCAAGGTACCAACAACAAACCGAAAAACACTTGCGTAAATGTCGCCATGATCAACAATTCTGAACTGATTACAAGAGCGGGGCATCTCTTTAAGGTTTGGAGGAAGAAAAAACTCGGACAAGGAATTTCAGTAAAAGACGACCATATAAAAGGGTGTTGATGAAAAGCTATCCATTTCGTTGGAGGGAAGACGAGGGAAAAGCAGGTCATAAAGGAAATCAGGTCATAAAGGTAAGATATGTATAAGCATCAACTCAACATACATTCAGGGAGTCCTGTGTGCCATTCACAATAATATACAGGCTTTGAACAAAACTGTTTCGCATAGACGATGCCTGATTCAGTTTCAATTTCTTTAATCAGTTCATTGTGAAGGATTTCACTGAACAAATTATATTTATCAGTATGTTATCAGTATGGTCCCAAATTACAGTTACAATCACAATTACAGTTTGACTTCTAAACGTCCGTAAGAAGAATTTATGTATACAAATCACTGGATGGTCCATGAAAGGGCAGTACCATCAACCAACAGATTTCTTGATAGACATGCCTATATATGGTTTAGAAACAGTTTTTAGTATTTTATGGCAAAGATTTGCTCGATAAGCATATTTATTCCTCAACATTAGTTTCCTGACTAGCGTGATATTTTTTTATATGAAGCAAAGAGACAACTTACCATACAGTAAACATAACTTAGAAGAAGATTATTGAAACACCCATCATAAAGCAACCTGCAGCTACCCATGGGCTTAACCGTTCACCTGTTTTGGCAACCAAACAAGCATAGTCAAGATAACATCACTGTTTAGGTTCCACATCTCATGAAATATATTTTTGTTCTCACTTACTTTATAGCATTTTCTTTTAGTATTTTGTACGCAAAAAGAATCAAACAATGAAAATCTATTCCACTGCATATCCTAACGTTCTAGTGCAGCACTAAATGTGGGACAACAAATTCAAGAACTATGGTAAAGCTAGAAACCTAGAAACCAATATCACAGACAACATTATGGATGCCACCATAATATAGCAATTTGAAGCTCGCAATGATATAGAACATACTTAACTGCGAATGAATGTTCCATAATAACTAAAAGATTTATCAAAATGGCACATAAGTATGAAGCATACCTATAGAAAGGGTTGATGTTGTAAAGGATGTAATCAAGATTACTGCATAATAAAATAAGGATATAACCATACCATAACCCAACCTTTTTCTATTTGCATCAATCATAATGTACTCCCAATTTTCCATTGCCCATAGGTAAGTCATAAACACAACTATGTTCTGTGGAATATGTTAAGTAATTCAAAAACAATGCAATATATGTTAAATTTGATAAGTATGGAGTCATTAAGGCATCAATCACTGGGGTAAAAGCAAGAAATCATCACAGAAGAAAGCAAAATGAAACTTCCAGGGTAACCTGGACCCATTTTAATGCTCCTCCCACACTCTTTTTCACATCAATCTCTTTTCCATCACTTAAATAAAGAAAGAAACTATATTTTAGAAAGTGCATATGGAAATAGATGTTAAATAATAATCAATGCCGTAGCAAAACAACTAGGAGACATGTACCTATTCTTGCCGCCTTCCAGAAGAAACCACGAAATCTGTCAGGAAAGCATGCATGACATCAATTCCGTTTGTTCAGTGAATTCTAAAAAACTGTCATGGAGAAAGAAAACACTGTTGCAAAATATACATCCAACGACTAAAAAAAGAATGGAACCTTATGATCCATTGATCTTTGAACATGTAAATTGAAATGCTCATATTCTCAAACAAGTGAAAAGAAAGAGGAAAGGTAAGCGAAAAGAATGGAGGGTTAAATAGTGATTTTCCTTTTGCTTTGTTCGGATGCTGAAAATTAATTTTAGGAGCCCTTAAAATGTTCGAAAAAATTAGTGAAGGGAGGATTTTGAAGTGCGATATGATAATCCCCCCATTTTCTTTGACTCATTCACTCTATAAAGTCCCAAACAAGGGAAAGGTCCAATGTAAAAAATCTTCCCTTCCCTTCACTTTCCTCCCCCCACCCCCTCCCCACTCCTCATTCTCCTCCATCCAAAGATGCATACTAAGGCATTGCTCTGTACTGGCAGCATTACCCCAAAAGCAACAATGATAATAAGACCTACGCAGCTATGCAATTTGAATGAAGCATTATCAACATACACAGAAACTGTACGAGTATTGCAGTAATTACACGTGGCTAGAGATATAGAGTATATACCCAGTTCTCTGTTCAAGGATTGCCGGAAACTGCATCTTGAAATAGGTGCAGGCACATATTCCCAGAAGTATCACAGTTAGAAATGAATGGAAATTGAAAAGCGCAGACTGAAACAAAATAGAAAACGGGTGTCAAAAGCAATGTAACACTCTGCGAATTACATCAAAACCGATTCAAAATTTTCAGTTCCCTCACCATCTTAACGTATTCTTACAATTTACCAATCTTCACCTTCTTCCCCCTTTCAAGTCTACATAAGATCCCATTAGCAATCATGTTAGACCTACGACCCAAAACAAGTTGCAACAATAATACAAGTAAATACACGGTGGCACACACAACCAACCCAAAAATTTGAAGACTTTGCTTACCCTATTCCAATTAAATTGAATTATAAACCTCTTTCGTAGGAAAGTAAGTAAAATTAAATAAACCCTAAAATTATATATCTATATTAATGAAAAGAGACAAGTAGATCCTGAATAGCTAGAAGGGTTACGAGATAACGAATTTGGAAAACAATAGATTAAACCCGAATTAGGGATAGATCTACATAAAATTAGTTTATTGAAAAAATAAATTGATGGATTACCAAATCCAAGTTGCAATTTTCGTTCAGGGAACAAATGAGAGCGTTAACGATTCCTTTGTTACGATCGTTGTTCTTAGCTTCTGATAGTCATTCACTGTTGCTACCTTTCTTCATTGCTTTATCCTTCATCACTCACTTCTTCTTCTTCTTTGTATTTTGTTTATGTAAAGTTTCCAAATATTTAGACTTTGTTAAAAAATTAAGTCTTAGGGATTTAAAAATAAGTTTATGAAAATAAATTTGATTTTATGTAAATTCTTTATTATTATACTAATAAATAACAAATAATCTGAACAAAAATTGCTGGCTATGGGGTTCGAACCCATGCGCAGTTTAACTGCAGAAGATCTTAAGTCTTCCCCCTTAACCTCTCGGGCAAACCAGCTGTTTGATCACATTTCTCAATTTTCAATTTTAAAAACGCAAATTTAACATTGATTACTAATGTCTTTAAACTCGACAACATAGCTATGATGTGATCGTATGAATACATGTTTTCCTTTTCTAGTCGTGTAGTGGTTTTCATGTAAAGCATGTGGTCACTACTACTTATGCTAAACGAGGTAATCACGACAATCCATCACCACCGTCCATCATTGATTTCATTCTACTCAAGTAGGGTTATGTATATATATATATATAGAGAGAGAGAGAGAGAGAAGAAGAAGAAGAAATAATAGAGCACCAATGACCTAACAATTACCTAAAACATGATCCAACGTTATCAGCTAGACAACTAGAGAAGCAATTACGAGGAAACATAATCAAAAACATAAATTCGCGTATTAAGTTTATGGCCTAAATCAACTACCCAATAAGTTTGCTCTTGAATTTCCAATTATATTGAACAAGTTTTTTAATATATGCATAGTTAGGATTTGTAGGTAAGAGCCCTTAAATTTGCATACTTTTACTATTTAATATTTTTTATAAAATATAATATTAATCAACTAACTGTGAGTTTGAAATCTTATTAAAGAGACAAATTCTATACAATTTTATAAAAAATAAAAAATCATTAACTACTTCATCATATTAAAATAATATATTTTAAATATAAATAAATATTAAATTTCAGATAACACATTTTAAAATATTATTATATATAAACCTAAATTAAAAAAAGTTACATTTTATAAAAAAATTACAAATATATATGTTAGAATATATTTTAAAAACGTGTTAGTAAAGTTTATGTAATTATTATTTTTGGGGACCGTTGATTAGGGTAAAGATAGAAATGCATCGCCCCTATAATTACGGATCTGTGTGGGACCATTGTTGGGGCCCAAGACAAGGGTGGGTTGATATTTGCGGTTAAAAAGACAATAATGTGGACTGTTTGGGCCCATATTGAATGAATTAGAGACACACATTTCGTTGCCAAAATCTCTCTTCCGTACTCCTATGTGTGATGTGTCCACTTCCTCTGCCATTGAAAAGATTCATTTCACTGTTTATGACTGACTATTTTCTTACAATGCCACTGTTAAGTTTGAAAATGTTTATGATATGTATTCTAGAGACTTTTCTTATTGTATGCTAATGCAAGTATTATTTTAATTAAGAAGCCAATCACATAATCTCCCTTTGGCCTAATATTCATTTTATTAGACATTTTAAAAAATTATTGATTTTCAAAATAAATTGATTGCTTGAACAATATAATCTAAAATATTTTAAAATGTATAATTACTAATAAGGGCATATAAGCATTATTAAAGTTATAATACAATGATAAATTGGAAGATATGCTTTTACTAATTCTTATTAAACGATATTTTTCTTTGCCAGAAAACTAACAAAAGTATTACTTCCATAGTTGAATAAAAAATTATAATTTTGATTCCAAATCATTTTATTTTCGAATATTGCCAAATAATATTGGTACTAATTTCAAACTACGTTTGAAACTTGACATGAGAACGTCAACGGTTCAAAATATTATATAATAGCATAACGATTAATGAAAAGCCGTAAGAAGAACACGTAAAACCTATGCCTCTTTCATTTTAATTTGACTGTGGTTTAATTTTTAAAATTTTTAAAACAATTAATAAAATAATTTTTTTATAAATGATCTTATTAATTATTTTTTTATTTGTTAAAAATTTAATTCACAAAATACTAAAAATTTAATATTTTCATTATTTATTTATGATAAAATTAAAATTAAGATATGTTTTTATTAAAATGATATTTAATTAAAAAAACAAAGAAAATAAAGTTATTTAATTTTCATGCATATCTAAATATACATGGTAGGTATTTTTTTACTATACAATTTTAATATTATAGTTTTTATAAAAAATTATCATTTAATAATGTTTTTGTTATATACCTTTTGATAAATGCAAATAAAAAATAATTTTCATGTAGTACTTTACAACTTTATTGATTAAAATCTGTCCTAAATTGTTTGTTTGATTTTCACGTGACAACTTAATATTCAAGAACTGTGATGATTTGACCATTCTTTACGCAGGTGTCTGCCCAGGCTGTGTATCGGTGGCATGAATTTCGTTATTATTTCTTATATTTCAAGAAACTTAATATTATTTTTTACATGTATCTTAAAATATAAATGATATATTAATGATAAATGTAATCTATTTCATATTTTATTTATTTTTTATATTTTCATTACACCATCTATCATTTTTTTTTTCATGTTCATTTCATACCATCACTCTTTTCTAATATGGTTTACACCAATGGTGCCATTAAAGAGTTATTAATGAAGACCGAGTGTTAACATAAATCGCAATTAATTAGACACTTTTTCTATTTAATTCGAACATATACACATCAAAATACTTTAATTAATATAAGCATTCTTTTTATTAAATTCAACCAAATACGATTCAATTACACAAACAAGCATGAAGGTGATCTCTTAACGACAACAACGCTTGATAAATTATCTCACAGCAATCAATACAAAATTACCTTAATCAAACACAATAAACATATAAGAAGCACATGAATCAGCTTAATTTTGAATTAAACTCACAATCGTTTCCATGTGATCATGCAGACAAAATTTGGCCACCCTAGCACGTTGGATTGCAAAGTATGAAAGATTAACGAATATGTTAACACTAATCGTGATTATAATAAGTTTGGAATAACTAAGAGTGGTTTATTTCTATCCATTATGAGTGTACTTAACAGGCTAGTACCTTAAAAAATTGGTTGTCGGATAGATCCTTGAGATTTTGGTTAATTTTCAAAAATAAAAGAAAAGAAAAAGGACAAATTTGTCACCTCGCAACTATTATGATTTATGACAGATCTGCTACACGACAAACAACGAGGTCGGCAACTGTCGGCCGGTGAACCGGAAGGGAGAGATAAACAACATTAATCTCATTCTTAAAACCCAAATCTTGTTTTTCAGTTTTTTAATATTGCTTTTAATTAAAATTAATTTTTTTATAGGTTAAGCTTGATTTTTAATATATAAATTATTCAAATAAAAGCTTTTGTTCTAATTAAATAAAAGTATCAACAAAATTTATAATATTTTTTTAAACTATATGTATTTAATTGAATAAAGATAATTCCGTTTGAAACATATAAAATTAGTATAGATAATGAGATTAAAAAATTATTATTTTACTGAATATTTAATACAACTAGATTTAAAATTAAAATTTCATATTAAATTATAATAACTCTGTAATTTGAAACAGGTGTTAGACGGTGTTATGTACTTTTTTGAATCTCTTTTTAATTAATTAATTAAACTAAACACAATTTTAATGAAACTGGCAGAGTTTCTTGCAGAGGAAAAAAACCAAATCTGCAATATCTCTCGCATTCCCCATTTTCTTTTCTCATTGTCCCCTCTGTCCTCGTGCGCTTCCTCCGAACAATTCGCTCGTCGGTTTCAACCTCAATACTTGTCTGTCTCCGAAAAACTGAACTCACAGATCTTCCGAAACCTTAATTCTTACGAGTTTTAGAAGTGCCATTTTTGCATTGGCCATCACATGACATCATTGCATTTTTCTCTTCTGCTGGTACGTCTTTTTCCTTCCAAACCCTAACCAAACAACATCTTAATTTCTCCTTCTAAACCTCAATGCCTTCCTTTGCTTAAATCAGATTTCTTTGTTTTCATGAATAAATAAATAAATTAAAGAGCGAAGATTTCATCTTAGCTGGTGATTATGTTTCTAAAATTGCTTTGTTTTGTACTTCTTTGGAATCATGAAACTGTTAAATGGAAATGTGTTGATTACATTCGAGCATTCTGAATTTGCTTTCAATCAACATTCTCACGTTCGATGGAAAAGGATGTCCAAATTGATTTGATTGCGTTTTCCACTATTGTATATGAAATTTTAGCCATTGGTACCTTTTTTTGCTGATGTCATGTTGACAAGTTCTCTTCTACTGTGTATATGTTTGAATTGAAAGAAAATGTTGAAAACAGAAAGTGATAGTTATTTTTTAAAAAAAATTTAAGGGTTTAGCAAATCTAATTCCTTACCTATTTGACTCTATCTTGGTTTTGGTTACATTTTTTTAATGCGCTCATTGCATAAATATAATATTTATACGAAACAACATTTTTTTTTGCACTAACAAGTTGACGTGAGGTTTTATGTTTTGCATGTAAAACTTAATTGAAGAAGTTGTTTTTGTTCATTGACTGTTATAAAGATAATAAACCCACTAAATTATGGTTAATGTGTACAACTTGCGAATTATTCTCGAAGTAAAATGTTTAGTTGGTTTATTGCAGTGGTTAGGGTTGATACTGGTTTTTTATTCTAAACTGGCTGCAGCATTTTTACCCTGCTTTACTAACTTTATTTCTTTCTGTTTTTTTGGTCTTGGTTAATACTTAATACAGTTCAGTTCAGTTAGCACCTAATTTTTCAAAGTGAATGTGAGTAATGGACATTACTGAGGTTGAAGAAAATCTTTTCGCGGTGGGCGATGCCAAGGTATGATGCTATATCTTTAATTATTGCAATATTTGTTTTGGAATTGGAATTCTAAAGATGTATAGTAAATTGGGTATGTGAAAAAAAAATTTACTTAGAATGTTCAAAGTCCTTACGATAATTAAGGAGTCAAATTGCTTTTGTATTAGTTATTATTATTTTCTAATTTTTGGGTAAGAGAACTGCTTGAAGCGGCACATTTGAATGATTTGGTTTTACATGGTTGTCTTGTCACCACATTTGCTTAAGAAAATGTTTTGAATTGCTGGCCAAACTAAAAAAGAAGAGTAAGTATTTTGCATTCTTATTTTTGCCGTGCTTTTTATGGCCATTGTTTCACATTCTGTTGCAAGTATTTTTTTGGCTGTGAATTCTCTGAATTTATTCTATTATCTAACCAGTATACATCTTTTTTCTGAGGCAGTTACATGGAGATATGTGCAAGCGTCTGTCTGCAATATACTGCAAAATATTGTCATTATTTCCTTCTTTAGAAGCAGCTAGGCCTAGGAGTAAATCTGGAATTCAGGCATTATGTTCATTGCACGTAGCCTTAGAAAAGGCAAAGAATGTTCTTCAGCACTGCTCAGAGTGTAGTAAACTTTACTTGGTACGATTATTATTGTATAATTTTACTTTTCTTTTTCAATTTACCATAGCTCTTTTCACATGGTTATTTGATCTGTAATAACATTTTGTAGAGTATCTTACATATAACTTCATTTACGACACAGGCTATAACTGGGGATTCTGTTCTTCTAAAATTTGAGAAGGCTAAATGTGCTCTTGAAGATAGTCTTAAACAGGTGGAAGACATTGTTCCTCAATCTATTGGATGTCAGGTGAGAAATTTCAACAATTTGGCTGTATAGTTCTCCTTTCTTGTTTGAATTTTTTCCCATTTGATTTTTGGTTTATGATTCTGTATTCCTGCTCTATTATGTGAACACTTTAACTCAGCCTTGCTAATTATGTTTTGAACATCTGAGCAAGGGGGAGCCTATTTTATAAGTTTCATTTATTCTTTCCGAAACAATTCAAAGCCACCTCTTCATTTGCAATATTCTGAATTCCACTTTTATAGCATTTTGAGTCTTTCGTGTAAATGCAAATGCACAATGGTACTGTTTCATGTTATTATTGTCAATATTTAATTTGTTGAGAGTTTGATTTTTTTATGGCACCTGTTCAGATTGACAAAATTGTGAATGAACTTGCAAGTACGGTATTTGCACTTGACTCATTAGAGAAGCAAGTTGGGGATGATTTAATTGCATTGCTTCAGCAGGGGACAAAGTTGAACAATTCTAATGACAGTAATGAGCTTGAATGTTTTCATCTGGCTGCTACTAGACTTGGAATCACTTCTTCAAGAGCAGCCCTTACAGAACGAAGAGCTCTCAAAAAACTCATAGGAAGGGCCCGGGCTGAGGAAGACAAGCGGAAGGAATCAATTATTGCATATCTCTTACACCTTATGAGGAAATATTCCAAACTATTTAGAAGTGAGTTCTCTGATGATAATGATTCTCAGGGTTCTCAACCTTGTTCACCCACTGTTCAGAGATCTCTTGAGGATGGCGTTCCTGGTGGTCAATGTCTTGCCTTTGACAGACAGCTTTCAAAACTTAGTTCCTTTAATTTTAAGCCAAATAATAGGAAATCAGGACAGATGCTCCTTCCACCTGAAGAGTTAAGGTGCCCAATATCTCTGCAACTTATGAGTGATCCTGTTATAATTGCTTCTGGGCAAACATATGAAAGGGTATGTATAGAGAAATGGTTCAGTGATGGGCACAACACCTGCCCAAAGACTCAGCAGAAACTTCAACATTTTTTTTTGACTCCTAATTACAATGTTAAGGGTCTTGTGGCTAGTTGGTGTGAACAGAATGGAATACCCATTCCTGAAGGCCCTCCCGAATCTCTTGATTTTAACTACTGGAGATTGGCATTATCAGAATCTGACTCCACAAATTCAAGATCCATAAACAGTGTCAACTCTTGCAAATTGAAGGGTGTCAAAGTTGTTCCTCTAGAAGAGAGTGCTATCTCAGAGCAAACAGGGGGAAATGCAACTGAATGTTTTTCTACACAAGAGGGAGATAATGAGCAGTATCTTAGTTTTCTAAAAGACTTGACAGATGGAGACAATTGGAAGAGGAAGTGTAAAGTGGTAGAACAGTTGAGGTTGTTGCTGCGGGATGGTGAGGAAGCCAGGATTTTTATGGGGGATAATGGATTTGTTGAAGCACTTGTGCAGTTTCTGCAATCAGCTGTTCATGAAGGGAATGTGATGGCTATAGAAAATGGAGCCATGGCTCTATTCAACTTAGCTGTGAATAACAACAGGTGTGTATTAATCTTTCTACTTTCTAGTTTTAAAGTGCTAGTAAAACTGCTTTTCATATGATTACAAAATCATAACAGATATTGATATTTGAAAACTGAGACCTTGTATTTTTCCAATGCCATGACCACTTGTTATAAGCTGCTGTTGTTAGCCTCCTGTATTTTAGAGTGTCGTGCAAATCCTTTTAAACTTCATTTGGAAAATAAATTGTAGATACCATTTTCTGGTTTGTTGAAGCCTTGAAGTATCTGTGATGATGTATTCCCAAAAGAAAAGTGCTTATAGGAGAAAAAGACAGAAGACATGCATAGGGAATTACTGAATGTTGAAAATTGATACTGTCCATGTTGAATTACAGCCTTTAGTTAGTTAATATGTTATTATAAAATGGGCCGTACTTTGTTGAAGAAATACTAGAATTAATGTTCCATTAACTCTCTGGATTGGCGCAACAATTACTTTTGTTTTGTCATTTTTCTTCCATTTCTTTACGTAAATCATCCTTAACACAAACTTGATCCTTTTGTTTTCAACAGAAATAAGGAAATTATGATATCAGCAGGAATCTTAACGTTGTTGGCAGAAATGACTTCAAACACTAGTTCATATAGTTGTGCAACCGCCTTGTATCTGAATCTTTCTTGCCTTGAGGAAGCCAAGCATATGATTGGCACAAGCCAGGCTGCCCAGTTCCTAATCAAGATTCTTCAAGCCAAGGCAGAAGTCCAGTGCAAGCTAGATTCCCTCCATGCACTCTATAATCTTTCAGCTGTACCCTCCAATATTCCAAACCTCCTTTCATCTGGCATCATTAATTCCCTACAATCCCTTATTGTAGGCCAGGGTGATTCCACGTGGACGGAAAAATGCTTAGCCGTTTTGGTAAATTTGGCTGTTTCTCAAGTGGGAAGAGAAGAAATGATGTTGGCTCCTGGACTCATAAGCGCATTGGCGTCCGTACTTGATACCGGTGAGCCCTTAGAGCAGGAACAAGCTGCTGCTTGTCTCCTAATTTTGTGCAACAGGAATGAGAAGTGTTGTGAGATGGTCCTGCAAGAAGGGGTTATCCCTGCATTGGTGTCAATATCAGTGAATGGAACCTCAAGAGGAAGAGAAAAAGCTCAGAAACTCTTGATGCTCTTCCGAGAGCAGCGACAAAAAGAGCATTCAACTTCTAACTCACAAAATCAATGCTCGTCTGAAACTAGTGAATTGTCTGTGCCTCCTACTGAAACAAAACCACTATGTAAATCAATTTCTAGAAGAAAGGTGGGGAAAGCTTTTAGCTTTCTCTGGAAAAGCAAGAGCTATTCTGTTTCCCAGTGTTAAGTTCCATGTAAATTTCAGTTTGATTCTTAACTTTTCTGGCCTTGCTTTTTTATCCTCCTCTCACTCCTTTTCCCATGGGTGCTCCGTACTTTTTGGTTTCCAAAACGAAAGAAGAGATGTACAGTCTTGTGTAATTTATGGATTTTGTTTTTTTTTTTTATCTTTCCGTCTCTTTTCTCTTTGTAATATCAATGAGCTTCATGTATTAGATTTACGTTTTGATGGTTGAGGTAAATGTGAATTATGCCTTAAAAATCAAGGGATTTACCTTGGGGAAAAAACACTAACAAGTACTTTCTTAGGCCAGGCTTTGTTAATTGTTGGGAGCTAGCGCAAGTAAATTTCCTACGTTGTTTCAACTATCAATTCTAAAGCGTTCTTACTCGGATGTTAATGGGCCAACCACAAGGTATCTGTCAATTTTTATTTGTCTTAACGCCAAAAAAAGAATTGATTTTTCTTCCTCTACTGCTTACAGACTTGGTGGCTTTTTTATATATGTTTCGAAAAATAAAGATGAATATCCAACCACTGCTTCTTCTCCATCTTACATCCAATGTAAATCAATGCCTTGATGCTGCACGTCAAGAATTTTTACATATAGTCTGAGCTATAGTACTATCCATAATTTACTGTCTCAGAAATATAATGATAATAGTACTAATACTTGGACAGAGGTAAACTTTAAATGATAAAAAAAATAAAAAATCAGCTAATGTTTATTGTTTCGGAAAACTTGGAAAAAGAAAATATTGCGTGGCACATTCGTGATGCTAATTAGTGCAACATTTTGCTGTTAATCTATTCCTTCACAGATGTTACAGATTATCGGTATGCAGTGCCCGCATATAAAATGTCAAAGGGTATCAAAATTTCAAAATATTAAAAACAAAATACAATAACTTCTCACAAGCAACAAAGGTGAAGGCCAAAGAACCAATTCCTTATCAGAAAAGAATAATAGCATTCCAAAATTCACACTGTTGAAAAGCTTTGTCCACAATTTGCTGAGGTGTCCAATTCATTTGGTTGATAATTCTATCATTACATGTTTTTTCATGCGCAAAAATGACAGCTTCAACAGAATTTTGCTAAACTTGTCTTCGAAAATCTTGTGTGAGAGCCACCCACCAAATCTAAAATCACTGCTTGATTCTGAAGAACCTCCACATGACAGTGTGACAATAACTGTTCTCAAACAACATCTAATCAGCAACAGCTCAAACTAAAATGAATAACACTAACATCACACCTTTACACCACAAAGAGATCTTAGCATAAAAGGGGAAAAAAGGGTGATTAAGAAAAAGTTAAGAGGAAAGAGAAAAAAAATAAAAAGCATCGGATTCGGTTTTCCAGTGCCGAATTTTATGCCATAACCAAAGAAAAGATGAAAAGGACTACAAGAGTTTGGTGGAAGTGCCTCCCAAGTCCAAGGTATAGGCTATTCTTCTCCTTAATTAATGCAGTATCTGGCTTGGCTTTAGTTCCGTGGTTCAAGTGATGCCACAACCAGAAAAATCTCTTGGTAACAACCTTCCAATAATTCGTATGTTTCATTTTATTACTGCTGTGGTATTCTGTTTGATTGAAATCTGAATTTTAAAACTGATTAATTGGATTAGTTTTAAATTTTATATTCACCTTATTAGTTGTTACTTGTAATTGTAAATTTTAGCATATAGTAATGGAATGAGAAAATTCATAGGACTCCAATTTTAAATTGAAAAGGAGTTACCACAACTTGAAAAGTGTGCACATACTACTATATCATTGCATGTTGCTAAATTTTCTCATTCTAATTGTGAACTGTTTGTGTATGGCAGGCATACCGGGAGATGGTAGATGTCTGTTTAGATCTGTTGTCTATGGTGCCTGCCTCAGATCAGGGGTCCCAACTCCAACTGTCAGCAGGCAAAAAGAACTAGCAGATGAGCTTAGAGCCAAAGTATTTTTTCTTTTGTCATTTAACTAATAAATGCTAAATTAGCATACTCATATTTTTCAAAGTATGTCGTGTAATGTTTCTATGCTGGACCATCAGCAACATTTGTGCCAATAGATCATCATTTCTAGCACAAATTATGTGACCATAAATGTTATCTTACGTTGCAGGTTGTGGATGAATTCATCAAGAGGAGGGCAGACACTGAGTGGTAAGTTATCTAGGAGGTAGTTTTGATTAGGACAAAACTTATGTATAGTTTTTTGGTTGCTTTTAGTGTTGTTTCTAACTAAACTTGGGTTTCATCTTAGTAACTTGCAATAATATTAAATGTGGATCTTTGATCGATTTAAAACTCTAATTTTGATTGAAAAATAATTAAAAAAAAAATACCTAAGGAACTTGACTTAAAATTTGCCCTTTTGATTATAATTTGTATCATCTTAATCTCCCTATTGTAAAGTTATATAAAGAGCCATGGTTATTAGAAATTGTTGGAAGGAATGGGCCTTCTAATTTTACAAGTAACAAGCTGCATTCTCGTTATATTTTAGTCGAGGGTCTTTGTTTCCAACTGCATTCTCATTATATTTTCACTACTATTGCATTTTGAAGTTGAATCATCTTTACGTTTAATTTATTGCAGGTTTCTCGAAGGTGACTTTGACACCTATACAGTACAGATGCGAATGCCTCACATATGGGGAGGGGAACCTGAACTTCTCATGTCCTCACATGTTTTACAGTTAAGTCAATTTTGATTGCAAAACTTTCATGCATATTGTAAATGGAAGTGTAGGGTTCTAGTTAATTTTGCAACTATCTTGAATTTTAGAATGTGATTCATCCATGTTGATTTCTTTTAAGTAGCACATTTATCAGTTCGTTTCAAATAGTAATTATTATTAAAAATGCTTTAGTTAAGAAATTAACAATAGAAATATTTTATTAAAAATTGTAAAAATGTACTTATTTCTATACATTTTGGTGCGTGTTTGGATGCCAAGACATACAAATACTGAACCAAACATGCATTTCAGGTATGGTAACATGATTTTTAATGAAAACTTGTTATTTATTAATTTCTTAGGACACTGATTAGAAACATTGATGATTATTTTTTATAGTAATTCTATAATCATAGTTAGAAGCATAACAAAAATATTCCATGATTATTTTTCTAGGATGCCTATAACGGTGTTGATGCAGGACAAGAATTCCAACAACCTTAAAGTTATAGCTGAATACGGTCAGGAGTATGGCAAGGACAACCCTATTCGAGTAATATATCATGGTTATGGCCACTATGATGCATTGAAGAGTTCCTAATCTTAGCTTTCATATTTTTATTGATGCTCTTTGCAATGGCTTTAGAACTTGCCAATGTGCATATGATTCAGTGAAGCTAAGAAATTCTGATGTTTGAGGAAAGCTAATAAATGGCCAATGGCATTAATGCTTCAATAGCATGCGTTATTTGATTATTCAAATGGTGCCATAACCATTCCACTTATGTTCTCAAAGAAACTTGGCACGTGCTTCAAATAATTATTGTTTTCCTAGAAAGTAAAGCTGTTGAAATTGTATTGATTATGACCATAACATTATTTAGGTCCTCATGTTCATAACATTCAATAATTGATAGCATATTTGTTATTTATTTATTTATTTCTTAAATTTATTTTGTCTTTTAACTATGCCATTTTCACAATTTTGATCTCTTTTTTGTGATTTTGGTTCTTAAATTTTTTTGAATATAACAATTTAGTCCTTATGATATATTTTCATCTAAAAATTCAGAATTTAACGCTATATAATAATGTTAATAACCTTAATTGGAGCCAACATGTAATATATGCATTCTTTAAGTATAATTGAAGTAAATAAATAATATGATGCATTTAATAAAGACTTCATGAAAACTTTAATAGAAATGATAAAACAAATTCTATTATAATGTTAATGCAATGAGACGTTTTCAAGACTTACCCAAGTACTATTATAATAATGTTAATTATTTTTTCCTATATCTTGGTTTAGTGTGAACCAAGTGCAGGCCAAATTCGGCTAGTGATAGTAAATGGATATTTTTGTGAGGAAAGTGCTTGCGTTGGAAATATCTACGGTGGTCACACCCACCTTTTTTTGTCCCTTCCCCCTTCTTTCTATTTTCTTCTTTTGCCCTACCAATATTTCCCAAAAAGTTCAAATGAAATTATAAATTTATTTCAGTGTTTAAATAAAATAGAAGTATTATTTTTATTTATTTTTGAACATGATAAATGTTTTGAAATAAATTAAAATAATTAAAGAGACAGATAATATGAAATAGGAAAAGTAATCTATTACTAAATATATCGGTTAAAAAATTAATAAATAAGATTTTGTAAAAAAATTGTATTAAAAGTGCTTTAATTTTTTTATAAAAAATATTTTTTTAATAAAAACATGTAATTTCTATTAATCTAATAATTAAATCTTAATAGTTATTTTTATTAATAAAATTATTTATCATTTAAGGTAATATATGCATCATAGAAAAATTATTAATTACCTTAAAGTAAATATTAACCAATAAAAAGTAAATTTTTTATTAAAAATTATTTTAAATTCACACTCATCATTAATATTAAAGCTATTTTAATAAAAAATATTTATTTATTAGTTAATATAGTCCCTAATTATATTTGCGAGTTAGTTACTATGTTGAAACATTTTATTTATTTAATATAATCCAAATATTTTAAGAAAATTATTAATGACCCAAGTCCTAATAATAGGATGACTTTCTTTGACTAAAATATCTTTATTAAAAAAATTAATGTAGTTATAAATCTATTTAACTATTTAGATAAGATATTCAATAATGTGAGTATTATTAAAGTTTTAAAATTTTCATAAAATTTTTATTTTGTGATAAACTAAAACAGTTAGAGAAGTTTATATGTATAAAATGAAGGGAGTGATTTTGTTAACTAAAAATATCCTTATTAAAAAGGTAAAATATACTTAGTTGTGAATTAATTAAGTATTTAAGTGAGACACTAATAAATAGGATTTTTTTTAAAAAAAATAGTAATTTCATAATTTCTGAATTTTTAATGATTTAACACAAATCAAAACTCTTAGATTAATTAATAGATAATTTAAAATAGAATAAATATTTTCTATTCAATTTAATCATTAAATCTTAACTTTTTTTTTCTTATTAACCAGAAATATTTTTGTCTAATTTAATGAACCATTTTAATAAAAATGCAAAGCACACGTAGTTGACAAAATTTAAGTAAAGTACTATAATATTTGTCTTTTTTTATATTTTTATTATATATATTCTATTTTTTTATATTAAATGGGGCAGAAAGCCCAACAAATTCAATTTTTATTTTAACTAATGTGAATATAACTTTTTACATTGTGTTTATTTAATAAATTAATAAAACATAAATATTATTATAGTATTAATATTAATCATAAAAATTAATTTAAAATGCAGCATACATCTTAATTATAAAATATTAGATGATTATAATTATTCATAAATATTCTAAAATCTAATTACTGTAAAATATAACTATATCATGAAAATATAAATAAAAATTATTATTATATCACTCACACGCCTAAACACACATTCATATTTACAAAATTTTATGAATAGAATAATTTTATTTAAACACAAATTTATTTAATAAATAAAACCTTATCCATTAAGTATATCTCTAATTACCATCCACACTGATTAATGGATGTCTTGTGATTTAGGCTATGGTAAAACTGGTACACCATAATCAGAATTAGAAAAAAATTAGCAAGGTAGGTCCAACATCCAAATAATCTTCCTAAAGCCAGGTCAAAAATTTTCACCTAATTGCAATTAATTTAATAAAACACATTTGATTACTGAAAACACATCTTCCTAAAACGAAACGTTTCTATATATACATAAAAAGTACATGCACTCCTCCTTCTCTGCGTCTCTTCCTGGTTTCCATCGAAAGCCATAGCAGTTTCGTAGGTTCTTAGAGTGAAAAGGTTGCTCCAAAAAATGATGATGTTGGTCAACTCTGCCACGAAACAGGTTTTTCCCGTTGACTATGAAACAGAGGTGTCACAGCGTCTCGTAGAAGCTGTTCATTACGGTGACACAGACGCTTCGTTTGAGTATATTGCCAATCCTTTGGTGGACGTGAACTTCGTCGGAACGGTGTCGTTTAAGTCCAAAACGACGGAGATTGTGCTGCAGGACGAGTCGCCTCACCGAGTTCACTCGGTTTACGAGGAGTTCAAGACCGACGTCACTGCTCTGTTTCTGGCTGCGCATTCAGGGAATTTGACACTTCTGAGGAAGCTTCTGGTAACGCTTCTGAACGTTGTTTCTTATGATCTGTTTCGTAAATGACGTTGAAATGTTCAAAACAAATAAGTTACAACGCTTGTTTCGTTGAAACGCGATTCTAATTGATTTTGCTTTGTATTTTGTGTGTGATATGTTTGTTTTGCTTCCATTTGGTTAATTAATCGGTTTTTTCAACTTTGAAAACCGATTAGAACTACGAGAATTCTGTAACTGATGAAATAAACCGTGGATTCTGATTTGGTTTCAGATTATAAGTTATTATTTTCTTTTTCAGGTTTATTGCAAATTATTGCACTAATCAATTTAGCTTCTGTGCAAAATTACATTTCAGAGCTTGCAAATAAGGAATTAACTAACTAATTTCATGCTCTGAAAATGAAAAAAGAAACGCTCTGTTAAAGATAACGGCTAAATATTTGATGGGGTTGTCATGCTACTCAAAATGGAGGAGTTTTTTCGTTATTTCTGTAGTTATTACTCTCTGGGGGGTGATTTTTTTTTATTTGGTAATCCTTTATTTTTAATTAAAAATCAAATCAGAAAAAATAATCATATAAAAAAATATTATTAATTTATGAGAAAGAATTGTATTCTTTGAGATCTGAAAAAAATTTCGAATGGACTTGCAAAATGCTGTTTCCACTTATGTTAGTTCTTTTTAGCAGTTAAAACGCAATTTAATTTTTTAAAATTTTCCCTCATTTTTTTAATTTTTTTTGGAAAATGTTTAGTAAACACTCAAGTCTAGTGAGATACAAGAATATAAGAATAAATAAATATATATATATATATATATATATATATATATATATATATATATAATAGATGACATAATACGATAAATAATAAAAATGTTAAATAGGTGTTGAGTTACATGGAAGTGATGTAACAATTCCGTGAGAACACGATAGCAGAAGATGCATTTTACAAAATTGTAATGTCTAGTGTAAACACGAAGCAATAATTGGATTGATAAATTTAATATGACATAAAATGTTATAATTGAAAAGAGCTGATCTGTGATATGTATAATTTGATCTAGCTTACACCTCCAAATTGAGGGTTTGGTTGGATAATTCGTTTCTTTCATCTATGTTGGGAGTATTTTGTCATCCTTTCTCTTTCGGATAATTGGTTAGCTCTCAAATTAGATCATGCTATCTAACGCTAAACTCAATTTAAATCTTTTGAACCCAAAACACATTTAATATTGTTTTGAGATATTCATCAATATATATCATACACCTTGTCTGACATTACTCTACCGGAGGATGTAGGATTAAGAATAGTAACTTTTATTTAATTATTTTTCCATGAATTTGCCTTTTAACTCTGAAATGTTTTTTTTTCATATATGCTGACGTCAGAAAGAAATTCTAAAATATTAGTTGTGTTGTCGTGTTTAAGAATTTCTTTTAGTGTTTTGAGGCAGTCCATGACATCTTATTTGTTAATCATGATGTTATCTCAATCAATTTAATAAATAAAAAATTAATAATGTAGTTCACGTTACAAAGCAGGGAGACACGCGCTTTCAGTTTTGTCACGTCATTCGTTGTTGACTAAGTTTTGATGTTTTCATGCGATAGAATGTCGGAGCTAATGTAAATATGAGATTGTTCCGGGGCTATGCCACAACAGCAGCAGTAAGGGAAGGTCACCTCAAAGTGTTGGAGGTACTTATCAATGCAGGGGCATCACAACTTGCATGCGAGGAGGCATTATTGGAAGCAAGCTACTTGGGACAGGCAAGATTTGCTGACCTACTCATGCAATCCAACATGATCCGTCCTCAGGTTGCAATTCATGCTCTTGTCTCTGCATGTTGCAGAGGCTTTGTTGAGGTTGTTGATGTACTCATCAAGGTAATCAATCCTATTATGCATGATATAGGCACAGTTTGGGTCCTTATCGGAAAAAAAAAATCAGTATAAAAAAAAAAAAAAAACTTCTCTTACAAACTTAGAAATAACTTATCTCTCCAAAAAAATCAGTCATCATTGTCGGTTCGTGAGCTACATTGATGTTCTGTGGTGGTTGAATCACTTTCTTGTTCATCCTCGACTTCTTCAAAACTTTACCCAAACTGAGCTATGGTATTTGATTTGATTTTTATCATCTATGTAGTGTTTGATTATTAAATGACACTGTTCCTTATGTTGGCAGCATGGGGTGGATGTCAATGCAATTGATAGGACATTGCTTCAATCTTCAAAGCCATTTCTTCATGCTAATGTTGATTGCAATGCATTATTCGCTGCTGTTGTCAGCAGGCAGATTAATGTTGTTAGATTACTGGTACAGGTGGGTTTCTGATTTACATAAGTAAGCTTCACATGGAATAAACATGTCTATGTTCTTAAAGTAATCATGGTGTTGGTTTATATGGCACAGCAAGTCCCCTCTTTTTGTACTGTTGAGCGTGTCATTACCATGTGAGAAGATTACATTGACGTCTCATGTGTGTTAACCTTGAATAAGGGAGTCAGGGACAGTTGCACGAACAAAATGTATTCATTAGGGATAAGAGGAGTGTTAGTGATACATTCTCTAAGTATTAGTTGAAATTTATTAAAATCTACAAAATTAATGGCGAGACTCACTTAAATTATAAATGAGATTTACACGTGTTTTATAATTTTTAATAAATTTTAACCAACAATGAAAGAGTGTCACAGACAATTACCAAAGGCAGCGTGCAACTTAATTAGCACATTTGGCCAAAAGAAAACAACTTGTGTTCTCAACTCGTAATGATGAAGAAAGAAAGATTAAAATGGCATAATTAAGTATCATCTTCAGCAACATCTTCTGTTGCTACCATATGGGATAGTACGATAGTTCAGTAATTAATACAGTTAATCATATAATCCACGGATCCGTAAACAAAATCTAACTCTGGTTGTTCAGGTTTCTGCATCTAGCATTTTGCATTATGTTGTGTTTATCAAGATCTAAAGTGGCACTCATTTTCTGATCTTGGAAATAGGTTGGCGTAAGGCTTGATATCAAGGTGAAACTAGGGGCTTGGTCATGGGACACAGATACAGGAGAAGAATTTCGTGTGGGTGTTGGACTAGCTGAGGCTTATCCTATCACCTGGTGTGCTGTGGAGTATTTTGAATCGACTGGTGCTATATTGCATATGCTTCTCTGCCACCTATCGCCTAATAGTTTGCACATTGGAAGGACCCTCTTACACCATGCTATCATTTGTAACAATGAAAAGACAGTAAATATACTTCTAAGTAGTGGCGCTGATCCAGAGATGGTAGTGCAGACTACTGAAGAGACCAATGTTCATCCTATTCATATGGCGGCGCGGTTTGGATCATGTAACATTCTTCAGTGCCTGGTTAATGCTAGTTGTAACTTGAACTCCCAAACAAAATCCGGAGACACAGCAGTGATGATCTGCACAAGGTATAAACATGAGAAATGCCTTGGAACCCTAGCATCAGCAGGTGCTGATATGGGTGTGGTAAATTCATCTGGTCACTGTGCAACTTCAATTTCAAACTCTCTTCAGTGGACTAAAGTCTTCCAGAAAGCAATTTTAGATGTAATTAGAGCTGGGAATGTTGTTAAATCAAGCAATGCCTCTAGATTTTCGGCTTTGTTATTTGCAACTAGTGTAAATGATTTAGAGGGTTTGAAGAGACTCATTGAAAACAAGAACATCAATCTGAATGAGCAAAATGCCAATGGATTTTCAGCTGCAATGATAGCTGCTGCAGGGGGTAATCTAGAGGCATTCAAGTTGCTTCTTTACGCTGGGGCTGATGTGACTAAGCTTAAAAACACGTATGGTTTAACAGCACTTAACCTCATAGATGTGAGCCAAAATGGCGTAGTGTTTCACAAAGTGATGCTTGAGTATGCACTTAAAAAGGGATGCAATGGTTCAATTGAGGTGAATCCTCTCCACCATGCAACACGCTATGGGGAAATGAACATTGTTCACAAACTACTAAAAGAAGGGTATGATGTCAATGCTTTTGATGGACAAGGATACACCCCTTTGATGTTAGCAGCAAGAGGATGCAGAGGTGAAATGTGTGAGCTTTTGATCTCATTTGGAGCCAAATGTGATATTCAGAATGGAAGACATGAGACAGCACTTTCACTAGCAAGAGAAAATGGCACAGGAAATGAAGCAGAACGTGTGATTATGGATGAACTAGCTCGAAGATTAGTATTGTGTGGTAGTCGTGTGAAGAAGCATACAAAGTGTGGTAAAGGTTCACCTCATAGCAAGTTACTACTAATGGTGGGGGCTGCTGGAGTTTTGCGTTGGGGAAAATCAAGTAAAAGAAACGTTATTTGTAAGGAAGCTAAGGTTGGAGCTAGTGAGAAATTTCGATGGAACCGAAGGAGGAAGTTTGATGTTGATGAACCAGGAATTTTCTATGTTGTTACTACAAAAAATAAGGAATTCCATTTTGTATGTGAAGGTGGGGTTGAAATGGCTCACTTGTGGGTAAGGGGGATTAGATCAGTAACTAAAGAAGCGATTTTTGGTCTAAGAGCTGGTGTTTGAAGGGGTCATGGCTAGAAAAACAAGGACAAGGTTGTAGAAATACTATATTCTTGGTGATACAAATATATTTCAGTTTTTTTTGACCTTTTTATTTTAATATAATTATATATAATTCAAGCAAATGGATTGGTTTATTTAATATAATTTATGAAGTTTTGAGTGAAAATGCAAATTTGAGTATTATAGATAAAAAAAATAAAATTGATAGCGAAATTTAATTTAATTTTTTAAAAATAGAATGACTTAACTCACTTTAAAAATAATTTAAAAGATCAAAATCATCCCAATCTAAAGGAATTATAAATACAATCAATACAATTATTATAAAAATTTTGCTAATAAATATTTTTAAAATACTTATTGATGAGTAAAAAATGAAATGTTTTTATAAAAAAGCATGAAGTTTTGCTAATTAGTACTCTTTTAAAAAATGTTAAGGTTATAATAAATAAACAATTTTTATTAAAAATCATGATAGAAATATATTAATAATTTTTTAAGTTTAATTTCTTCAACAGTGTTTAATATTTTCTAAAAATATAACACTAAACAAAACATTTCTTCCATAATTTATTATTATTATCAATTTATCATGGATTGTAACTCGTTATCCAGACCCATGTGTCTATGAATTAACCACCAATAAAAATTAAATATCTTGCTAGTTTTTAGCAAATCGAATCAATTACACAGTTGCTGCTCCTATGTTTATTGACTCGAAAAACTATAAACAGTTGGCATTTAGTACGAAGATTTTGTCTCGTGTTGGAGTTAGTGTCGAGGTTTTGCACTTCTATAAAAATGTGAAAAATAAAACTATATGATCCTTCTCTCCTCTCTCTAACAAGCAGAAAGATTTTTATGATAACAAATACCAATTGTTTAAACATCCAAGTGCGCCGTCAGTGTCACTCTCTCTCCATCCAATTTGCCAAACAACAACTGAGCTGAAACGTGTTTTTTTTTTTTTTAAGAAAAACAAATATGATTATGTATGCACATACAGAAACCATTGACTTTTGATGAATTTTTCTCCTTTCTTAGATTCCTTGTGTAGCTTAGGACTTTCAACACTGAAAAATGAAGCTGAGTCCCAGAGAGATCGAGAAACTAGGCCTGCACAATGCTGGTTATCTTGCCCAGAAACGTCTTGCTCGTGGTTTAAGACTCAATTATGCTGAAACTGTTGCTCTCATAGCAACTCAGGTTTGTTTCACTTCCAGTGTTCCTTATTTTGCCATAAATTTCCAACCTTGCAAAAGTTTTTCTACTTTTATATTTTTGCACTAAAAGATTTTTTAGCTATATGTAAGGATGCCTAATGTCAATTGTGCACATAAGCAGCCTTTATCCTTTGGATATTAATTTAGTTTCTACGCTAATTGATTTTCCAATTTCATAGATTTTGGAGTTTGTACGTGATGGTGAAAAGACTGTTGCAGAGCTAATGTGCATTGGTAGAGAGCTTTTGGGAAGGTATTGTATCAATTTTCATCATGTGGTTCTGATGCCCTTTTTTTTATTTTTTTGCTCTTACTGGATAATAGTTTTGTGATTTTATCTCCTTAAATTGAAATAATTCTGGCTTAGAAAAAGTGGAATGAGCCATTTTTTTAGTTTAGAACACATCTGAAATTGTCTCAACATTTTAACAGGAGACAAGTTCTTCCAGCTGTTCCACATCTCTTAGAAACTGTTCAGGTATATGTATCATTATGGCAATGTAGTTAGTTATTTTATGCAAGTACTTTTGTAAATTTGTTCAAAAACACTAAATAAATACTTGAGCATATTGCAAGAGTCAGTTCTGTTAACTTGTTAGTATTGGAGATTTGCCATGTTTTGTGTCAGGAATATTTAAAAAATATAAATCTTTCTTTTTGTGTCTATAATTCAAAACAAACTTTTAAGAAGCTTTATTGTGATATATTTTTAGCACTTTTAATCTTTGTTATGGCTCTTAAAACTTCAAAAGGATGTGTAGCTCAATTTTTGCTGCAAATTATCTCAGTACTCTCCAGTCTCCCTTATCCTCCAGCCTCATTGAGAAAGAAAGAATTTGCCACTTGTTATTGTCATAATTTGTAAAATAAAATTGATTGTAGGTTGAAGCCACCTTTCGTGATGGGACGAAGTTAGTCACCATTCATGACCCAATTGCTTGTGAGAATGGAAACCTTGAACATGCTTTATTTGGTTCTTTTCTTCCAGGTATGCCTCTACTTTGATCTTAAAAATAGTTTTTTTTATAATATATCTCTACCGAGTGCTTCCATCTCCGAGCATACAAACTGTAACTAAAATTCTGCTCATTGTGTCATGCTCAGTAGTTTGGCTTTTTTGAAGACATGCCTTACAAACTAGATCATTTATTTATCCTTTACCAATAGATGAATTTCTTATGTAATTTTAGTTGCTGTTCATGATAAGAATTTCTATTGTTTATGTAAAGAGAAATCCTTGCCTTCTTATTTCTGTGTAGAAGTTGTAAGGATTCTATGAACTAATTTGAAACTTTCTAAACTGATATTACTTGAATCACCTAACCAGTCTCATTACCGAGTTTATATTTATATTACTTTTGTATTTATAGCATTATTAGAATATATTTTCGTTTTTTCAAGTACAAATTATATACATAAATTACGTGGATAAATAAATTTCTTTTCCTTTCTGGCTCATGTAAATCCAAAATATCTAGCAGTAGTAAAGTATGCAATGTTAAAGTTGAGTTACACAAACGCGAACTACAAATTGAAGCCTCTGCTCACATCAGCATTTCTCTTGATGTAACTTCGTTTGCAGTACCTTCACTTGACAAGTTCACTGAGAACGGAGAAGATCATAGAATTCCGGGGGAAATAATATTTGGAGATGGATGTCTGACTCTTAACCCTGGAAGGAAGGCAATAATTCTCACAGTTGTGAACAAAGGAGACAGGCCAATTCAGGTGTTTGCCAGTGTGTTGGACCTAGCACCTTAGCACTTGAATAAAATATATGCATCTTTTTCTTCTGCATTAGAATGACAATTTCATTTATTCCATATAAAAAAATGCTTGGACTATGCTCTATTTACATGAAGTTCCATCGTTTCTATGTTCAGTATGATAAGCTATGCACACATGAAACAACAAAGTGATGTCAATGAGTGTACTCAATAGGTACTGATTCTGTGAATTTGTTTTCTGATCAATTATTGGAGGTGTTCAAGTATGTGTATCTGGTTGACCTCTCTGAACCAGCAATTGGCCATACCTATTCTAGGAAATCGAAACCTTTGAGCTTTTATTGTCAAATATAACTTTGTCATAAGCAATGATGCTTTTTGTTAGAATGTAATTAATCATTAGCTGATTCAGATTTGCAGAAAATTAACAGTTACATATTCTAAGAAATTAGCATAATTGATTCTTAATTATTAGGTAGAAATTAATTATACTTAATTCTATAAATTAGTATAAATTTATACTGTGTGGGCTGCATTAGACATATAACACACTCAGCAAATATACTTTTCCATACTCTTCAAACCTTAACATAAAAAATTTAGCATTCCAAATATTCCAGCTAATTGACTAACTGTTTCCTCTCTCTACACACAAAATAAGTTAAATAAAACATTTTATAATATTTCTGAACATTTTCAGGTTGGCAGCCACTATCATTTTATAGAAGTAAATCCTTACTTAATCTTTGATAGAAGGAAAGCATATGGCATGCGCCTCAATATAGCTTCTGGGACTGCCACACGTTTTGAGGTTAATTCTACTTTGTTTTTGTCAGTTTTGAAATGTACCATGGTAAATTGTAATGTTCAGTTCATTGAATTTTTGCATTATAATTATTTTTATTCATTGCCTATCTCTTGTGGGTTAGCTAAACATGTTCAGTAGTTGAACTAATTCATTATTTAGATTACGAGTGATTAATTAAAAAATATTTAATCTGGATAGCCAGGGGAATGTAAAAGTGTTAAACTTGTAAGCATTGGAGGTAACAAAGTCATCAGAGGAGGTAACAACATTGCTGATGGTCCAGTTAGTGATTCCAACTGCATAGCAGCCATGGAGGCAGTGAGGACAAGGGGATTTGGACATGTGGAAGAGGAAAATGCTAGGTTTGTGATTTGTTAGTGATTGCTATATAACTTTGCTTTCATTTGTGACAATTCCATGTCAGTGAGGATTTCTCACCTCTAATATGAATTTCTCAGGGAAGGTGTTACTGGAGAAGACTGTTTATTTACTAAAGTAATTTCTAGAGAGGAATATGCTAATAAGTATGGACCTACTACTGGTGATAAAATCCGTCTTGGTGACACTGACTTATTTGCTGAAATTGAAAATGATTATGCTGTCTATGGTGATGAATGTGTTTTTGGAGGTGGGAAAGTCATAAGAGATGGAATGGGTCAGTCATGCAGCCATCCACCTGCCCTCTCCTTGGATACTGTTATAACAAATGCTGTGATCATTGATTACACTAGAATTATCAAAGCAGATATTGGTATTAAAGATGGCCTCATTATCTCGATTGGAAAAGCGGGAAATCCAGATGTTATGGATAGAGTATTTACTAATATGATTATTGGTGTAAGTTCCCTTCCATATAATATCAGAGACAATGAGTTTGAGTTCTTAGCTCACTATCTTGATACAACTTATTTACATGCCAACCATATTTAGGCTAATACTGAAGTTATTGCTGGAGAGGGCTTGATTGTGACAGCTGGGGCTATAGATTGTCATGTTCATTTTATATGCCCTCAATTAGTATATGAAGCTGTAACAAGTGGTAAGTTTCAATTTCTACTGAAAGTGTTCATTACATGTATTTTTAAACATTGAATGCATGCCCTATTGTGCTGGATTCATGACTGGTATGTAGATGAAAATTGTGGGGGTTGTTTGAGATCATTTGGTTGTGCTTATCCTATAGCTTAATGTATTGAAAACTAAACTTTTTATCAAATTACTTATTTTCCAAGCATCCTTTTTGATCCAATACCTATACGATTTTATTCAGTCCTTTTTGGCTTTCTATATAGGCATCACAACATTAGTGGGAGGAGGAACAGGACCTGCTGAGGGAACACGTGCAACAACTTGTACACCAGCCCCAGTTCAGATGAAACTGATGTTGCAATCAACAGATGACATGCCTCTAAACTTTGGTTTTACTGGAAAAGTTTGTTTTTTTTTTTCTTTTATTTTGTCTATATATAATGCTTGTTCAGGGTTTTATTGTTTGTGTAGTTATATTTTTGGTTTTTTGATCAATGTTATTATGTGCTGGACCTCTAGAAAACCTCCCTATATATGTTTAAGATCAATTAACTATTTCACTTATTGCTTCAGGGGAATTGTGCCAAACCTGATGAACTGCATGAAATAATCAGGGCTGGAGCTATGGGACTGAAGCTGCATGAGGACTGGGGATCTACCCCAGCAGCAATAGACAGTTGCTTGACTGTTGCAGAACAACATGATATCCAGGTACAATTTCTTCAACATATTCACTTATATACTTATGTAATTTTCTGTGATTTTTGTTGCTAACTTATACTATAACAGGTTAATATACATACTGACACCTTAAATGAATCTGGATTTGTGGAACATACAATTGATGCATTTAAAGGAAGAACCATTCATACTTACCACAGGTATGTGCTGTCTTGATATTTTTCTTTTTAATAAAGCATAGGATTGGCATGATTATTATTTATTATTACTAATATAACAATTGTTTGAGGAAAAATATCCGTTTTAATTGTATTTTTAAATTTCATTGTTTAGAAGTATTATCTAAGCCAAAAGGATCTAGTATGTAATTTCTTGGTAGAACATTGGTTTCCACAAGTTGGCTGCTACTGAGTTTCCTCTATTATTTTCTTTGGCAGTGAAGGTGCAGGTGGTGGCCATGCTCCAGATATCATCAAAGTATGTGGTGTGAAGAATGTCTTGCCCTCATCAACCAATTCCACACGCCCTTATACGTCTAATACCATAGATGAGCATCTTGACATGTTGGTATGAAGTATGAAACAAAAAATACAGTGCTAAAACTTCTTGTCCTAATTGGCTCTTAATTTAGACTCGGATGATGTACAGATGGTATGCCATCATCTTGATAGGAATATTCCAGAAGATTTAGCTTTTGCAGCATCAAGGATCAGAGCTGAAACAATTGCTGCTGAAGATATTTTGCATGACATGGGTGCAATTAGCATTATATCTTCTGATTCACAGGCTATGGGTCGAATTGGAGAGGTCCTTCCTTATCTCAACTCAGCCTACCTGTCTAAGACTTAACTGTGAACACATTTATTATGAAAAAAAAAAAAACACTTGATGGTGCAAAATTAAATTCTGAAAAATGAAATGTCGTGTGCCTGTGGCATTTATCTCAATTTATTTTAAAATCTCTCCGTTATTGTCTCATGCAGAATATGCCTCACTGTTAATGTGACAATCACCATACAGAATTCTTAGTTTTCTGTTCATGTTCAATTTTTTATTACTACTACTATTATTATTTGTAGCATAACAATGAAAATCAAGGTTACTTTTGTGATCCTGAGGATTATAGATTGTTGAATCATTTCCTCCTTAGGTGATAAGCAGAACCTGGCAAACTGCCAACAAGATGAAGTTGCAAAGAGGACCACTGAAGCCTGGTGAAGTGAATGACAACTTTCGGATCAAACGTTATGTTGCGAAGTACACTATAAACCCGGCTATAGCAAATGGTTTTTCACAATATGTTGGTTCAGTCGAGGTATGATGTTTGAATGTATGGTGCTTTTTCAATTTAAGCAAGAATTTTTTGGGGAAAAAACAAATACAGAAAATTCTTTATATTTATTATGAAAAAACGTTATCAGTACTTAATTTCCTATAATTAAAGATACAAAGAAAAGAGCACTAGAAGCATATACAAGGTGAGAGGGGTTTACTACCTTAGCAAAAGTTAAGCCCCGAATTTCATAAATCGAGCCTTTTCACTAATGATATGTACTTAACTCCGTAATTGGACAAAGCTAATTAGTAATATAATTCATATAAGTGCTAATTACACAACACTTTTATGATCAGCTATTCACGTGGAATTTTGTAGTTTAAGTGGCCGTAGTGAACTTTTAACTCTGGAATTCAGATTGAACCATATAGTTGTGTGGGTTGTGCATCTAAATACTAAGTCGTCGTCGTTTTTTCATATTCAACCTCAATTTACCTATCAAATGGAAGGTATAAAGCCAACGCTGATCCTTCTTATATTAGTATGATCTCAATCCCTTCATTGAGACCTGGTTTTGCAGGTGGGAAAGTTAGCTGATCTGGTATTATGGAAGCCGTCATTTTTTGGAGCAAAACCAGAAATGGTGATCAAAGGTGGTGAGGTTGCATGGGCTAACATGGGTGACCCCAATGCAAGCATCCCAACCCCTGAACCGGTAATGTTTTCATATGTATTCGGATATGATCAAATGTCAACACAATTTTTTGTAAAATTACACATCTAATAACCTTTAGGCTTTTACAAAAAAATAATAAATCATATCAACCCAAATGAAAATGCTTCAAAACTAATTCTAGGAAACAATTTTGTAGGTGATCATGAGGCCTATGTTTGGAGCATTTGGCAAGGCTGGTAGTGCACACTCCATCACTTTTGTGAGCAAGGCGTGTATCAAACCCCTCTCTTTCTCTACACATGCATGCACACACATACAGTATCCACGCATATACGTGTTTATTTTGGGTGATCTCTTCAAAATTTTGCATGTATTCACATCACATTGTTGCTTTGTCACAAACAGGTTGCTTTGGATGGTGGGGTGAAAGCTTCTTACGAACTTAACAAGAGGGTGGAAGCAGTGGAGAGTGTGAGGAAGCTGAGCAAACTAGACATGAAACTCAATGACACACTTCCAAATATCACTGTGGACCCAGAAACATACATAGTTACAGCTGATGGAGAGGTTCTTACATGCACCGCAGCCACTACCGTTCCACTTTCTCGAAATTATTTCATCTTTTAAGATCAAACTACGTGTCCCATATTACGTCGCATGACCATTCTATATATCAAGTTTGTAGGTCCCCATTAGGTATTAGCACCGTAGCAAGTTTACTTGCCACTTTGCCAGGTTATATCTGATAAGATCAAAGTTATGCTATTATTATTTTGTGTCTGACGAAAAGGATTTTAATATTTTTTATGATTTTTTTAGTAAACGATTTTACGTTCGAATCACCCTCGTATTTCTGTGATGTTTTTTACACCATTCGAGAATATATATATATATATTCCATTAGAAAGAGTAGTTTGAAACTCTCTCTCTCTCTCTATATATATATATATATATATTCCATTAGAAAGAGTAGTTTGAAACTCTCTCTCTCTCTCTATATATATATATATATATATAGAATATTTTTACTAATAGAATATCTAATATAAAAATATTTACTTCTAATATTTATTCTTTTTTTAATAATATTTTTTTTATTATCTAAATTTATATTATTCATATATATTATTTATATATATAGAAATATATAGAATATGATTTGATTTATATAATTTTTATTTTTAGAAAAAGATTTTATAATTATATTATAATTAATTTAATTTTATTTAAATTATTCGAATTGTATAATCATCAATTACTGATACCGATAAATGAGTAATTTAATTATAATTCAATTCATAACAATTATAACTCAAAAGTTGATATTCTCCAGTTATTTAATTTGTTGGACAATACTCAATAAATAAATAAATAAATAAATAAATATATATATATATATATATATATCAACAATTATAAGTATCGTACTATTATAAACATTGTTATAATTAGCTAGAAAGATATAATTATAAATAATAGACTAATATATGTTTTTAATTAGTTCTTCAGAAATGATATTTTTAAATTTTGGTTATTATTTAAACTTTTTATTTATTTTTTATTTTAAAAAGTTATAAAAATTATATACTCTGAATTTTTTAAGAGATGAAATTTACATTTTTACTAAATATATGAAATAATTAAAAGTAAATAATTTATTACAAGCACTAAAACAAAATAACTATAATATTTCTAGAGATTTCTTTGTCGTCATTTTTAGATTTCGGCTTGTGAAGAAAGACGTTCCTTAATTTCTCCAACTTCATTGTAAAAGTGACTGTGCTATGCATGTGATTGTGGGTTTCTTTCTGAATATAAAGTGCTTTTCCACTTTCCTTCTTGGCAAACCACTGTTCCACTTTGGTCTCTGTCAAAAAGTCAAAACAACTCGATCGTGTTCCACTTTCCCCTGAACATTGGGAATCCTCACACTATGCCTTTTTTAGATTTCATAAAGAAAGTAATGAACACACAAACAGAGCAAGCTCACACCCTTCCCTTCCTCACTTCAAACTCAAACCAACACCAACCACAAGAAGAAGAAGAAGAAGAAGAAGAAGAAACACCACTTGAGGAGGTACTCGCACGTTTAAAAGTGCTTCTTACGCTACTTGGCTTCAATCAGTCTTCATTCTTCAGCTTCACCGTGTCTTGGACAGCTTTCACGGTGGTGGGTGTGGCGGCGCCGCTCGTCGCTCTTCAGGTCTATGACACTGACAAGAATCAGATAAAGGGTTTCGAATTTGTGATCGTTCTCTTTCAGACTTGTCTCGCCGCTGTGTCTTTGCTCTGTTTCTCTCACAATCTTCGCAAGTATGGCCTCACGAGGTTCCTCTTCGTTGATCGCAACGCTGCTCAAATGCCATGCTTTCACCATGCCTATGTTACACAGATTTCGGTGAGGGCCGTGCCCAATTGGTGTCAAAATGTTAAATTTTTTGCTTTCAACTTTGAGTCTGATGAAGTTAAATGAAGTTGGTTTGTGATTTGTTGTGATCTTAATTGTTACCAGCACTTGGGCTTATTTTTTGTAGCAAAATGTAACCTTCTTTAACGAAATTCAATGCGTTGATGCTATTAAATATTATAATTCTTCATAAAAATTTAGAATTTATTGGAATTCAGCATCAAGCATTGCTAAAATGCTGTTTTGCACCTAGGGGTCTTTACGGTTGATCATTCTGTGGGTATTGTCATGTTTCCTATTGAAGACAGTGCGAGAAATCACTCGCCTTTCGTTGGCAGAGCATGGTTCATTGTGGCTTTCTGTTGCTGTTGTGTTGGCTCTGATTATTTCTTGGACTTCTGTGAGTGCAATCTCTTTATCGGCCTGCGTTTTGTTCCACTTGGTCTGCAATTTGCAAGTTATTCACTTTGATGATTATGGAAAGCTCTTGCAAAGGGAAAGTGATGTGTTGCTTTTTATGGAGGAGCACATTAGGTTGCGGTACCATCTTTCCAAGATAAGCCATAGGTTCAGAATTTATCTTCTTCTACAGTTCTTGGTTGTCACAGCTAGCCAATTTGTGACTCTATTACAGGTCACTGGGTATGGTGGAACACTCACTTTTATAAATGGTGGAGATTTTGCTGTAAGTTCAGTTTTCTGTGTTCAAAACTGTTTATGAATTTAGATTGAAAGACTTGGTTCCTTTTCTTTTGGTCAAGTTGTTTCTTAGTCCTTGGTCCGCTTTTTCATTGTCGTTTTATGTTCTTTTGTTCCTTGTTTATTTCAATATCTTTTAACCTAAAAGCTTTAAAGATTCCACTTCTTTTTTTTTATCCATTCTTTCAGGTTTCAACACTTGTTCAAGTGGTTGGGATCATTATTTGTCTTCATGCAGCAACGAAGATTTCTCATAGAGCTCAAGGCATTGTTTCACTTGCAAGTCGGTGGAATGCACTGGTAACATGCGCTTCTGATGCATCTCAACTGAGATATTCGGCCAGTGCAGGGAGCTTGGAGGGTGCAAACCATTTAAACCCAATATATTTGGACTCCTCTGAAAGTGATTTAGAGTCCATGGAGTCTCTCGGGATGCCTTCAAATACACGGTTGGCTTTGTATACGTCCTCGCATCACAAGAGACAAGCTTTTGGTACGTAATACAATTACCTAAGCAAAACCAACCTGTCTTAGAGAAAGGAAAATTTTGTGGGGTAATTTAATTTCCTATTTAATTACTGGTGAAGTGTACTGTGCTCATAATGAGTACAAGATCGCTCTTTTGTAGTAATTCTAATTCGTTCATTTTATGAGATTAGTTGGTGAATTTTCTATTTTTGCAGTTTGCAAATTTACGACTTTGTTTGCTGCTAGGACTTAATTTGTTCTTTGTTAGATCTTTGTTCAAGTCCACTCACACATAATCTTATGTTACTTGCTACAGTACCTGCTTTCCGAATCTATTTTGATGTTGACCAATCTTGTTTTCTCTGGTTGAAACTACTGAATGAAGACCATAAACATGCTTTTTGTCTCATGCTTAACCACGCTTTTGAATGTGCAGTAATGTATCTGCAGACGAATCATGGAGGAATCACCATATTTGGATGGACAGTTGACCGGTCTCTTGTGAACACGATATTTTTCCTTGAATTGTCTCTGGTTACCTTTGTTCTTAGTAAGACAATACTTTAATGATTAAATTTGCATGCCCACGCCAATAAACCCTTTTGGCCTTAGGTCTTCTCGGTTGCCATTATTGATTGATTGAAAGGCCCTGCGGATGTTCTGCAACTCTTCCTCATGACCATGTTACCAAATTGGGTCAAGCCGTGGCAGATTCTTAACACATTGTAAGTCAAGAAAATTTCATGAAGGATGCATCGTGCAAGAGGAGACTGCTTCCAGTTAGATCTTACATTAGGGCTGGCTCTGTAGCTGTGACAAATGTATTTTAAGATTTGCAACAATGCTGTCAAACAACCTCGGCTTTGTTTACCATGCAACATGAATATCCCCAATTCATGATTCTCATTTATCTTGTCAGAATAAAATTACTTGTACTGGAATTTCCTTTCAAATACTAGAACCCCGCACTATGGCAAGAGGGGCACAACCTTTACATCTCCCTTTAACACAATCATTACGCCACGCTGGTGGATTATCCAGCCCAACGAGGCCGACAGACTAAAACGTATTCTCTGGGTGACTTCTCTGAATGCGCGAGAAAAAGTTCCTAAACTCCTTTCACTTTTTTACATAAATACTGCTGCTTTTAATATCTAATATTTTGATTTATTATTATTTTTTTGGGTTGGTGGGAGGGGGGGGGGGTTCAACTAATATTGTGAAGTTTGAATTTTATTTTTTTTGAATTTTTAAATCTAAACCTATCAAGATGTATCAACTCTCACCCATAGCCCAAAACATAAGTCAGGATGGGCAATGAACTGAACAACACGAGCCGCTTTAGCACGAGTACTAGCGATATGTCATGTTTTTACAAAATTTTGAAATAATTAATATTAAAAAATTAAATATAATGTTATGGAGTCTTACACGGAAAATATAGTCATGGACAAAGGGGAAATTATTTGCAAACATAGTCGGATAAAACCGTCAAACAGCACTTCCAAAAAGTTTTACAATTTTTATAATTCTTACAATCTGTGCAGTGATAAACATAAGGGGGCAGTTGGATAGAGTGAATAACAAATGATACTGCATCACCGTCCACTAAATGTTATAAATTAGACCTTGAATGCTTTGCATATGCTAGCAAGCCCATCTCTCAGTTGAACCAACCCATAGTTATCCCGCGACGAGTATTATCAAGAACTCTTAAATCATTGGCTAAAGAACGCATACAAGTTGCGACTGGATCCCACTCTTAAGATAACGAAGAACCACGTCCATTATTTCGAAAATTGGAAAAATAGAAAACGAAAAAAAGCCAAATGCTACACTCCAGTAAAATGTCAAACTTAATAGAAAATAAGTTATGTTGTGACATAAATGTATAAATGCATAACAGAAAATGGTACATTTTAATTCTATCACAGAAAAATGATGCACCGGCACTACAGTCCTTCAAGTAAACTAGAATAGGAACAATAAGAAATGGCACATACACACAAGGCATTAACCATTTAATTCTCAAAAGATCAAGATTCAAACCGTACGAGCTCTTCAACCGATCCTCACTATCGTCTGTCCAAATAATTCCACTCAATTTGACCATCATTGAATTCTTTGATTGAATAAAATGAGATCCAGCTTAACTCCTAATTCAACAACAGAATATCTTGTGGGCATATTTTAACACCAACCAGAAAGAAATGTCCACAGTATTGACAAACAAGCAGTTTTTTCCACTTGGATTTACCATCAAACCGCATAGATGAAACTTTCAGAATCTTGCTAAATTATTGATTTCCACGTTGATAATTTCGTGATGATGCATATTTGACTGAACTTAAACCAAAAACATGGTCACAGTTGTAAGATCCAGAAGAAATTAAAAATAAGGAAAAAACTTAAATCCAGACTAGGGCCAGTTGGCTTAGGCAAAGCTTCACAGCCAACATCCCTGTCCCTGGTAATTCCTTTTAATGAAGCTGCTTTTTAAGAGTTACATTTGAATCATACAATTGACGACCAATTTAACAGCACATTTAAGTTGGCATTATCACGGCAATGTTATAATCCATCAAATATCCCTTTAATATTATTCTAAAAAATATGAATAAATTACCAAAGAAATTTCTATAACACGCAGCTTATGATCTTAAAGAACTTTAGAAATGTATTATAAGTTATAACAATCAAAGGTTGGCATGGTACCTCTAGAGAGCTTGATGGAACAAAGTTCCATATATTCCAGGGTTTACAGGTAACATCCTCAACCTGCTGGCTTTGATACTGCAGTGACATTTGCACAGAAATGTCATAAAATAATTCTTGAACTTGTGAAAACTTCAACCCTTATGAACAGATCACATGATATTTTGCTTTAACTTGCGTTTCAGTATTAGTTAATACTCTTTAGTACTACAATACACTTGAGAAATTAATATGCTGAAATTGCACACTTCTTTTCATGAGGCATGAGGAAGACAACAACAAAGCCTTATCTCACTAGGAAGGAGACAACAAAATAGAGTAAAAAAATGTTGTCAATTACAAAAATCTATGACAATCTGAAAATTCTTCAGATCAGATATGAAGAAAAAAACAGCCATCCCCATATTTATTGATACTTCCGTGATCACAATTTCAAGCTCCAATTAAAAGTCAACTTGTGAACAAGAATCCATGAAATTCTTCCAAATTTTTCATTCCAGTTCGATTTAGATTTAAGAAACTTAAACATTTGCCAATTACTAAATAAATAAATTATTGCTATACAATTACTTTGCATTAAATAAAAAGGTTTCCCACTTTCCTTGAAGCAAAGTTATTTGTAATTGTGCTTTACACTCCAAAATGTTGGCCAAGTAGCAAGTAGATACACATTAAACATCAGTCCATGTTAACAAAGTGACACTGGCTTATAAACATCGTCTCTCTGACTGACAAACACAATCATCATTCCTTAATATCCTTTATCCAAGATATCAAAGGAATGCATTACCTTGGATGTAAAAAGCTACAGTCATTTTCTTCAATGAAATGGACAGAATGCACTCTTCCACTTCACACGAACTGTCTCTTGCAAACACAATATGCACATTAAAAACAGCTAAGAACTGATAGCTAACAGAAAATCCATATTGCTTTAATACTCAACCAGATTTAAATTGTTTACAGTATACCGATGAAAATGAAAACATGTAATGTTACATATACAAGTTTCAGCAGATACCTACTGAAACTATTTTCAGAGCGCAATTATGTCACACTTTATGTGAAACCTGTGCCCTGTGTGCATTTCTATATAATGATCAAGCATTATGAAGGTAACCTGAAATAAATCTGGCTCCAAGGAAGTAAAAAATCCATAACTCGACACTAACCAACAAGTGCCTGATAAAAAATAGCACAAGTGATCATCTACCGATCAATATTAGCAACTTCTGCTCAATGCTTACTCTCACCTCAAGCATGCAAACATTCAGCAAAGCGTGTTTGAAAGATTATTGAGACCTAAAATTTAAAATGCATCCATTCTTAACCAAAAATACCACCAGTCCCTGATTCACCCTGCTGCAATTCCTTCTGGTACTGCTCCGCTAAGGGATCTGGGCTCTTCAATATTCTTCGTGTGCGCCTATTTACATAATTATAAAGCATATATATGAGTCAAATGAACAAGTAAAATTTAAAATTGTTTACCATAGCAACTTCTAATTCGGTCACCTGTCTTGAGCATGTTGAGCAGGGAATGTAGGCATGAACTCTTTAGACTTCGGAAGGGGAACTTCACGAAACCACTCATGGTTTAAAGCTTCTTCAGCTGTGATCCGCTGTGCATATTAATAATAACAGCCCATATCCTTAATAAACACAAATAAATTTGTATGTACTAAATTAAGTCAAGCAGTATGTATCATTTACCTTTTCAGGGTCATAGGTAAGAAGTTTGTTCAACAAATCAAATCCAGAATCGGAAAGCACTGGAGATCCAGTGAATGATGTTGCAGGAAATTTTTTCCGCAGGAGATTATACCTGAAAGGAACAATTGGGCAGTTAATACAAACTAGAAAAGTTGTGAAGTAAGTCACCAAGAGAGGCCAGATAGCCAGACCAGAACCACTCAGAGTTGGAAGCCTGGGAAAACAGTGACAAAAAATAAGAACAGCGGAACTAAACAGTTAAAAGTCTTACATAAAGGAAATCATGAATACTTACTGATGCTTGACAAACTTGACCTTTGCTCGAGGTAATTCTGAAAACCCAGGCCAAATTGCTTCATTTGGTGTGCCAAGAATTCTGAAAATCTGCAAGTAATTAATGAATGTTATGAGATATACACCAAAAGTTGAAAGACCAGATGAGTGAGAACAATAACTTATACATTACAAGTCTAAAATGGCATTTAAGTATACCTTGTCAAGTTGATCAAATTCAGTCTTCCCATTAAACAGCGGTTCCTTGGATAATAGTTCAGCCATTATACAACCCAAAGACCACATGTCAATAGCTGTCGAATACTGTTTTTTTCCCAGAAGAAGTTCTGGAGCCCTGCAAAACATATGGACAAACATTAACTAAGCCTTTGCTTGTTTGGTGGAAAACATTATATAAGGATGGAAAGTGTAGGAAAAGAAAATTTTCATGTGGTTGGATATTTTGTTTAATTATGGTTGGAGAATAATATTTTCTATACCAACGAATGAACCACATGATAATTGATAACAGTTTACAAATTCACAGTAACAAAATTAAACTATAATGAGGAATGTTGTATAAATTAATCGATGACATGAATAAACAGATACGAAAGACATGTCTAACTAAATATGACTCACCTGTACCAAAGAGTAACGACCAGGTGCGTATATGGTTTCAATGGACTCCCATACTGACGAGCCAATCCAAAATCACAAATTTTTAATTCACCCCTATTGTTCAGAAGTAGGTTTGAAGTCTTCAAATCCCTATGAAGCACCCAGTTGTCATGAAGATACTTCATACCTTCTAAAAGCTGCAGCATTAAGCATTTTACTTCACTCTGGCTAAATGGCTGCTTCATTGCCTCCATTAGTCCTTTGAGATCATGTTCCATGTATTCCATAACCATGAAAATACTATCAAGGCTACTCCCTACCACTACTTCCTTAACATCTACTATAGATCGGTGATGAAAGGACAGAAGAATGTTTATTTCCCTAAGAGAAGTCATCGGAAAACCTTCTTTTTCCTTCTCCATTTTCACCTTTTTCAATGCCACAATTTCTCCAGTCTTCTTATCTTTGGCCCTAAACACAATACCATATGTTCCTTCATTTATCTTGTTCAATCTCTCAAACTCGTCAACACTTCTACAACCCTGAAGCATGTTGACAACTCTTTGTGGTGCAGCCGGAGGTTCAGGGGTTTCCCTGCTATCATCTTCAGAATCTGTATCCAAATGACTACCACTAGTTTCACTTTTGTGACCTTGACCATCAATCTCCATATAATCATCCTTCTCTGACTCAATACCAGAATGATCGTCTCCACTGGACGATCTCCCATGGCTACCTCTTTCTTCAGATTCAGATGATTTGGCTCTAGCTCCTTCAAAACCATCTATTTTAGATTCCTCCTGTCTCGAGATCTTATTTCTTACTCTCTTAACCAGCTCAGGAGATATCTTCCTCCTCCTCTCATGGATTTCCTTGTCATCATTGATTTCACCTTCATCACCAGGAGAATTATCTCCAGCTGCCCATCTTGAAGATGATATATTGTGAGTTGGAATATAATCTTCACCTTCAGGTTGCTCAGCTTCCAGCTCATGACCCCATTTCTGCCCTGGCAACAATGAATGCAAACCTACAGGAGACTCAGACTCGGTATCCTGAACTGACTTGGATAGCAAAGGAAAATTAGTTGCAGTTGGCAACTCAAGATTCTCAGCTTCTGTATTTTTGACAGGATGGGTTTCAACTCCACTGTAAGGACCAAAAGGTATCTGATGGATTCTTGGAAATGAAGGAGGCTGAGGAAGAGCACTTGCTGCTGTGGCAACCCCAAGTTTGGATAAATTATTCACTTCTCTGTCGTCCTGATCCCATACTATTGGTGAAAATTTTCTTTTCCTGTCTACCAGAAATCGTGTCCCATTTTCTTCACCTGTAGCAACCTCAGTGTATTTTCCGCGTGATTCTGATTCAATACCATCATCAGACCCACTCTCACTGGAAAGCTCACCAGGCTCTCTATCCATAGTCTTAACAGAAAATCCACATCGTCTGGGACCAACCCCACCACTACGACTGCCACTGCTGCCTGAGTCACTCCTACTCGAAGTTGACCAACGACTGCCATTTGAAGCTTTCCTCTCCCTAGTATCTTTCTGTCTCAGTCTAATCTTGTCTCTTGCATCCCTGCTTCCACCCCTTGCAGAGTCACGGCTACCGTTCTTAATCCTAATCCTATCATACTCTTCTTTAGAATCATTATAATAAACCCGCCTTGAAACATCAAAATTTGACTCACAGTCCATAAACTCGTTGTCACGATAACCTCCATGTTTACCAGGCGCCATAGATACACCTGAAATTCTAAACTCCAGAGAAAACCCCAATCCCTGTAGCAGCAAATGAAAATCTTCGTTTCTAGAACCCTAAACCCATGAAACAACGAATCCTCCCAAAATTCTTAATCGAAGAAGACAAATGTGCATAAATCAAGTACAAACCCTACGAAACGAAGTAAGATCGGACAGCAATTCTTGCTAAAACGAATAAAATAAAAAGGATAAGCAGAGATTCTTTTGTTGCACCACTATGCAGCTAAAATAGTAATGTAAATGCAGGAATTGAGTCGAAACCCTAGAGATTAACGGAGAGAGAGAAGAACCGTAGGAATTATGACGGTTGAGGCTGAGCGGAAAGTCTCGATGATAAAGCAAAATAAGGCAAACGGACACCGAATAAGGGCACTCTATTACCAAAAATTATAATTAAAAATGAACAAAATTGGAAAATAGAAATGGAGCGCTTTCTGCCGCGCAAAAAGTATATTATATGTCGAGTTTTGTTCGTATCTATAACATTCGAGATGACTTATGCTTCAAATAATTTAATCCTCATCCACGTAAGGATTCAAAAATTCACCATATGAAAGCATATGACTTGGTTGAGTGGTTTAGGATTAATATTTAGATTAATTATTTTTTAAAAATTATTAAAAATATTTCTTTTATATAATATTTTTATTACAAAATTATATACAAATAATTTAAAAACAATTAAATTTATATAATATTAAATAATTAAAATAAATTTATATAAATATATATATATATATAATTTATTATCAAATTACATTATATATTTAACTAATTTTTGCTTATATTGTTGATAATTATTAAATTATTATTACTAGTGTAACTTTATAAATAATTTCTTAATACATTATTTTTTAATTTTATTTAAATATTAATTATAAATATTTTTACGTTTTAATGTTTTTATATATTTTTATTTTTTTTTATGAAGTTATTTTAAAAACATCACATTTTTAATAAATATTTTTATAGTTATAGTAGAGACATAAAATTAACCATAAAAAATGTTAATTGGATTTTTAAAGCTATATTTTATTATCAAAATATTTAAAATTATTTATTTAAATAAAATTCAATGTGTTAAAAGAATTAAAAGACAACACTATTATTATTATAAAAATTTAGATATGTGAAATTTAATATTACAAAATTTATAGATGCAGATGAATAACTTATAAACTTAACCTAAGTTAGCGAATATTCATAAATCTAAATTTTATTTTATTTTAATAAAAAATAAAATAATTAATTTAATAGAACATTATGCTTTTTGAAATATATATTTTATAGTTAAAATAAAATTTTTAATTAAATTTAAATTAAATAATTTAATAAAATTAATAAATAAACACATATATCTTTTAATTAAAAAATAATACAGTAGTTGTTTATATATTTTTTTTTAAACGTGAGTTAACTTATATATATATATATATATATATATATATATATATAAAATAATTTAAGGTCAAAATAATTTTTTTGTGTATAAAACTTTAAAAAATGGGACTAATAATATATTAATGATATATATAGAAATGGAGATATATTATGTACCAAATTTATAACAATAATTTTGATTTTCCCACCTTGTTAACAATTTCAGAAAGCTTTTGTTTAAGATTGTGTAATATTCAAGTTTTTCTGTATTTTAACTTAAGAATAGCTATTTCAATTTAATGCAACCATGGAAAATTGACTTTATTTATTGTTATTTATTTTTATTTGTTAATTTGTGTATTTTTTATTTTTACTTCATTATTTATTATATTTACTTTTTTTAAGACCATACTTAACCAAATATTTAATACATATACATTTTCACGAGTTAAATAATTCTGTAATAGTAATATCTCTATTTGACATATTACTATCAAATAACTTAAAATTAAAAACATTTAAAGTCCATCAAACGTTATTTTAAAATTAGTCAACTACAAACAAACTAATAAAAGTTGCATGTTATAAGTCTAATAACATTTTTTTATGCAAGTCTAATAACATATTTGAATCATGAGACAATGCTATAAGTCATTAATTTTTTTTATGAAATTTCAAGCACACAGTTCTAAAGTTAACTTATCGTATTGTCTTATTTTTAAAAAAATTATAACCATATTAATGACAAAATAGTTTTAAATTATTCATCATTTATATAAAATTATTAATAATTTATTATCATATTCTAATCACGTGTTAATGTTTAATACAGTAATACTCTATATTTACACTTTGTTAAAATTCATCGTTAACGTATTAATGAATATATAAAGCTGCTTTTTAAAAATAATTTTAAATATATTTTTAAAATTAAGGCAACTGTAATGAGACGAATAATTCTTGTCTAAAATATATTATCAATCTCGAAAGTAGAGCATACACGTGGGAAAAAACCTTAAAATTAAATTAAAAATTTAAAAATTTGTGTGCCAATTTTGCCCCCGTGTAGGCTCAAAAGGGATTTCGGAAATTATCGTCTACAGTACTCTTGCTTGAACTCGAATATGTTTTTCTGAGATAAATCTCACTATTCTCAGTAATTTGCCAAGTTCATTTTGCTCTTGTATTCACTGAACAAAGGGATAAATGCAACGTTTAGTGTTCTTCTATAAACGATTACATTTTAATTAATGTTGTGCATGATGTGATGATGCCTTGTATACTATCTGGATTTGGGTGTGAGTTTAGTTACATTGCTAGGTTTGTTGGTTATGCACGTGCTTATAAGCTGTTTGATATAAGGCCTGAATCATAGAAAACCTGTGTATTGTATCGAGAACGTTTCATTTGAAACCTGGAGCTTATTTGTATTGTATTGAGAATGTTTCATATGGTTTTCGAACTGAACTGTTTTTATTCTTATTAATTTGGTTGCAGTATGACATAATTTAAATAATGAGGTGAACTGTTTTCTTTATCAGCAATGTCCTGATTATAATGATGATATCTTGTGATGGTTGTGCGTCTTTTGAACTTTTGCCTGTTCATGATTGATTTGCTCTTCTTTTCCAGATTATTTTTTGGCCTTGAGTCTTCTTATTCATGGAGAACAATTGAACCTGCCTTTCACTTTTTAGCGTCATGGGGTTTCTAAGGTTTATTGGAAGGTATAGTTCCTCCTTCAAATTCAAAACTCGAAATAGAGTGTACTCAATTCAGCATATGCAAAGCAGAGGCTTCTCAAAGAACAGAGTTTTAAGTGGCAACGATGCGGTGCATCCAGTTCTGATTATTGGTGCAGGACCCGTGGGTCTTGTTCTCTCTATTCTTCTCACAAAATTAGGTATACTTTAAATAGTCAAAGCATTCCTTTTGATTAATGCCTACTGCTTGTTTTGGAAGCCAAAAATCTGACATTAAAGTGTTTGTTTGGAAACTATGTTCATATTCATATGCTCTTTTCTAACAAATATTCTACAATATTTGCATTTATTTTGTTTTGGTATCCAATGCAAGGTTTTAAGTAATACTGGCTGTGAAGTTTCCTTGTTAAGCATGTCTGAAAATGCCATAACAAATATGGGCCCAATTTGGGCGAACTTGTAAATAAATTCTTATAGGAGAAGAAAAATAATATAAAAAATGAACAAAACTCCTCTCATAAGTTTTCTTGTTAAGCATGTCTGAAAATGCCATAAAAAATATGATAAGATAAATTGTTTTCAGTTTGTAATTTGGCAATGACAGTGATTTCTATTTCTCCATTGTTTATATTTTGTATGTTTGTTGTAAAGAGTTATCTGAAATGCATAGTTTTAAAATGAGCTGTGGACTTTCCTTCGTTAATTTGTTGTAGTTCTAGCTTATATGGTAATGCTAAGACAGTGGTAATATAAATAATGTTTTCAGTTTATAACTTTGTCATGGAAGGTTTATTCTTCTCTTTTGTTTATATATTTGGTGTAAAAATTGTCTGAACAGGTAAACTTTTATTTGCACTTTTTCAATCTTTTTGATGTACAGATTGTATTACTTTTATTAAAATGTGTCCCTCATTGTATTTTTTTCTTACATCATCAAATTACTTCCACACTATGTATCCTTTTGTTTTATTATAGGTATTAATTGCACAGTTTTGGAGAGAAACAAGGCAGTCTCAAAACATCCTCAAGCACACTTCATCAACAATCGATCCATGGAGGTTAAAAACACTCTCTGATAAATTGTTTTATTTCCAAAAAGCATTGTGATTTATTTTGATCAGTGGTGCCATTTTAGATATTCCGCAAAATTGATGGCCTTGTTGAAGAGATCCAAAGGTCTCAACCACCAGTAGATTTGTGGAGGAAATTTATATATTGTACTTCCCTCTCTGGTTCAATTCTTGGATCTGTAGATCACATACAACCTCAAGGTGCTATTTTTTGGTCCATCAGAGCCGATTTCTAGTCTGATAGCATTAGGAGGATTATTATTTTCAGGGTAGATTCAACAATATTTATACATAGCCTTCAAAATATGCAGTATATCAACAAATAGACTGTGTGATCTTGTTCATTTTGGTCAACATTGAGCTTCAGAAGATTCATATATATTGTACTTGTTATCAGATCTTGAGCATGTTGTCAGCCCAGTGTCTGTTGCACACTTCTCACAGTACAAGTTAACAATGTTACTACTCAAGCAACTTGAAAATCTAGACTTTCAAATATGTTCCCCTGAAATCTTGGAAGGAAATCAACAGTCTTGTGCGAAAAAAATAATGATGGGCCATGAGTGTTTATCCATTGATACCAGCAATGACGTTGTGACAGTAACTGCATCTTCTATCATTAAGGGGAAGCGTGTGGAACAGAAGATTCATTGTAACATTCTTATTGGTACAGATGGCGCTGGAAGTACTGTAAGAAAGCTTGTAGGAATAGAAATGGAAGGTGAGAAGGACTTGCAAAAACTTGTCAGTGTCCATTTCTTTAGCAAAGGCCTCGGGCAGTTTTTGCTTAAGGAGAATCCTGGTATGCTTTTTTTTATCTTCAATACTGAAGCCATTGGGGTCTTGGTTGCTCATGATCTCAGGCAAGGGGAGTTTGTACTGCAGGTATAATATTCTTTATGGTAAATATAAAATGTCACCATATTATTTTACAGCTGAATTACGGGGCATCAAATATATAATTCTGGTTATATTTTTGCAGATTCCCTTTTATCCACCTCAGCAAACGCTTGAGGATTTCAGTCCAAAGGTATCATCCATCCATAATGTCTCGTTTATACCCTCTTCAATAAAATTTGTCAAAATATAATGGATAAAATATCCATGCTGAAGTTAAAAATTAGAGTTTGAAAAGAGGGCAGCAATATATTGTAATATATAACTATACATGTAAACTAACTTGCATCAAATTGGTTATTTATGCCTATTGATGTGATTAAGTGTAATACATTTATGTAATACTCGATTTGTAGTAGGCATGTGAGAAATTAATCAGCAAACTTGTCGGTCGAGAGTTTGGAGATGTAGATGTAATTGACATAAAGCAATGGGTTATGCATGCTGAAGTTGCTGAGAGGTTTATATGTTGTGGCAACCGAATATTACTTGCTGGTGATGCTGCTCATCGATTTCCACCTGCTGGTGGATTTGGTTAGTTGCTCTTTCTTTGTGCAGATACTAGATTTTGGCTGATGGAAGAAAAATATAATATGTATTGTATTAATTTGTATCTTTGCAAAATAGGAAGAATCTGGATGTTTCTCTTTTTCCTTGGGAACATGACTGTGTCATAGAAAGAGACAGATTCATGTTTCTGTGAACAATATTTGCTTGTATCTTTCTTTCTCTGGACATGTCATTGTCATTTTCCCATATTTGACAATAATTTTAAAATAAGAGATTCTCAATTATCATGTATCCTTCTGAACATTCCTTATTTATTTTATGAACGTTATATAATTCTCTAAATTTACAAAGGAAAAATTAACCCTCCCTTCCTTTTCCTTGTATAATTATAGTGTGTCATGGGGGTGATGATTATATAAAGTCCTCCCTGCAACTCTATGATTCAAACCCACTAATTTTTTGTTGATGCTATTTAAATAAGTTATGAAGCAAATTGACATAAAAATATTGACGTGATATTGTAGGAATGAATACTGGCATTCAGGATGCCCATAATCTTGCCTGGAAGATTGCTTCTGTGATTAAGGGTATTGCCCCGTGTTCAATGCTAAATACCTATGAAATTGAACGTAGACCGGTAGTGCTTTTATCCCTTGTTACAATTTTTGAATATATATTTATATTGTTAGATAAAGCCATTGACATTTATTGTTGTCTGTTATTGTTAGATTTCTTCGTTCAATACAAGATTAAGTCTAGAAAACTATAGAGCTGCCATGTCTGTTCCTGCTGCACTTGGTCTTGATCCAACTGTTGCAAACACAGGTACACAAAATTAGCATATGTAATAATTTTCCTTTATTTTCTGCAGCATCAGTCTTGTAATCTTACAGTGATGCACAACACTTTCTTGCTAAATAGCTGAAATTTAATTTATTTTTTCCTCATTTAATTGCAGTTCATCGATTTATTGTGAATGGGTTTGGTTCCATCTTACCATCTGGACTGCAGAAGGTAGCTTTGGATGGAATTTTTGCTATAGGTCGTGCACAGCTTTCAGGATCTGTCCTAAATGAAAGTAACCCTCTTGGATCTTCAAGGTTGGCTAAGCTAAGACATATATTTGAAGAGGGAAAAAGCCTTCAACTTCAGTTCCCTGCTGAAGATCTTGGTTTTAGGTATTATGGTGAATAATTTATATTCCACATTTTGTATTGCTGAGCTATATATCACCATTCTCATTCTCATATTCCACTGGCTCTAGCTTCTACTTTAGTTATTAGTTTTTGTTTGTATAGTAGTCAATTGGACCAAATTTATGACTAGCATCATTTATAATCATTTGCTATTTTCTATATCGTTTTGATGGATGGATATTGGGAGCGCCTCTCTTACTCAGAGCTATTGATGTTAGGTACCTACAAGGAGCACTAGTTCCAGAGAGTAATGGTGTCGAGAGTCCACCTGAAGTACCAACAGGGCGTCGGAGGGACTACATCCCTTCAGCACAAGCAGGATCAAGACTGCCTCATATGTTTGTGAGAGTAAACCCATTAAGTGAGGTTTGTAGCATTGTTAATATAATGCATAATTATTACAGTTAAGCTATATGATTAAATAATTTTTTTTTTCTTCCTTCTAGTGGGTCTTGTCTCCCCCTATTAAAGTATTACCGATTCACAATTTAAAAGAAAATTTATGTTTTCCCCCTTGAAATTTGGAACTGCTGCTTTTGTTTAATAGGTTTTTCAGGTGTAGTTAGTGTATTCTTACTGATTTAAAACATCAAGTTTTTTCTTTTGTTGTTAAAATGTGAAGAACGCTTTGTAGGAGACTGTTTCTACACTTGATCTTGTGTGTGGAGATAAAGTTGAGTTCATTCTCATCATAGCACCTCTGGAGGAATCTTATAATCTAGCTCGTGAAGCATTCAAGGTTGCTGAGGAACGACAAGTTTCTCTCAAAGTGTGTGTTTTCTGGTCTACTGATTCTGTTGAAGCACTAGAGAAAGGAAGTAGCGCAGCATTATCACCTTGGAAGAATTTTGCAGATGTTGTTGAAGTTCAGTCTTCAACTTCAAATTGGTGGGATATGTGTAACATGACGAACAGAGGGGCTATTTTAGTTAGACCGGATGAACACATTGCCTGGCGTACAAGTTCAGTCCTTGCTAGGGATCCTAGAGTGGAAATGCAGATGGTTTTTTCTGCTATACTGGGAATACAATGTAAAATAAACAAATAGACAGATGATTTTGTATTGATTCTTTCAAGAATACTTTTTTTAAGTAGTTCAATTTTTTAAGGTCATGGTTAACGGGTCTAATAATGAAGGGGACCGCTCTGCTTACGAGGGCTAGACGCATACATTTGGCCATCCTCAGTTCCTTGACCTACAATTTAGGAGCTTCGTGGACCAAGCTTCCCTAATTAGAACCAGTCCTGTGAGCTCTTGCCTGCAAGGTCTTCATTTAACATTCCGGCCAAATTGCAGTTGCCTCATTTAAAGTTATATTCTTGCGCAGGACGCTGAGTATATTACGGAATTTTGAGTGGATATTGAACCATTTCTCATGGTTTTCCTTTGCTACTAGAGTCGTATTGTAGTTCGTTGTTACTAGGAATAAAGGAGAGACTACAAAGTACTGGGTCGTTCTGAATTTGTGGAAAACTGTTATTTTATTTTCTAATGTATTTGGTTCCAATTCCATCTGGTGTATGTCACGTGAAGTTTAAATATCAGTGGTAAACCTGCTTTTCAAAAGCAAGATTTGATCAGTTTGAACTCAACTAATTCACCTGCCCGTAGTACTGCCATGTATTTTTTATACAAGGTCAATTTATATTTAGATCGTAACTATAGGCATTAGTCTGATTTGGAAGTTAGAACATGACTGTAATGTGCAGAGAATATTAGAATCATAAACAATCTTGCGCTGGATTCTGGAGGCCGTTGCCAAAGTCATTTCTAACAGACAAATACACCAATGCATCAATTGAATATATCTAGCGTCATAAATAGGTTGGAAGGACGTCATATTCACAACAAAAATCTTACTTTTGATGAAGAAAAAAAAGAAGCATCTATAATCACAAGTTACATATAACCAGGATAACAGAAAGCAAATGACTTAAACTAATACCCATAAATAATTAAATAAATAAATCCATTCTAAATCCAAACATGTTAATTAAGGGGCAAGAACTCTTGCTAATACATGATCCCATAAGAGATACTTCCATTCTATCAAAGTATAATAAATACAATTCAATTTTTCACTGCCAATGCTGACATGAAAAGGAGGCCAAGTAATACAGGGGATCCGAAGGAGGGGGCACATGCCAGGCTTTTTCTCGGGGAACAAGGCTCAAGAGTAGAGACTGGATTTTCTATACAACGGTCCTTTAGGGATGTCAGCAATGGAGTTCTCAATTTCAACTACTAGCTATGGTTATTAGATAGCCAATAACTGCTGTTATAAGTCCAAGTAACCCTCCAGCAATGACCTGCAGTAAGAACTGAGAATATTAAGAAAGAAAACCACCAATTGTAAAAGAAGTGGCAAATATCATGAAGATCAAATTCAATTTACACCTTCAGATCATGGAAACCATTTATGTATAATACTAGAATACCCACATGAAGAGAAAGTGAGATACAAAAAGATAACAAGAGGAAATCATTCAAACCAAAAGTGTAGCAGAGCATTGTCCAAAACGTGTAGCAACGAAAATGAGATAACCTTGTTAATGACTTGAAACCATCATTTTGGCACATTAGTATCTCTTTATCAAGAGGTTCATCATTCACAGTACTACTATATCAGATAATTTGAGCATGATATAATCTTAACAGAACTGAAACAATGTATATAACCCAAGGAAAACCTCGGCCCTTAATATTTCAATAAAGCATAATATGACATGATAAAACATAGACTTGAATGTTCATAAAAGAAAAATGATAATGCAATCCCTGCCTATTTGAATGAGCATTGAGTAAATAACATGGTGCTCATTAATTATATTTTAGTGTAAACAGTCATCATGCATTCTATCAACTATCATGTGTATATCGTACATTCATTAGTTATATTTTAGTATCTAAATCCTTATATTTATGGGTTTCCAGAGAATAATGTCATTCAATCAAGTGTGTAAACACTAAAGAAAATGGCACACCAAATTCCCTGAACTAAGATCCATCAAATAATCATAGGAAGCAATCAAATACAAAATGGTGAACCTGAGGGGGGGTATGCCCAAGAAGTTCACGAAGTGGTCTGCTTTCAGCCAGAGGATGTTCAGCAGGAAGTTCATACACAATTTGGTTCAAAACCTGGAAAATCCAGTTATTCAAACTCAGTAAAAAGAAACTAATCAAAACAAAAAATAAAAGATGTCCTGGCATTTGAAGTCTCATGTTTGGCATGAAAGAATTATTTAGGACAGAACATGGTGCACAAGTGAAGAAATAATAAACAATGTCCAAGGTGAAAAAATAACTAACAGCACAAGGCATCGAACCTCTGCTTGGCGTCCTGCTTGCAATCTTACACCAGTAGCATCATACATCACCTGCCAGCAATATCCGATATCAGAAACTTGTTCAACCACATAACTCATATATAAGCTAGCCATTGTTAGTTTCACATTGGGTAACCTAGTTGTTTTCAGGACATCAAATCCTTCTGTAAGCTAGTATGATTTCATTCCACTATTCCATCCCTTTCCATCTTGGCAAAACTAAGATTCAATTCTTTAGGTAATTTTAGTACTGTTTTCCCAATCAAAATTAAAGTTTTATCTCAGTAAAAAGTGGGCATTTAATATTGTCATAAATTATCAAGACAGAATCTAATTTTGATTGAAAAATAGCACCAAAATTACCTAAGTTTGTCCTTGCGTTATTCCATCCCTTTCTATCAATTCAAACATCAATTATGTAAAAGTACATGCGTGACCATTCTTACCAGTGCAGAGATGATATATAGAACAGATTGAATCTTCATTATAATATCACACTTCATAATAACGGAACTCTTTTTCTAACGTATATCTAAGGACACATGTTAAGAAATTAAGAATAAAAAGTTTTCTTTATTGAAAAGAAAAATACATATTATCTCAAAATCATAAAAAAAAAAACATTTCATGCATACTTTTTACAAGCAATTTATAAGGTGTATTTAATATTTCTTAACATATGACTTTAGAAACCTGTTAAAAAAACCAATAAAGAAAATAACGAAGCTCTTCATAAAATCTCCACAAATTGATTGATTTGATGAATTAGAGACATACAATACACGCCAGAACCAATGCAGTGGCAAAAAGAGGTCCTCCAAAACCTTCATGGAAGCCAATTGATGCAGCAAGAGCAGTGACAGTAGCTGAATGAGATGAAGGCATTCCACCAGATCCAACAAGTTGCTTGGGATCCCATCTTCTTTCCTTGTACCTAAACAATAATATTAATATCTACCAAACATTAACACTCATAAGGCTCAATTAAACACCATACACATCATTACCCAAACAAATTTTTTCACTCCCATATAATTTAATTCATCCAAAAAAAGTTTCATAATTTACATATCATTAGCCAAACCCAAAATTTTATTGCATTAAATTCCGATCCAAATATGAGAAATATGAGAAAATAATAGAAAACGAAGACGAACCAGGCTGTGAAAAACTTGATGGATTGTGCTATGGCAAAAGCAACAATGGCGGAAATGAGAGGGTAATTGTGAAACATTGAAGACGACGTCGTAGAAGCCACCTCATTCATCTCTTACTCTATTTGTTTATATAATAATTTATTTTTCTCTTTCTTTCTTTATTTATTTTTGGAACATAGGATTTGACTTAGCTTAAGAGGGTTTCTTTGTTATGAAATGAAATAGTTAAAACTTAAACACCCTACTAACTAACGGTTTTGCCATGGCTTTCTCAACTGAATATGCTTCCTTTGTTCATTTACGTTTAGAATATGCTACTCTCATAGTCATGACTCGTGCACTTGCTTTATTTCTATTTTTCTATTTTATTTCTGTTATTGCTACTTTACCGTAACGCAAGTGTTGTTAACAAAGTTTTCTGTATGTATTGGGTGACCCAAATTTTGGAAATTTGTATAATTGAAATTGAAAGTTCTTAGCAAAGAAAACTTTGAAGCAACGAAATTTCATCTGGAAATTTTGACAAAGTATTTTCAAGGAAAAGGAATTTTCCTCTTTATTCTCCCTACCCCTTTGTTTGGGTCCAAATGAACAAAATAAGGGGCAGCGAACAATTGTAAATAAAGTTTGAATTTTCTTTTTTTTATTTAAGAATGAGAATGATAAAAAAAAAACCTTATTAATAGCTAAAATTCATTAAATGGCATCCCATTTTCATTTAACATGCCCTACATAAATTTCACTTAATAATAAAATATATTTAAAAAATGTTTCAAAAGATTATTTCTCATTCATATTGAAATCATAAAAACTGAAAGTTTAACAAATGCCCTAACTAATGAAAAAGAAAAAAAAATCATTAAAAATGTCATCAAGGCTTTGAAGTATTTTTTATCTTAAAAAATCATATTATGATATATTAAAATTATGGAGAAATCTCATACCAATATTTATTATATAAAAAGTAAACATTTATTAAGTAATTTAAAGCATTAAAGATTATGGTAAATTTTATACTTACACACATGATGTCCATGGACAAAATCCTCCCCTCCCATTTTTTAAATTCACTAATTCTCAAAATACGTCATTTGATAAATTGTCTACGGTCAAGGGTCAATGCTACAATGATGTCGGAATGACAGATGCAAGAAAAAACAAAACAATTACAAATAAGTGGATCTCCAATGTACTTGTCGTGGACAAACTGTTCACTGACCTGCACGTGGATGTTTGTTCACTCATTCAAGTCAAATGAAATAGGAATATAATAGACTAGCAACAATGTTAATGAATATGAATGCTTTTCTACTTCACACTTGCTTTTGATGGATCACTTAATTGAGATGGAAATAACAGACAAGAATGCAGCAAGTGGAGGGCGCACAGTGCAGTCCTCCAAAATGCCTCTAACTTGGCCTACCAACCAAAAAAAAGGAGGAAAAAAAATAACTTTACAATTATGTCAAACATAGCGTGGCATTTGTTACAAAATATATTGGAACCAACACAAACCGGCAATGGTTATTATTCCAAACAGCCTTCAACCTAAAACCATAAATGTGCAAGCACTTGGCTTAGCTACCATCTATGGGCCAAAGGGAAGTGCATAAATGCTGCCAGGAATTAAGTACATTCTGAACATTGCTCTCTCACATTATGATGCAATTGCACTTCGATTCAAGCTTTGGGGGCTTCATACTATCTACCTTGTTAGGAAGCCCAACATTGTGTGTGAAAGACTCATCAATATTTTCATCATTCTCAGTCTTGCCAGAAGGGGTTTTGACATCAGTTTCCACCCTCCTCTGCTTGGTCTTTGGGGATTTCAAAGTGCGCTTGATGACAGGTCGGCTGCGTCTTTCCTTCCTGTCAGAATTGGCTTTCCCCAATAAGGTCACAGTTGGTTCAGAACCTTCAAACGGGTTGGAGCATTCCTTTTCCATTGCTATGGTTGCAGCCTGATATGCAAGGTCATGGATGATTGAACTGCAAAAAAGGAGTGTATCTGCTGCCTCTTCAAATGTCAGGCTACTAGTGTTGCCAGCACCTTGACACTCCACTGTGACTGTTGATCCCTCTGGCATAAAGCATTAAAGAACTGTTAACCATGTGCTAATATTTTCTCCAAAGAAAGTTACAGTGGATAAAATAGATTGCAAGCACTAAAGGCAAAATAAACACATGGGAGGAATCTCATTTTGATAGAAAACTGAAAAGAGGCATTCTTTGCATCACGAACTTTATGTAAGTTAAGGTTCCCACCGACAATAAATATATAAATTCAGCTAACATTGTAGAGTCCTCACTAAAATTATAGTGAATTACAATTGCATATTGATCTTTTTTAATTAATAAATAGCATGAAACACCATTGAAAGTCTTACTCCTAACACAGAAATTAGAAGCTAGGTTAATAATATATTACCTCTACCATCCTGAAGGCACACATTAATGAGTTATAATATTCATTAGAATACAAAATGGGAGCATTAAGATACAGACGATATATGGGTAATTAAAGAAGAATTCCTTTTCATTTACAGAAAAAAATGTCTTTCACATCGAACTATAACAATGAAAAACTATACTAACTCGATGGCAGTTCCAAAAAAGCGCACTTCTATATCAAAAAAAATCATTCGAAAAAATTTTTGGAAAAAGAGGGGATATTGGACAACATTAAAAGCTTTTTCATTAGCACAATCTATTTTTACGGGGAATTCAAAAAGTTTTTTTTGTAACAAATACAAACGTCAGAATAATCTGAATTAACTTTATTCAAATAACATTTTTGAATATTAAAATACTAATATAATTGGAATATCTAAATTCGTTTTTCATATCGAAATTAGTATTCTACAAATTTAGGATATGTATAACGATATTCTAAATAAAAAAATACTTTGAATGTAGTGTTCCATTTTTGATGAAAAATTTCACCATTTTTTTATTTATTCTATCCAAATATCCCAACTATAAAAAATCCATACTGAATTTCAGTAGCCCAGCTATTAGCATCAGATGAAGCAGATTTAGCAAGACTAGATTGTCACTATAAATTGCTGTATCTCATAAAATTGCTCAAAATTCTATGCAATGTATGGTGATGCAAAAGCAAGTTAATCTCTGAGAGGAGGAGAAGGGTGAGAAGCTGTTGTTCTCATCTCAATAGTTATCAGTAATATCTTTAATTTGAAATTTCAATATAGTAAATATCATACCGATGCCATGGGACTCAGAGGCATTGAGCTCTGAAACAGAAGCAGTATGACAATCATTGGAAGGATTTTGAGCAGAAAGTTCCTGAAAGTCATTGAGGGCACCCTTTGACAGTTCATCATTCACCACGCCAACATTATTGTCACTATAGTTTTCCCCTTCTATTTCTGATTCTGTAATTGTAGAACAGTTTGTCATAACCAATGCATCCAACTCATTAACATTGGAACTCTGCATATCATGTTTCTCATGACTGGATAACTCCAGAGCCTTAACTGATGTTTCTGAGTTTGAGACACCCCTGGCATTATTTGGATGATCTTCAACATTTTCATATAAACCACAATCCCCAAGATTTGGAATTGATGCGACCAAATTGTCATCAGACTGAACACCAGCAGCCTGACTCAAAAATTCTGAGCTGCAAGCATTATTTACTCTGCTACAATCATCATATTCCAATTTATCTTCCTCAACAACAACTGAACCAATAGAAGAAGCATCAATTACATCTGTCACTGTATTTCCAGATGCTTGATTTTCTTGCAAAACTCGGGGCATCTCCTCTAAAAAGCCACATTCTACCTTGACAGAAGTCTCTCGAGTTGCAAGACCTAATTCATGGTGCGAATGGTTAGAAGCTCCAGAGAAAGATGAACCAGTGTTTGGAGGTTTGGTCCTCAAGTCATATCCACAGTCCATATCCAATTTCCTGCCACTCAACTGCCTCTGCACACGAAAATCTGTTTGCCTAGTTGAGCTGAAATCAGTTGATGATGAGGCAGCATAACTGCCAGGTCTTGTTGAGCTTCTAAAACTGTTTACGCTGCCTCTTGCAAGAGACAGATCATCATAAGATATGATTGTGGCAGTAAAAGTCCTGCCCTGAACTACAGATCCTTTGTTGCTGCTAGACCTTTCCAGCAATACAGAAATACCAGTGCCTTCCATGGAGTCCATGTTCAAATTTGGGCGATTACTGCAGGGATACAAGTGCTGATCCCCAAATTCATTATCAGGTTTCTTGATATCAACTCCTGACAGGTTCATTTCTAGCTGATTGCCAGAAGTCTGCCTACCTCCCTCCGCCAATGAATTTGGAAGAAGACTATTTTGTGAATAATCCTGGTTTGGTTCACTGCATGAAGGTTGACTTTCCTCAGCATCTTGTTCACCAAAGGGGAACCTCCAGTCATGTGCAGTCTCTCGAGGCAGTTCAGATGCAACCGATGGTTGGTTTGTTTCAGATAATGATTTTTCTTCATTAGGCATGTTTTTTGTAATCAAGGAAGAGTCATCAGATACTGCCAAAGTTGTCTCAGGGATGATGACTCTCAACAATGTGGTTTTCCTACTGCAGTCTGGACAAAGCCCAATATTCTTCACAGCTTGATCAGTGACCTCATAGCAGCATCTACAATGAGAACAGATTGCTGTATTTTCAAAACTACCGGTTTCAGAAAAGTCACCTCTGACATGTGAAGTTTCTGAACTTTCATTGGTTTTAGTGTTGGTATGGTCATGGTAAGTAGAATTCTCAGATTCAATGGGACCAACAACAATCTTGGGTCTGGTTTTATTTTGCAGGACATCTACTGATTCCCTATTGATCTCATGCTCAATATTTGTATTTAATGAATCAATCTTATCAAAGGCAAACACTTCTTCATGTATATCAGGATATAATATCTTATCAGCTTCACTTGCCATATCATCTTGATTATGGTCACTCCCTTCAGTATCTAGTGCAAAATTTGTACCTTGATCAGAGCTTGCATTGCTGCTTGTTGTGACAGAGGAATTCCTAGATACAAGGGAACGGTGTGCAGAATTTGCTTTCCCAGCATAAAAGGTTGTACTTGGAACACTAGATAAAAGTGGCCTGAACATGTTCTGAGGAATTTTTCTATCCTGCATAGCATTTTAATGGTATCTAACAAAAGTGAGTAGTTTCTCTTAAATCTCACTATTATTAAAAGGCATTCAAGAAAAAATAAAGAAAAAGGGGATAGAGAGAAATATTGCACAGATCTAGACCCAACTGAAAACTGAATTTTCCTAGTTAGTATGTGTTAATAAACAAGCGCCTAACTCACTTTCAAAAGTTAACTCGTAAGAGGAGGACTACCGTAGACCTTATGAGAAGTATTCTGTCTCTATTCCTAACCAATGTGAAATATCTTAACATATTACCATCATATACAAGACTGAAAATTTGGTGCGTGAAATATGCAAGACTGAACATTTTCATGGGTAGACCCAACAGGACTGGAAATTTGTGGGTAGCCCAACATTCAAATTGGATATGCTTTGATACCATGTTAATAAACTAGGGCCTAACTCAATTTCAAAAGCTAACTCGTAGGAGGAAGACTACCTTAAACCTTATAGGGAGTATTTTGTCTCTATTCCTAACTAATGTAGGATATCTTAACAGCATGTAGACTAAACATTGACATTTTTGCTACAAAAATCAGCAAAGGTTTCAAGTGTAAACCAACGGAAAACTCCAGTGGAGAATGTATACCACATGAAGGCAGTGGCCAAGATGTTTGTGCTTCCTATAATGATTATGCTAGTGCAAGATGTATCACATGCATGTCACCAAAGAAAATCAATGATGTCTAAATGAGAAATCATTAGCTTGGGGTAGTTGTCCAATCAACTGTAACTAAAAAATAGTTACATGCATAGAAGATGCACCAGAAATCAAGTATAAAAAGAACTAACAAAAAGAAGGTAGTTTGATTGCCAGCCCAAAAGGATAGTTGAATCAGTCAACTTCCCATTTCATAACATGGTATACATCAAGAGGTATGTGCAAAAAGGAGAGACAGTGTGTTTGCGTGCATGTGTGTGTGGGAGAGAGAGAGAAAGAAAAAACGGCATGGGTACAGGGACCCGAAAAGGAACTAATTATCAAATAGCATGAAAATTAAACACGCTTCATGATTGCCTGTCAACATATTGACAGCAAACAAAGGAAATTGTTTTAAGTGATTAGATGTAAAATACCATTTGCCTGATAGCCGAGTCAAATGATCTTTTAGGAGCAGAACTGGGGGACACCATCCTGGGTGATTTCTTGGAAATGGTAGGGGTTCTGTTGGTTGAAAATGAACCACTCCTTCTTGAACTCAATCTATCTAAGCTACCCACTGCAATGGACTGCAGAGAGTCTAGATCATCATCACCAGATGATGCAACAGAACCTTTGCTGCGTGAGCTAAATTGGTCTCGTTCATGACTGTGGAAAGAGCTACTGCTCCTAGAAGCAGTTGGAGACATTGATTGCCTACTGAATTTGGAGGTAGAGTCCCTACCATTTCTGGATGCTGGAGATGAACCCCTCACATATGATGCTGGTCGATCAGCTAATGAAGTACGGAGATTGGGAGGAGCTTCAGAAGAGAAGCCAGGAATATTAGTTTGCCATGCCCTTATCTTTGGTGATGCAGAGTTTCCACGACTTGTCTTAACTGGGGAAGTTCCCCTAACACCTGATGAAACTACAGAACCACTGGATCCAGTGCTCATCCTCCGGGGAGTATAACTGGAATACTTGGAAGTAGGTGTCATGGGCTTATGTGGAGGTGGAGATGGTCTTCTTGATGGAGTGGCCGACCGCAAACTTGGGGTTGGACTGGAATTTGGCACTGATGAAGGCCTTCCCCTTGATTGCAATGTATTAGTTCTTGAACGAGGAGATGGACTTAAACGATTTGGACTTGCACTACCCCTACTGCTTCTGTAACTTCTATCCATCTGAAACAGGAGGAAATCCAACATGCGATGAATGATAAGTATAAGCACAACTACATTTTTTTAAGATGTAAAACAAATGAAAATCAAAGGATTTTCCCCCTAAAAATATAATTATGCATAATATAACTTAAAAGCTCACCGTAGAAGATCTCGATATTGAAATGGGTTTACTCTGAGGCCTTCCTCTAGTTGTAAAACTAGTCGCTGGTGGCTCATCATCCAATGAAGGAAACAGTGGTGTGTCTGGGGGCGTCAGTAACCTTCAAAATGAATGATACAGACATGGCATCAGCGGTAATCAGTGATGACCAGGCCAGAAATCAACTGATGCATGTAAAAATCTCAAGCTTTGTGATCGAGAAACATAAATTATCACCCAACCACGTCAATCCATTACTAAAGTGAAATAAAGACAATTGCAAACCTAGAATCAAAATCATGAACTTGAATATTTGTCCAACCACATCAATGCATTATTAATGTAATAAAGGCAATTGCAAACATTTAGAATCAGAATTTTATAATTCAACCACACAACACAATGCAATTTAGCAGAGGAAAGTTAAGACATACAGAATATGACCCACCAATCATAATCATTCTTGTCACCATCATTAAGCAAGTCACTGGTTTCTCCTCGACCAGGAATGGATATTCCAAGGTTGACATCAGAAAAATGTCTCAACTTTGTAGCTGTAAATAAAATCCAAGACAAAGGAAGAAATGCATGAATATTACCCAAATACAGCAATTGAAAAAAGATACATTCTCTACTGAGGACGTAGGTAAAGAAAATTACAGAATGAGTCTTCCAAGTCATCTGACGACTGAAGCAAAAAACTTTCTCTTTCTCTGGATTGCATTTCACTGAACAAAGCAAGATCATCATCTTTCTCCCGGAAAAGCAATCCACTCTCAAGACTGCGCCCCCGCTTGTGACCATCTGCTCTTGGCTCTCTCCCAGGAGAGTATCTCAATGCAGGGGAAGGTGGCATCTCCACTACTCAATGCAGTGTCAGACAAGTGTCACCTCAAACTCTCCACACAAGCCAAAATAGGAAACCTTCTACACCCTAACCAGCAACCCATAATTAAGCTCAAGCCTACAACAAAATTCCAACCATCAATACTGGCCAAAAAAAGAACTAGAATAAAAAAGGCAACTTTTTGTTCCCCATTTGCTATCTTATCTTGGTTCATTACATTAATCTAACAATTAATAGCTACTCTAAACACCCAATACACACTGCCATCATAAATGAAAGCAAATTCTCTATACTAAAACAGCAACTCACTACAACAACTGTATCATTCAAAATGCAATGCCTCAGCATTCATAAGCGAAAAGCATCCAAAACCAATTAGACCCTGAAACCCTAGAACATTTACAACTTACAGATCCCAATTGTGGGGTTCAAAGTTAAAAGGGAACCTAATTAAAACCCAAAATTCAACTTGGGGGACCCACCAAGCCACCATTGAAGTAGAAAGCAAGATAGTAAAATCCAGCACTGGAAAGTAGCAACTAGCCTTGACTTACCAAATTCCCAAGTCAAATTGCTTCAGAGAGAGAGTGGAATGAAGAAGAGTGCGCTTAAGATCCCAAGTTGGAAGATAAAACAGAGCTTAAATGCCAATTACAATGCGACGAATGTTGTATCAGACAGTCGGATCTATAGCATTCATGGCTATGTCCGAGCGACCAAAGTACAGATCGAAAACTAGAATGATCCAACGGTTACAACAAACACAAAAAAAATTAAATAAAATTCTTCTATTTTTCTCTCTCCTCCCAAATTCTTTTCCTTTGCCTATTAAAAAACACAAACAATTATAGAGTGGAAAGAATAATACCCAAAACCTTTGTTGTCCTTGGATTTTGCTGCTTCCCTCAACAGCAAGCATCCAATTTCTTTTTCTTCCCTTTTCCTTTTCTTTTAAGCTTTTTTTTTATATATCTCTTTTTATGTTAAACAAAGATATTCTCCCAAATCAAGTGAGATGTCTGAATAATATAGTATAATTTTAAAGAATTGTCAACATTATATTATCATTTAATCTTATCTTCTGCCGCAAAAAATTTAGGACCGAAATATTCATACATGAAAGGTTTATTTTATACTTGCTAATTATATTTAACAGATTCCAAACATTATTTGACAGCTATTACAGGTACATTATTGTAAACAACAACTAAAATATTAAGAATCGAATATCAACTCAATCCAACTTTCATTGAGCTAATTTTCATTAACATTAGTCATAATATAAACAACACAACTATAGAAGAGGACATAAAAAATGGAGACTATTATAATATGAATGTATAATCTAGCAATATGATATTAGTGAAAATTTTAATTAAAACTTTGTTAACCTATGTTTTAAAAATATCAGTTAACATTTGCCTTAATAATATATTCAAAATAGATTGTATTTAAAATAATTGAAGAAAATAACCAACAAATAATAAATTATGTAAAACTGAAAAATAAATTAATTGTGCTTTTTGTTATATTATTATTCTCTTATGGCTTGTGGTTTTGTGCCCTGCCGTCAATATTAGTGCCGTGCAGGAAGAATCATTTCCTTTTGTCGATATATTATTAGCCATTAAGTACAGTAGATGAAAGGTATTCTTCATACACTTTATGATGTGCTATGTCATCTTTCATTATTTGTTTGCTAACAATGGGTAACAATTTTAGTTATAAATAAGGTTGAAGAGTAGTGTCTGAAAGTGAAAAATTGGATAAAGTTCATGTAAAGTAGGCCAAATAGGATTATCAAGCAACTCTCAAACCCATTGAGTATCTAACTTCCTTTTTAGTATGATTAGTTTTTATAAAGTACTTTTTGCTTTATTTTTACAATGATGACACTAATTTATTCAGGTAAATATATTTTCGGTTTTTTAAATTTTAACGGCCAAAATAAATTGAATTTTTACGATATGTGTAGTGTTTATTTAAATTCATGCTACATTATAAGACATTTATAAATGTGAATTTAATAAAAAAAAAAATAGGTCTAGGTGTTTTTAGGGTGGCCTGTGAATTTGAATAAGATTGTTTCTAATAAAAAATAGATATAATCTTTTGATAAAATTGGTATAGAGTGATTCCTCTTGTGGATTGGCTTGAGATGGTTGTGAGATTTTGCATTAATGCTATCGATGGGTTCCAACTTGAAAGCAGGTTTTGGACACTTTCATTGTATGAGGGGCAGCACACAAGCAATAAGATTTGGAATTGATTGCAATGAAATTCTGGGACAAATTATTGAATTTCACACCAAATCCAATAAATGTTACGTTGACGCGTAGGCCGCTGAGCAACCAACATATTTTGGCACGTTGAAAACCCAAACAGAGAAAAAGGAAGGAAAAATATATAATATACAATACAATATTTTTGCGCAATTCTTTGTATTTTAACTTCAAATAAAGATTAAAAAATCATGAATTATCATGCTTCCTCTAATTAGCATAACTTCAACAATCTTCAGCCCCGGAAAAGAAAAAGAAGAGACCCAACTAATGTAATGAACCAATTGGTAAACAAGTACAACAAATGAGCCAAATGAGCTTGGTTTGCCAATCTGTCGTAGCAAAAAAAAAATCCAACAAACCAGCATTGAAATATCACGGGCAGTGGCACCATTTTGGTGAGTTTGACAAAGAAACAAGTGATATATGTGATTAACGGTAAGTGATAGAATAAACTATAATATATTAGATGTAAGTGAAATAAAAAATTTAAATTGAGTGAAAGAATTTTTAAAATTACAAAGATTCTGTCTATATATATATATATATATATATATATATATATTGTGAATTATTATTTTTTCTTTACTATTGAAATTTTAATCCTTAAGTATGTGGAATATTTAAGAAACAAGTGAAAATAAAAATATAATTAAAAGTTTCTAAAATTTTTAACATAATATTTTAAAAAATAACGGAAACAATAAACTTTTTGGAAATAAGGTTTCTTTTTACGTACGTAAATGTATTTTTGTAATGCCTAATGGATACTAAACGAGAAATCCAATCCAATAAATAACAAACAAGGGGAGGAAACTAGTGACAACATAATAAAATTTTGTGGGACAACGTGGGATAAAGTTAACATAACTGAGTTATCATTAGCCAGTATTTAGCTAGATATGACTCCTAGTCCCTAACGCAAAGATGATCAAATTATGTCACTTTAATTGGTAGGTGATGTAGCAAACTTAAAAGGCTACATGCTAATGATTCAGGTGCTTTCTTATTCATATGACCTAATGTTTTGTCCTAAACACGTTATCCAAAACAATTTATAAATGGGTCTTTTTAAATTTTTTCGTGTAAAGCAAGAGGTCAACAACAAAAATACAATTGTTATAGTACTTTTCTAAAAACTCGTAAACTTATGCTATAATAAGTCGTGTAGTTTTCTTTGTAGAAATATAATATAACACAGACACACACAAGAAAAGAAAAGAGAAATCCCGTGCATGTTAAGTTGTCAATATGATCATAAATGTAGAACGAAGTTGTATAAAAATCAACCTTAATATTTAAGTTGAGATGCGACTAACAAGTTCATCATAATTACTAATTATGACTCAAATATCATGAAGTCATTCAATTAAAATAACATAAAAAAATTTAAAAGGAGAAAAATACATTAAAATCTATGCATACAAAGGGTATATTTGTAAGCCTACATACGTGGACAAAAAGCTAGGCTTAAATTAAGGTAATTATTTAAGGGGTAAATTAAAAACCCATCAAAATGCATTTTGTAAATACCCTTTATACCTTTTCTGTTTTTAGTAATAACAGTCCTTCCATAGTAAATTACTTACTAGTTAATTATATATGCACCTTTGCTGTTATGTGGAAAATATATAGTACAAAAAACACGACTTCAAAAGGATTTCGAAAGAGAAAGATAGCTCATCGACGTTGACTTAACATAAGCTTTCGATCTAATGCATGAATGCAAATAAGCGTAATTTGACTTTTGTCGTTGGGTTGCATCATAGATGTTCCGAAAGATGTGTATCATTTTGTCAGTATTCCCCGCTACGTATATATTTGTAACAATGTGTATTCTGTAATTTTTCGTGAACAATATATAGTTAAAGTTGACACTTGACTTTGAGTAAATGACGTCATATTTGTGTTCTGTTCAGCTAAAAAGAAATGAACAAAAAAAATGAGAAGAAAAAAAAAAACTATCGTCCCGCGCTCAGTACTGTAATAAAAAAGTAAAGAAAAACGTGTGTAAACGTTTAAAATATCTCTATATTTATTTTGCGCATAGAAAAGGATAAGGATAATTTTTTTTACTGAACTGAAAAACATGCACAAATTCTCAAATTTATGTCATTTTCTTTCTAAAATCGAAGGGATAAATAAAATGGCAAGACACTCACTTTTTTATTCTCTATCTGCTATAATCAAGAAAAAAGTGTTTTATAATCCATACTTTTTTCTTTGACTGTTTTATTTTTATTTTGTTCTTTTTAACAAATAACTGTTTTAACTAATTTATCTTGTTTGTAAAAGTAAATATGTAAACATAAGAGACGAAGAACCCTCACAGCTACTAACCCAAATTTCCTCACAAATGTGGATTGGGCAATTGATTAAACAAAAGTTTAATTACAGTTTTATTAATTTGTGTAATCTTGATATTTTAATTTTAATTATTTGTATTAAATTTTTAAATACTCAAATTAAATAATTTATTCTAAATTAAAAATATATTATATATATAATGATCTTATTTTTTATTTACACAAAAAAACAAAATATTATACTTTATTAATTATTAATTTTAAAATAAAAAATTTAAAAAACTAAATATAATCTATTAAATTAAAAGAATCATAAGCATATATATATATATATATATATATATATATATATATATATATGCGCGCGAGCGTTAGTGTTAAAGTATAAGAAAAAATACAATTAAACTAAAAAAGAGAATTAAATAATTTATTGTTTTTATATTTTTAACATAATAAATATATGCTAATTTTAATAAAATTTTATTAAATTCAAATACTTAAAAATAAGAGGAATACTATTACACATTTTCTAATATATTATGTGTTTATTAATTAAAGTTTATTGAAAATAAAAAACATGAAAGATAAATTCTGTTTTAAAAATAAAAAAGAGTATAATTAAGAATTTTTTAAAATTTTTTAATAATAAAATGAGTTAGAGAGTATATTGTTAATTTTTTTAATAAAGAAATGTTAATAAAATTGAAAAAAAGAAAAAGAAAAGGCTCAGACAAGATTTTTACGAAGGACGAGTTGTGTTAGCCCTATTCTGATACCTGAGTGTTGAGAATTGAGTGCCATTCCAATGTGGACAGTTCTACGAACTCGATCGTGGTTGCGTTATTCATCGAATTCACAGGCCCTTCTTCAGCCATGGAATCTAAGGTTTTCCTCTTTGACGGCCGTTGACGGCGGCGACAACCGCAAATGCCTTCTGGATCTGCAGGAGATCGAGAATGTTCTGACGGACATTAAAGCTGACGACGTGAAGGTGATACCCGTTCCCAAGCACTGCGATTGGGCTGATTTCATGGTGCTCGCCACTGGCAGGTCCTCGTGGCACGTCAAGAACATCGCTCAAGCCCTAATTTACAAGGCAGCTTCGTTCGTTCTTTTTCTCACTCTGTTTCCTTCTGTCAAATGAAATTTTCGAAAATTGAAAAATTAGTTTTCATTTATTTTTTCTTCGAAATTAATTTTTTTTACATGTATATATAACCAGGCTAAACAGAAACAGAGAGGAGTTGAACGAATGATTCTACCTAGTGTGGAAGGACAAGCAGGAGGAAAGTGGATTGTTATTGATTCTGGTATCTGATTTATTTTTTTGTTTGTTTTATTTATTATTTGATTTTAGGGTTTAATAGTTATTTTCCTTGGTAATTTTCAGTTGAAGAGTAATTTTTCAATCGATCTCTAGTCGTTAGATTGTATGTATTCTGGATTAGTGAACGCTTTTTGTTTTTTAAAAAATTAAATTATTTTGTTTTGGTTTTAAGAATGCTTGATTTTTCCTTGCTGAATCATATCTTTATGTTTAGGTAAAGTGATAGTTCATGCCCTTGATGAGAAGGCTAGAGCTTACTACAATTTGGAGGGACTTTGGACCCCAGGGACAATTCAAAATGAACCTATTGAGGTAAATACGAAGCTAGATTATGTTGTTCTGAGAAAATTAGGTTTATATTTTATCCAAGATGTATGAAGTTTGCTGAATCAGTTAGAATTTTGAAAGCAACTAATATACATTCGAATTGAGTAGGATTTGTTCTATTACTTTATCAATAGGAAATTGGCATTAATGTTGAGCATCGCTGCCATAAAATTTAGGATTAATTAATTACTTCAGTTCATGAAAATTTGGGGGATGAAATTCGAGTTTAAAATTATTGCAGGACCAAAATACACATTGTCCACAATAGACTAAAAGGGGAATTGAGCCTAAATTTTATGCAGCCTTGTGTTGTTGTTAATCATATCAAATGCTTCGTCAGTGGCCACCTTTATTGGAAATTGTTAATAGTATTGTGCCAGTTTTTACTTAGGAAATCTGGTCTTGGCTAGTAAGTTGGCTTTCCCAAATTTGAAAATCATTAATTGTGAATTCACAATTTATAACTTGTATCTCTCTGGTGGCAAATGGCGTCTTGAATTCCATTCATTACTTCGATAAACCAAGTCTTCCAATGGATGAGTTGGGTTTAGACGATGGTGCTGACTACTGGGCAAGCCTTTAGGCCTTGTGATTAGGGCCTAGCCTTGGGCCAGTCATGCTAAGAGTGGTTCAAAATGGTAAGAGGGCAGCTACGAACTGGAAGTTCTGCTTGTGGTTGTGGAGGCCTTTAGGGCAGGCATTGGACTGCTTAGTCTAACTGGGGCAAACTTTTTGAGTCATCTGGTTAGGCTTACATTGATGTCTTGGGTCAATTGGGCTTGAGTTTTATTACATCTATGACTATTATGATGATGACGACGACGATGATGATAATGACGTAACTTTGAGGTAAATTTTGTAGCATGGCTGATTCGAATGATCTCCATTTTTCTTTCCATGGTTTTAGGATTTACACAAAGCTTTGGTGAAGGTTCGTCGGAAAAACAATTCGAAGAAACCTGCACAAAAGAATGCTTAATTGGTGTTTTGACGCAAGATGGCTGCAAATAACCTTTTATAACCTATTTTCTGGCTCTGCATCGGATGCAAACAATTCAGTGATTTGTATAAAGATAACTTCCTGATCTGTCGTTTTACTTGTTCCGAATACAGATTTTGTCATATTGTCTTGCTGCAATTTCGAAGTTAGAGGAAACCTGATGTTCTCATGTTATCCTTCCACCTTTTTTTTTCAAGTTATGATAATCATTGATTACTGGAGCATGGGCTTTTTATATCATTCAAAAAAGTGTGATTGAAGAAAATTCATCTCCCCCTTGTCATAGTTTTGTTCCTTGATGTGACTATACTGGAGGAAATAAATAAAAGATTATTTATTACCTCTTAATTCAATAGTAAATGCAGTGAAGAAAATGATTAAATGAATGGTATTTTATAAAGTTAAAAATTAAACAAGTTTTTATCAAACTAGGATTAAAATAATCTATCCTTGCAGTCACAAAATTAAAGCGAGACTTTACTCGAGATAATTGTAGGAGCAATGAAAACGTTGTCTTTATTAATGGAGCTGAAGTGCATCGGTGTTTTAGTTTTGGCAAATCCCTGTCCAAACAACCAGCTTATAATATTATTAGCTTCGGACATTCATTGCTTCGTTGACCTCTAAAAGTGGATGGGTCAGATTAATTTGGATACGAAGAAGGTCAAAAACCGCAAAATATTAAGGATGAATATTAAATATAGTGTTATAAATGTTAATAAACTAAATGTTAACAAGTATTTTTAAAGTTAATCAATAGTGTAAAATACTACTAAAGAATCAAAATTACAAATTTTTTATTAAAAATTATTACTAAGGTATCTTTTTATAATTTTTAATATATTCCAACAAAAATTTCAAATAAAAAAGTATTTTTATAACCAATACGTTAATTACTAGACCCTTATTAAAAAAAATAACACCAATTATATTTATAATGTTATATTTAAATATTGTCTTATTAGAGCAAGATCTTATATATTTTTCTTAGAGCTTTTTCCCCCTCTAAGAAATTAAAATAACATTTTCCTTTGTCTTCTAAAAATATATAAGACTTTTTGGTGAACAATCCTTTGAAATTATTGTTTGCACACAACTAAAAAGATTAAAAAAATATCTAAATACATTTTTATCAATAAATTCCATTATAATTTTTGAGCAAAAAACAAAGTTCTTAGAAGTTGACATGCGGTAATTATTCAGATGGTTTTCGAGATGACACATGCAAGTTAAATTAAAATAATTATTAAAAGAGAAAAATTGACAATAGCTTTTATCTCATTTAAATATGTAATATCGATTTCAATTTTAACAGACTAATTTCAAAACTTTTTCATTATTATTATTGTGTTAACCAAAATGAAAATAGCAAAAAAATAAAAATAAAAACTACTATATTATTGGTGGGTCAGACACGGGTTCAGTTTAGGTGAACGGATGTATCAATTCTTGCATTTTCATTCACTATGGATGAAAGAGATGCACAGAAGTGAAAAATAATATGAAACTACATATTTGCCCTTGAAAGCCTAATATAATATGGCTCAATATCAGGGTCCACACGGTAATTAAACTTCCTTCCAACCCCACAGAGCACAGTCCCTTTGTTTGCATCGCCCGCTCATTAGCAACATTCACACTCTGCGGAGCTACCAAAGCACTAATCTAACAAACGCAACTGAATTCGGTTTTATAAACCGCAACACACTTTCTCTCTGTTTCATACATATTCTCTGGCTTCTTCCATTTTCGCTTCTCGTTGTCTTTTCGGAACAGTCATGGCTTCTCTTGCCGGATCCAATTGCGTAGCCTTTCGAACTGCAAACTTCAGCGCCTCCGGTAACCGGAAAATCGGTCAGATCCGTCAATGGTCTCCGGTTCTGACTAATCTCCGTCCGGTTTCTGGTCTTCGCTACCGATCGAATACTTCGTTGAGTTCCTCCGGTAACATTATTCCTTTTTTCTATACTTATTGCTTTTTAATATTTTTTTTTGTTTTTTTTATTCGGTTTTTGCTAATTTGATTCGGGCAACTGCAGGTGTGAGAGCACAGGTTGCTACTCTGGAGGAAGCGGGAACCGGAGCAAATCAAAAAGTGGAAGCGCCGGTTGTAGTAGTAACCGGAGCCTCCAGAGGCATTGGCCGAGCGATTGCGCTTTCGCTTGGTAAAGCAGGTTGCAAGGTTCGTCGTTGCGAACCGTTTAGCGTAAATTGATAATGAATGATATCACTGTCGGAAAAAAAAAACGGTTACGATTGTTGTTGGTGAATTTCGCGTTGTATATTTCAGTATCTGTGACTTGTTCTAAATTAATGGTTTCTGCATTGCGATTATAAGTTGCTTTAGGTTACTTTTGGTTGTTCAGGCGAAGGTAATGGCGTGGAATTGAAGTTAGTTAAATTTATTTATATGTAAAATTAAACGCATAAAAAAATGTTTCTGGCGATAATGATACAATGGAAGATACGTGTTGGATTACATGGTTCTCACAATATGGAGCATTTCCTGGAACTCTTGTTACTTTAAAGTTGAGGCTGTCTTCATTACTGTAATATCTTCATGATTTAAATTGGGATTATGATGTATTGCAGGTTCTGGTCAACTATGCTAGGTCATCCAAGGAAGCCGAGGAAGTTTCCAAGGAGGTAGAAAATTGTCTCCTGAAACTTTTTCTGTTCATTGTTGCTAATTATCTTGTTTCGTGCATATCTCATATTGGGACCATGATATAGATTTATTTTCAAAGTCCTGAACCTATGTGGTTACTTTCAATCTTCCATATGTTTTATTCATTAGCTATACACTTCAAACTTTGATATCCTACAAAGTGGTACTATGCGAGACGCTTGCCTATATATTTTCCATTTTCTTTGAAATTTACTGTTTGATATTTTTTAAGTATAAAGTGTAATAGTGCTAAGGATGTGAAGGTAAACCATCATTGCAGTTTATATATTTGATATTTGCAGCCAAAGATGTTGATCACTCTGTATTTTTCTTTCTTCAGCTATAGTGTTATGGTCTTTTACTTCTATGCTATATTTTGTTCTTTACAAAGCTGTTATATGTGAAGTTGATGAAGAAGACAATTAATATTAATCACTCAGTTTCTAAAGAAAACTACTGCAATGGTCTTTTACTTATGCATTAATTGGTTTTACTGTTTCCTTGTAGATTGAGGCACATGGTGGGCATGCTCTTACATTTGGGGGAGATGTTTCTAATGAGGCTGACGTGGAGTCTATGATTAAAACTGTGAGAAGCTATTCTTGAATTATTAGATTGACCTTATTATACCATAGCTACTTAATGACTTTCACATCTGCAGGCAGTTGATGCTTGGGGAACAGTTGATGTATTAATAAACAACGCAGGTAAGTTGGAAAGCTCTTGTGGTGTTGCTAGCCTTTCCCTCTCCTTTTTGTCCTCATTCTGAAATAGAGATATTATGGTTTCAGGGATAACTAGAGATGGTTTATTAATGAGAATGAAGAAATCTCAATGGCAGGAGGTTATTGATCTGAATCTCACTGGTGTTTTTCTTTGCACACAGGTAAGTATGTTCACAATTTGAGTTTTAGAGAAATTCCTATTTGTTTTGAGAAAACATTTTTTTTCTTCCATTTCCTATATTCTCTATTAATTAAAAAAATGTCATATTTTTCACTTTGTTTCTTGTTTCCAAAGATTTGTAATAGAAATATTAAAAACAAATCTTTGTGAAAATAGAAAGCATTTTCTCAAACCAAACAGCCTCAACTTTTCTTTCTCAATTGGATCTAAGTTTTATTGTTTCTTTTTGGCAGGCTGCTGCTAAGATCATGATGAAGAAGAAGAAGGTGACATACCATTTAATTGCTCTTTTCTGGTTCGTTATTGTGAAATCCTTGATAAAATGTTTTTCTGTTTAGGAACAATTGACCACTCAAGTGGTTAATTAATTCAACCACTTGTTACCTAATAACCATATTTTGAATATCATTAATCCGTGAAATGAATAATTTTTCCTAAAGTGAATTTTTACTGACAATTTCTTTTTTAAAACATTAGACTTTTATATATTTAGTCTAATGCTGTCATATTTCATGATTTTCAAGATGACAGCTTACTAAGATCTTTACTTTCATATCTTGATACTTGTGTTTTTGCAGGGAAGGATAATCAATATTGCGTCAGTTGTTGGTTTGGTTGGCAATGTTGGACAAGCCAATTATAGTGCTGCCAAAGCCGGAGTAATTGGCCTGACAAAAACTGTTGCAAAGGAATATGCTAGCAGAAGCATCACTGTAATTTTCTAAATATCTATGCGTTTCTTTCTGGTACCGAAGGTGCACAATATCAATTGATGGAATTAACTATAACGTGGTTTTTCTTGCCAGGTTAATGCAGTTGCTCCAGGGTTTATTGCATCTGACATGACTGCCAAGCTAGGAGAAGACATTGAGAAAAAGATTTTGGAGACAATTCCACTAGGTGAACACTGGAAAAACTTTAATGGAGGATTTATTTCATTGAATTAGTTGTTGACTTACTATTTTCAACTTTGATTCAGGAAGATATGGCCAACCAGAGGAAGTTGCTGGACTGGTGGAATTCTTGGCTCTTAGTCAAGCTGCCAGTTACATCACTGGGCAGGTCATTTATTTTTCCCTATTTTTTTGTTTTTTAAAAAACCACCTGGTTAAACTAGCTAACTACTCGTTTTAATTCCTAAATTTGAATACTTGCTCAATTTTTTAATTAGTTGAGTCTTATAACCTATCATCTTAGGGTCTAAAACCTGTATTTATTTTTCTCCGCATAACTGAAAGCGTTTATTTATATTGGAATTGCTATTTTGCAGGTATTCACCATAGATGGAGGTATGGTGATGTAATTCAGCAATCTCTTTACGTTGCAACCTGAGCTTTTGGAATTTTCAACTCCTGCTGTACGGTGATAGTTTGTTCTTTGCTGAGTTTTGCTTAAAGCTGGTTTTACCTTGTGACTTTTAGTAAAATCTTAGTTCGACCTTGTTGATGAAATCCAAGGTGTTAACAAGGAAGCTTCTTCTTGGGCTGTGTTCTGCATCTTGTAGTATTTTGGTATTTGCTTATGATCATCTTAGCAGAACAGGCGTAATTATTATAATTTGAGCAATGCAGTCGCTTTCAGCATTAGCTTTTTCTTCGTTGGATGTTCTTTGCGAGGAACTGGCTCTTTTACGCATTGTGTTTTCTCTGGTTACACGCAATAAATTCTTAGAAGTGAAAGGAAGATGCTTTTGAGAGGCCATTGCCCTGAACAACTATTTACTGTTTACGGATGATTTTATTAGTCGGTCCTCACTCTAGGTTTAGGTTGAATGCTTCATGGCGATAGGACGATTTTAATATTTGATTCGTTTGCGTGGCTTATTGTCGTTCTTGGTCTTACGTTATAGTTTTATTTCATCGGATATTTTGGTGATTCGTTAGAGGTTTGGAAGTCATCGTAATGATAACGTACAAAGCAAGATACAAATTATACTTGCGCCAGATGAAGTGTTACAAACCGTTTGTTTTGACGTTAAAAATATCAATTTTTGTATTTTTTTTAATGTAAAAATGTTTGAAATTGATTTAGGCGTAAGTTTCAATTATATTCAAGGATTACATCTTCTTTATTAGAAACAATTTTAATCAAATTAAAATTTTTAAATATGCGAGACCTTTCAAGTCTGGCAACTAATAAAACAAAATAAACATTCTAGTTTTTTTAATACTTGCCCATTAAAATATAAGGAACATTTTTCTAGGGACCAATTTATCAGGACAGAAGCATCTTTGAATCACCTTCAACCAAATACAGTTCGAGTAGAAAATTAATGAACGGATTGAGCTCAATTTGTGAAATTCTATGGACTAATTTCAAAATCAGTAAACTTGGACAAAATTTATTTTAACCTTCTATACTGCTGAACATATAATCATTTCGAATTAATTTATAATTATACATATTTTTTATTAATCTTGTATAAATATATCACTTAATATGGTATTAATATATATTTAATTTAATTACACTGAATTTAAATTGGTTTTGGCCTCATCTAAAATTTAACCCAATTACACTGAACAACCTTGTCTTAAAAGTTATTCACGTCGTAAAATTCAGTTGTCTTAGTTCCCCTTCACTTCAGTGGAGGTTAAAATTGCACTAACATTCGCTAAAAGGTCAGTATTAAAGCAAGAAAGGTGCCAAATGTAACTAAGTCAAGCTTGAATAGATGTCAATGCCACTTTTTTAATTAATAAATTATGAATAATATAATACATACCAATGTGGTGATTAGCTTAACAAAAATGCATCTCCAATATTCATATGCCAACAATAGAAGCGTTAATTTTGTCGGAACCCCCACAATATTCAAGCTCGGCAAAAGTTCCTCCTCCTTCTCCCTTGGCTAATCTTCCCGGATTGATAGCAATGCATTTCGATTGGTTTATCCCTTCCCCTTCACTATTAAGAACCTGTGGAGTGGTAAATTAATTTCTAAATGTTTCATCATAAAATAGCACACAACACTCTTCCGTCAGTCAAGATCACTGGCTTATTTAATAGTTTGAGGAAAATGAAACGTACAGGTAAAGACAATCATTTACCTTGACAAAATATTTGATATCTGAAGGGAGGATAAGTACATCTGGAACCAATGAGAGTTGAAGGGCTTCTGGAGCAAGCGAAAAGTCCAAGGGAATACTTTCAGCCGGCGGGTAAAGTGGATAGAAGCTGACTCAAAAATTGAAGGACATTTAGTTGTTTCTGATCATTCTGAACCCAACACCAAGCATAAAAATCACAAGATAACAGTATTATTACCTTCGTTGATTAAGAATATGGTTTGCAAGTCTACTCATGCGATCAATGGGTTTTCCATCTGAGGCAGTTCGTGATATCTCCTCCCCACTAACGTGCTTGAGAATATCCACGGTGCAGCAACCAACTTTAACCTGAAAATCAATCCTTCTTCCTTAATGAATTATTTCTCATTTGCTCCTCTCCAGACACAGCACCAACTAAACCCGACGACTTTCTTTCTTTTGTTTGAAAATAAAATAAGTGGCAAATAAAACCTACGAGAATTTCCTTGAACATAATGTGCACACAGGTGTAAGAGTAACATGAACAAGGTCAGAACTGGAGGTTACTTAATTTTAGCCAAGGTTTCATAAGAAATATGCTTCTTGCGTGTCAGTCAGATTTTTTTATTTATGAAAGCCCCGACATGTAATGCAGAACTTAAGAAAGCAACAAGGGTAAGTCATAATATAAGACCGTGGATGCAATACCTCGTTTGCCTCGAAGATTCCAGGATTAGTGAGACTGACTATCTGAATATAAAATAAAAATAATTATGTAAGCATGACTGCTAAATTGTGCCCATGCAGAACGATATTGTACTAGTACAAGCAGCAGTTTTCAAGATCAAATTATAAATGCTTTAGAATCATACATGAGTTGTATCTAAACAAAACATCGTACCTGAGATTTCAGATCGGGAAGATTGATATCCAATGCAGGCTATAAAATCAAATCCTTGAAATCAATTTTTGGAACCAGGACTAGAGTAAACTAACACAACAATGTATCTATAAAACAAAAATCACGATATCCTAGTTAGTTGAACTTATCATTACCTGAGGAAAAACAAAGTCGTGGTTAGCATCCCGTATAGATGGTACAAGAAGAACACGTGGTGCGGAACCCATACATTCTACATAATCTTCCAACTGGGAACAGCAAGTACACCGGGGTGGGAGTCAAAAAAAGAACAAAATGAAAATTACAAAAAGAAAAATCAAAAAGAAATCTCATCATTGAAGTTATTACCTTCTTCATGATTTCAAAATGAAATATTTCATCAAAACTCCTGTCCACGGTTCCATTTTTAATGTCTGGGTGGTCAGCATCAACAAATGGTCCCAGCTGAGACAAAACTTTGTAGTCAACATCATTAAGTTTGAAGCCTTACATGATCTAGCACAAATTGTCTGAGGCATAATAAAATAAAAATGATAAAATCGAAATTGCTTGCAGTGCAGGTGGTATTTACCAATACAAGCAACTGTGGTGGTCTTCGTTTTGCATATGTCAGCAGTTCTACAAGAGGCTCAAACAATAAATTGTCTGTTGTAGTAAAGGGGCCAGCTGCAATAATCTGTTAAGCAACAAGAGCATGTGTAAAATACAAAATACTAACAGAAATGCACCATATATAGGATTATACCCAAAAAAAATGTGAAACAGATGAAATAGTAACCAAGACATTAGGCATTTCGTCATTGTTAAAATGATTCTTCAGTAAAACTGTAAAAACAAAAATTCTAAATATTCCAACAATTCATTAAAATGAAATCTACTGCAGAATATAGTTTCCTGAAGAACTAACAAAAAGAGTTTCATTGTGCATACCATTGACAACTCTCTCTGTTTACAAAACAGATCAGTTGACTGATTCTCCTTACCAATAGCTTGCTTCTTCGCAGGATTCAAATCCTCATCGGCAATAGCAAAAGGTATAGAATCCACCAATTTAGACACAACGAAGCAATGCCCACTAGGATTATGCCCTCCAATACCAACTACCTATCAAGATGAAATCTTCCTTTTACAACTTGTAAATCTGACCTTTCATGTTTGAAAGCTGAATTTTGACCCACGGTTTGCATTACTTACCTGACCAGGAAAAACTGAATAGTGGCTTAAATTTTGTAAGTCAAGGCGAACACATTCCCCTCCAGAATGCTCAATACTGTCACGTTTAGAAAAAAGACTCATGTATGATAGATAAAATGTAGCAAATATATGATTCGTAATGTCACACTTAATCATAGTCAAGGACTCAAATGATTCAACAGGTCAATCTCTAAATGAATGATGTGAAATAAAATAATGGATCACAGCATATTAAGAATTGTATCATAAGTTATACCACTTTTCTCATTGGCACAAGCTCTATGTCAAGTTGAATAGACTGACTTCATTTCACAAGAATATTTGTTCCAAGTTCATTAACCAATCAAACACCCAGAAACACAGATAAATTAGGCTGACAAGATAACAGATACATATGTATTAATAATATGTGATTTCTAGTGACCATTTACCTGCTCTGCAGCATGACAGATTTCTCATTTATACGGCCTTCTCCATCGCAACAAATCATCCCAACAGCAAAAATGCTTCTCTGATAAAGTATATTACTTTAAAATATTAGACAATCTTTGCCTATGCAAAGATTATTTAGATGCAGTCACAGACCAGATTTGATGCCAAGTTAAAAGCAAAACAGTACGGCAATAATTAAGTTTGTCAACCAAGACAGTGCATGTGTATGACAAAAATATCATTTTGCCTTCAGATTTCTGTGTATGCATGAGAGAGAAGCACTAAATTACCTGTGAAGCAGTCGTGGGGTCTGTTGGTTCATAGAGCCCAGAAGCAACAAACGCCCTTGTATGTTTCTTAATTCGGTTTTCTATTGCATTAAGCTAAATAACAATAATCAGATTTCAACAAGCATATGTAAAAGAGTAATGATCAAAGAGCCACAGTAGATATCACATACCCTATCCTCAGTCGTATCATACATGAATCTGCAACCTGGTTTGGGTCCTGATCCATGGATGACCAATGAACACCTTTTCCGAGGTAGGACTCTTCTAACAATATCATCTTCATCACTCTCATGATTAGGTTCGTGTTTTTCATTCTCTACATCAGGGATAGTGTTGATGCTAAATTTCACCGCAAACCTATCTGTTCGCTTTGAAAAGGGTGTTACTAATTTTGATTTTGATAGTTTCCCAGAAGATAAAACATTCTCATACATTAATGATGGTGTGTCATGCGCCGGAGAAAAAAGATCTTGATGATGATCTGTTGGAGTTCCAGGCGTATCATCATCATCTTTATTTAAGATCCTGCATAAAAGGATTTTCATTATAATAGATTGTGGCATTATAGCAATAGCACTTCTGAACCAACATCAAACAATCCTATTCCTGTCTACCTTATCAATTATTCCATAACCATACTGGATACTGCAATAAAGAAACACTATAAGAATCAGCATACTTGGTAGTATATCCTAATATATGGCAACATGTGCTTTTATATAAAAGAAAAGGGACAAACACAATTCTAAGGAGTAGATAAAGAGAAGGAGGTTGACAACAGATAAAAGTTGTCAACAGATAAACACAATTCTAAGGAGTAGATGCAATCACAAGATCATTTACTTTGCATTTAAATGATCTGATGTAGAAGGATGCATTTTCAAACACCATTTATGTTTTGTTTGGGAATAAGTTGGGAAGCACCAAAAGCATCAAAGAGCATCAATGTGAATTTTTTTAAAAACAATCATACGTGGCTATTTTCAACCAAATGTGATTATGCCTTAAAAAGCACATACGACTAAAAGTAACAAAATGTAACTTAGGTGTAATTGAAAATTTTACTCTACTAAAAACTTGCTTTAGGGATACAAGTTCTTACACATAAATCACTTCACTTTAAATTCAATTTTAACCAAAAATCATTTTCTATAAACTCAAAGTCACACAAAATCAGGTTTGTAAATGCTCGTCCAAACACACCATCAATGAAGATAAATAATTATCTTCCTTAGTTCTGAGCACTAATTATATGCAGGCCTTGTTCATAGAGCTGGAAGTTTCCTGTTTTGCAAGTGGAGAGTTATCTCTTGATTTCATTGTTAACGCTGCTCAATAGATGCAATGCAACCACTAACCCTGAAAGAACCATGGACACACATACATGAACCAAGTAATACATGCTTACATTTCTACATCTCTGATAGAGTAAACATGCAAACCAGCTTCTTCCTGTTCCTTTATAACATCCTCTTTCTTCTGATTCTGCAGATGCAGCAGAAAGCCATCGATCTCAGCATTTTGTACCAATGGTTCGTTCAGCTGTCTGTCAAAAACCACCATCCAAATTCGAACTATAAATTATCTAGCAAAGCAAAACACCTATCCCCGAACTGATTATTTAAATCAACACTTACTCTTACAACAACAACAATAATAATAAAGAAGTTCAAAGTGCAAATGTGTATGAGCGTGTTGAAGTTAGGACATGGCATAACACGGTTCATATTCAGATCTTTGAAATCCTAATTTCATTTCAAGACGCAATGCTTTCTTCGGAAATCCCTTTCTAACGCGAATCACAAGCATATTCTTCTAAACTGAACAATTCAGAAACTGCAGTCGAACAATAGTTGATGAAAATGTTAAACGTAAATATTAAGCAGAAGACGCAAACCTATTCAGGTAATAAACCTCCCAGCTTGAGACGAGATCGGAAGGACTGAGACTGTAGTTGATGCAAAAAGGAATACCTACACATTCCCAAGAGATTAACAGATAAACTATTTCGCAAAAATCGAAGAAAAATTAATAACCACTAACATTTGTTCAGTATTTCTTCTTCGTCTTCGATGTCGAACCCGCTTCTTTTGAATTCTGACTTGATTTCCTCTTCCATTGCTCTCTCTCTCTCTCTCTCTCTCTCTAGGGTTTCTCTGATTTTTAAGCGCCAAGAAAAAATGGCGGGAATTTTGCTGGTTGGGGTATATATAGAGGATGGGTCTAGTTATTAGTGTATTCCGATTATGCCCCTCTTATGGCACCGTATTAACAAATATACCATCCAAGTAAAAGTTATGTCTACGGTTGGGTAGGTCAGTTTAGGGGGGGGGGGGGGGGTAAAAAATAGTTTATTTTATTTTATAATAATACATGAATTGTCAAAACTATTTTGATTAACTTTAATTTGAACTGTCTATAATCATTCCTAGTTAAATATACATCTTAAATATGTGTGCATATATACAAATAATCGTGCTGGTTGATTCATATTAAAAGATGAAATACACATTGAAAAAAATGTTTAAATTAAAAATATCTACAATATGCTTGTACATTTTTCATTCACAGAACTTAAATTTGAGGTTTTAATAATAATAAAAAAGACATATACCGCTTAAATTAATTATTTATTAATGCCATTAACATTAGCTAATTGGAAAATGAATACACTTACATGAACGGTTTTGTATCATTTAAAATTAAAACGATTTTGCTGACTATTGTTCAAAATTATATTCTTTTAAATAAAAAATACATTCACATAATTCGATGTTACAATGAGTTGTAACTTAGGCATGCAAAGTGTAAAGTTGAACATTCTTATCAGTGTTCTTGTTACATACATCCGAGTAATGGAACATTAACATGTAACGTTGTCTTTTCTTGTCGTTTTTAATTTTAAAAATATAAAAATGAAGAAATTTTGGAATTGTCGAGTTTGGAAAAATGCATTTTTTTAATTATAAAAAATGTTACTTTTTTAAAAGAAATTAAATATTTGTAAAAAAATAAAAAATAATTAAGACTTAAATCTAAGCTAAATGATTAATATATAAAGGAATTGTGGGAATTATAATATTCACCTTACACATTTCACAATATAGTTTTTACTTGTAATTATTTCGAGAAGGGATAAAATCTACATGTCTACAACAATCATTTCAGTTAATGAGTGAATAGATAAAAAAATTACTGAAAAATGTATAAAATTAACTATCATATGTGTAGATTGATTTTTACAGAATACATAGTAAACTTAGTATGTTAATTTTTAAATTATTTTAGTTTTTTATAATTACTTTAAACTGTTAAATAATGTTGTGTATATGAAAAAGTTTCCTCCATATTTAATTAAAAAAAAGTTATCCCAAGTTATTAAATCTCCACGTGTACCGATGGATATCAATCTCCTCCCGAAGATTGCAAGCTCTGCCACTTCGGTTTATGCAAAGATCAACTCAAGTCTTTAGATGTCACAATAACATATTATTAATATGATTCCTAGTGCCAACAAACTAGTTAGTTCGAAAGTTTAATAGAGATAACTCTGTTCTTGTTGAGAAACATGGTAGAACTCAAAGAAAACGAGATTGAAGAAAATTTGATAGAAACTAATTTTATATTATTAAATAAAAAATAATACAAGGTAAATATAAAGTGGGTTGTTATTTAAGTAAAAGAAGGGGATAAACTTAAAAACTACTATTTAATTTTTGTATAAGAAGAGACTAACTAAATATTCTATCCTTAACTTACTAACTCTTAACTATTTCAACTAATATTTCTAACACTATTTACACCACTTTTGCAAATAATAGGAAACTTATCTATAATCTATGTACGCTGTATGCAGGTGCTTTCTGTTGGGAAAAACCAAACACAAGAACACAATTATCTAAAGTGAGCAGCGGAAACAATTCCCCAAACTTGTAAGAACCTGTGAGGAACAACAACAATAACAAATGGCAGCAACAAACACAAGGACACAGAGAATTATTTACGTGGGAAAACCCTCTCAATGTGAGAAGTAAAAACCCACGGGCTCAAGCCAGTCAATCAAGCTCCACTATAATCAAATGAGGTTACAAGAGAGTCTCAAAATACTGCACAAATTCGTGCAAACAACCAGCTAATACAACCAAGCAATAAAGCCTAACCAAAGAGAGAAAATCTCACAAAATAGAGCTGCTGTTCATACACGATTTCTCTCAGCCAAAACCTCTAATCGACGATCCCAGCGGTCAGAATGAAGAAATATACGTCTGGGAACTAATGTCAAAGTTTCAGCTCAATCCAACGGTTAACTAAGGAGAAATAACAATTTCTCAGCAGCTGGTCTGTGCAGAGTCACCAAAAACAGGGCTTCTGTGCGAAGATAGTATCTCCAACTTCAGACCTCTAATTGACAATCCGAACGGTCAGAACAAAGAGAACCATGTTACGAATCTTCTGTAAAATTTTCAGCCCGATCCAACGGTGAACTAATTGGATATCAGAAAAATGAAGCAGCTGGTCTGGAGCTTCTTTTCTTCCCTCACTTCCCTTCTCTCTTTTTGATGCCTCTCACCGAAAATGCTCACACTAGGCTGCGAAAATGGACTTCCCTCACCCACTCCACTGACTTCTCACTCCCCTCAATTAAGTGTGTAGAAAATGAGCTTGAAAATTTGGACTTTTGGACACATAGTTGAGAGTTCAACCCAACACTTTCTTGTTATTTGGCTTCATTTATCAACATGCATCAGCAATTTACGAGAAGAACTTGTAGTCTTTTGCTGATACGATGATATTCCTCATAGCACCAATTGGAGATAAAGTCATCAACAGTACCCCAATAATGATGCATATCTGAAATTTAAGTATGGAAAAGAAAATTAGCTGAAGCATCAGTTATTTGCTAAATTGAAAAGAAGGTTACTCAAAATGACAATTAACATACCCAGTTGATCGTCCACGACAAACCAAATCTCTTGGGCTTTTTGAGCCTAAGCCACATGACACAGGGTAGCTGCAAATGAGATATAGTAAGATGATTAAGAATGTACGTTGTATTGATAATATTTATGATCAGTGATGTATGTTCATTAACATATAAGAGTTAAGAGGAAAACACAGAGTATGTGTTTTGCTTACAAAGTATGTTGTTGGGGCAAATGCAAAGCCTCCAAGGAATCCAAGAAGAGAACCAAAGAATGGGATGCATATTGCTATAAACATTGTCAATGCTACAAAAACAGTATTAAAAAAAGTTAATTATAAACCAATTGACAAAGATAGCGATCTAGCCACTCAAAAGAAGAAGAAGAAAATTGTCCGTCACGAGTAATCACATACCAAGAAATACAATGCGAGCTGTTACTCTGAGTGCACGAGAGGGTGGAAAATTTAAGGTCTTAACAAAGTAGGTTTCTATCATATCAAACACTGGCATGGCAAATACCTGTTGTGTAGAAAATAATCATAATGATGATAAATTTCTAAAAAATAAATAATAAAAAATAAATAAAATTTCTCTCATGATTAAAATAACTTAATGCTTTTATATTTTTTGAAAAAAGATTTTTCATTTAACTTCTTTAAAATTTGAGAAAATAAATTATTTTTAACTTATAAAATATGATATATTCAATTTTTATATTGATTTTCTTTTCTTACGAATACTTCTCCAGAAGTTTACCAAAACTGAGATCAATTACAGCGAGTGAAAGAAGCTCACTTGGTAGCCTCCAATAACGTGGATAAGGACAAACAAGTTAGCAGCAGCAATGAGCCAAGCAGGGCGTTGTAGTGTGATAAGGACGTTATCATCAACTGCTTTTCCAAACATGTAGTATCCAATGAAGGCAACAGGGAAGTAGCAGTAAGCAACTCCTATGTATGCCAAAATAACTCCTCTCCACATGGGTTCCTTGGAAGGAACCTCGGGGGTTGAAGGCATTGTTGCTTGAATTTCTAGAACCACATTGTGACCTGCATAAGCAAATGCTACGTCTCCCAAGGCACTAAGGAAGTTGAACACAGCATCAGCGGTGCTGTGGGCTCTTGAGCTATAGCTCACATCTGGTGTAACACCTTTCTTTACAGAAGCAACCCATGCAATGGTTGAGTAACTGTTTAAACAATTCATTAAGTTATTATTCAATAAGCTTTTGTGGCACAAGAGGTTTATATCATTTTATTGTGAAACTAATTGGTATGAATTAAAAAGATATGAGAGAGCTATAGACTTGTTAATACGAAAAGTTTATTAAAATGAGTTAAAAAATTTATAAAAGTTATAATTATTTTTTAAAAATATTAAAATAATCTAAAAGAACTTATTTTTTAAAAAATCAAAAGTTAAAATATATATATATATATAAACTTTCGTATTTAACTTTAATTTTTTTCTATAAATATTTATGTAGAAGCTTATCCACCAATTAAGGACCAAAATAGAAGGTAGAGAAGTTTAATTACGTCAAAGACATCGCAGCTGCACAGAAAGAGACGAAAGAGATGGAATTGAAGTCGGGGCATTGGGAAAGAACGAAGTTAACAGAAGCAAAGATCATGATCCAATATGTGGTCTTGATATCTTTGCAACTAGGACAAAGGGTATCATGAACTTTCTTCAATGATTTGCCACCAGTGACCATATAGACAATGCACGTGCCAACTTCAACAACAATCTGTTGAGGAACCACGATCCAAAGACCCAGCTTCTCTCCAAATGCATGCTGACCCAACTCATGATACCTATCGAATCTCTTCCCAGGCACCATTTCATGCATCTCAACCATTTGCCACAGCGTGTACAAGGTGATGATCCATGACAAGATCAGCACCACAACGCCGGGACCCCTATTATTTTAATCAAATGCAATGAATTAGTAATCAGATCCATGCATATATGTATTCTTTTATAAGGAAAAAGACCATAGGTTACTAACATGTTTGAATTCGCATTTAAATGCCTATAAATACCAAAAAAAAAAATTCTATGGGTCGGATCATGTGATCCGAACACTTATGTGATAACATGTATGTAATATGAGTGATCCAGATTACATATTCCCAGATTACTCAACAATTTTTCCTATAAATACACATTTATTCAACATCACTAGCTGTAAATTCTGAGTTGAATCAACCATTGCCTTTTCAATGTAAATATAAACACACCCTTAGTAATGTTATATATTATAGTGTGTACTAACCAACCCATATTTGACATGGCATAAGGAAGGCTGAGGACACCAGCACCAACCATGGCCGTGAGATTATGGTACGCTGAATACCACCATTTGGCATTTCTGGTAGCAGTAATAGGAAGCCAATCATCAATGGCCTTTTGCTTGGCTGCATTATCACTGTCTTCTTGACCCATTGTTGTGCCCCTGACCACAGATTTTCCTTGCTTGTTACTTCACAGTGTTTGTAAAGGACTAATAATAATATATGTATGTATGAGGAGAAGAGAGGAATGGGTATAATTAGAAAAGCTGAAGTTCTTTGTATACTAAGAATGTCGTGTCTGGTTATTGGCACGTACTACTTTCTTGGTGTGAGATACTTTCTCGGTGGAATCTCTCGGACTACCACCCAAATTTTCGGTATCTAACATCTTCTTTTAAAGTTGTTTCCTTCAATGGAAAGTCCGGTTTCAATAGGAAACCAGTTATGCTGCTGTCAAATAAACATGCAGTTAGTGGAGTTAAGAAAATGTAACGTTTTATAATGTGCCACTTCATAACATTTCTTTTTATGTGCCAGAAAAATGCAAAACGGATCCTCTTGTACCAAATTTTCTGGAGCCCCTTAATGGCAGATTTCTAGCCATTGATTTACACCTAACATTTTATTGTTTTAATGTTGGTCATGTGATATGTGAAGAAAAATATTTTTCGAACCATTAAAATAGAACATTTTTATGTTTTTTTTTGTTAGTGGGATGTACTTTTAGAATATGTATATGTAAAAAAGTAAAAAAAAAATTATATATATATATATGTATATATACCGTGTCACATACAATTTGATTTTAAATAAAACATAATATCAATTTTAAGTTTTTCTAATAATGACACTCATGTTAAGAACGTATATAGCAGTCGTTTTTCTTTTTTACAGTTTTATTAGCATAAACTTGAGGTTAATTTTAAGTATATCTACGTAATAAGACTTTTGTGGAAAAAAAAAATTGTTATATAATAATATAAAAGTATAATAGATGTTTCTTTAATAAATTGGTGTACGACAACGGCAACTCGAATGGTTATGCAGACTTGATTTGTTAACTTTGAATTCGTTTAGTTTCATTCTTAATTTTTAGCATTGCTGAATGAGAAAATATGTCTCGGTGAATGTTGTTGCAGGCCCGGGATTAAAATCAATATTAGCACTTTAGCAGGTTATGTGAGAAAATTATGAGGATATTAGAGACGATTTCATTAAAAATCATTTGATATGAACATGTCACAGCTTAAAAATAGCATGCGTCTGATGATAAAGCAAAACAAGGATCAATTGGAATTGCAGCTCGAATTTGGATTTGGCGTTTGTATTTCTACGATACGTTTAACATTGCAAATATTATTATCTGTGTAAATATTTTGCAGTAGCTTTTACAAACTTGTCATTACAAGATAAGTAATAATCTATATTATTTTCATGCTCTCCCCAAATTGATCACAACAGTTAGGCAACTAAAGAACCGAAACGCTTGTAACTCCCATTTGATTTTGTGCAACTATTTGAATCTTCAACAGCCAAGCCTTGTGCTCCAAAAGAAAAATACCGATTCATCAATTTCTTATTGAAGGAGCACTGTTTGTAGTTCAATAGAAGTGTGCCATCATCTATTGATCTATTGGAGCAAGAGGGTCCCATTACATCAACACCCTTTTGTTTATTTATGGAAGATAGAGAAGCCACAGATAAATCTTGAAAAGGACTAGGACTTGAATGTGCAAATTGTGGTTTTAGCTGAATAACACCATGCATTAGGCCTGTGGTGAATTTCATCTTGGAGGATGGACTTGGAAGAGAAGTTCTCATAGATTGTGTTCTTTTGTTGTTTGGAAGGGAGCATGATTGTGAGTATCTTTCCCGTAATGAGATTGGAAATTCTTCATAGTTGGTACTTGAACTCAAAGGATCAACACAATCATCATCTTCCAATTCTGAGGTAGCTGCTTTTGTCTCTCTTCTCCTAGGCCACCTGAGAAGAAACTTTAAGCGGCTTGTAGCATGATTGACAGGATTAGACTTCTTGTTACATGGGGAATTGGCGGAATCAAAATTGCCTAGTTCATTTGAGCATGAATATGATTCCACACTTGCTTGATCATAGTTTGCATCTGATGAATTCTCAATGCCAGTGTACAAGAATATCTCTGCATCTGGTATTCTAAATGAAGTCCCAGGACTACCTCCAATGACATTAGTTTTGTGATGAGTGAAAAGGGTATTTCCTGTCATAGCATCTTTACAATTAGAGATCCCTCCAGCCGAAATCATACGTTTGATTAAAATATCAGAAGATGCTGATTTTGGTCTTTGCTTCAAAATATCCAAAGGGGTCATCCCTTCAGCATCACAAATGTTCAAATCAATTGACGGCACAGACATCAACATTTCCACAAGCTCAAATTGAATATTGTCAATCAGAGACACATGAAGAGCTGTTCTTCCATCATTGTTCTTGACATTGATTATGTTCTGCATGTTCACAATCTTTCCACTTACCAATTGCTTCATGAGCTCAGTGTGCTTGTCCAGTCTACTGAAACCAGGACTTCTGAAACCAGCCACTGCCATATGAAGAAAAGTATCTCCATAGTGATTTGTCAACAGTGCTACCGAAGGAGATGCAAGAACCAGAATATCTACCACGGGTAAGTGACCCCTGTAAGAAGCTACATGTAGTGCCGTGTTCCCTTGAGCATCTGTCAAGTTTATTATATCAACTGATGCAAGTAGATTTCTCACCACCTGTAAAATCAAAATGATCAAAATAAGGGGCAGTGAAAATGCAGGTTCAAAGATATTGAATTTCAGTAGGATTAACAATTGAACACTCAACATTAACACTGATTTTTTTGTGCCTGCAGTCAGGTGCCAAAGGACACGCCAATCACCATAAAGCATGAGGGCAAAATGTAACATGAATTCAACCAAATGTGCGTGATATTGTTCGAACAGTGTACTCAGTATCTTACATTTAAGACTGATTGATTTAGGCTAAATTTTGACTAACTTTTCAAAAAGTACTTGTAGGAGACCCAAAAAAGAGAAGAATTTAAAATGAATCAAAGTTACTCATAAGTTAAAATCAACTTATGCACATTAATTTTTAGATAAATTAGATGAGGGTTTGTCCAAGTTACCTCACAGAGTAAATAACTAAATCCTAGATAAACTAACTATATTTTATTTATAAACGTTAAATAAAAAGTTGATACATTTTAATACAATACATTAATTTCATTAGGTCGCCTACTATGAAGTTATTTTCCTCATGTGACAATTTAGACAAAACAATTAAATTAAGAAAATTTTCAAAATATTGATGCACATAAGTTAACTAATTAATAAAAAAATATTTGTTTTATCTAGTTATTTACTTTTTCTACATGTATTTCCTGGTATTGATAAATGACAACACAAAGAACTAAACATTTTACAATATCCATTCCAATTTGAGGCTAATACAAAAAAGCTGTCCTCACCTGAACCTGACCTCTGCCAGCAGCTGTATGCAAAACAGTGAATCCTTGAGCATCTCTATAGCCCAAAACGCCAGAAGCACTTCCAACAAGCTGCTTCAGCATCTCCCAGTTCCCTCCTCTAGCAGCAGCATGAATGGCCCTATTCACCATATCCCTCTTGAAAACCTCTTCTACTTGTGCTCCACCACTCTCGCACTCTCTCGGAGACAAAGCAGAATCAAGCAAAACCTTAAACACCTCACAACTATGGCTCCTTGCAGCAGCATAAAGTATATCAGTAACTCCATACTCCCCTTCTCCAAACACCAATGAAGGGTATCTCCCCAACAATTCTCGCACAAAATCCACGTCACCAGCTGAAGCAGCAGTGTAGAGAAGCCACCCACCATAGCCAGCTCGAATGAGAGAGTTGTGTCCTGGTCCTGTCTCGCACTCCATCATCAGATTCCTTGCAACCTGCGACCGACATTTCGCGACCTCTCCGAACTGTGCCACGTCATCCCACACGGTTTCGAGGCGCCGAATTCTTCGAAGGGAAGTTAGCTTAATTAGTAGATTGGTGTCAAGGTGAAGAAGCTCCACCACCAGATCGTAGTACCCATTTGCAGAGGCCCAGTCAATAGGTGATGCATACCACCATTGTTCCCCTGTGCTCTCCCAACGAAGTGGAAAGCACGAAGGAGCCATTGCAATTGCAACTGTACCTTCTTTGGATATGTCGTTTTTCTGATGCTAATTCTATTGGATTCAAAGCTTCTTTTTTTCTCTTTATTTGCACAAGTGTGAAAAATCATGGTGTGAGATTGACAGTGTAAAGTTCTCCTTTTTATACTAAATAAAAGATGAATAAATTATACGTTATAAATTTATGATAAACTTATCTATTTATATAAAATAATAAATAAATGAGAGAAAAAAGAAAGGGTGTGACAGAGCGTATGATGATAGATGATGAGTTGACTAGATTTCTGAGGACGACGTTTCTAACAATGGGTTGGGAAAAAGGTTGAAAAGAAAGCATAGAAAGATTAAGATTCTCTGATCCGTGAGCATACGGCCAGGACATTTATTTAATCACCATTGTCATACTGTAAGAGGTAATATTTGCCCATTCATGTGTGGATTTATCTTCTTTGTAAAGTAAGGAGAGTTATAAAATGGAAAAAAAAAGAAAAAAAAAAAGAGTTCTTTTGACACTAATGTTAATTTAAAATGTTTTACAAGTTTATTCCATTTTAATTTAATTTAGATAATATATATATATATATATATATGCATGCATATATCTATATATAAGACTCATTAAAACTAGTATTAATTTTTTATAATTTAATAGATTTCCATACGAAATATAATTAATTAAATTTAAATTTTTTATTGAATATATTAATTTTATAAAAGTATAAGGTAATTTATCATATTATTTTATTTTAAAGGATAATGTGTTTTTAAAATATAAATAAATATCAAACTTTAAATAACATATTTATAAATATTTAAATTGATATAAAATTTAATATACATAATTAAAAATAATAAAATAATTAATTATTAAAATAATTAATTTTATATTTAATAAAATATTACTAAATAATGTAAGTATTTAAGTTTAACATGCAATGTTAATTTATCATAAAAATATAATATACATTAAAATTATGAATTTAATTTAAATATATTTTTACATTGTTATTTAATTATAAATTATGTTATAAGTAAAAATGGTAAATTTTTATAGTATTATACTAACTATTATACCAAAATTAAACTTTAAAATTACAAATTTTCCATAGCATTGTTTCACTCTTGTTGATGGATAAAATGGAGAGAGAAAAAAAATGTATTAAAATGAGTATATATTTATTTTATTATTAAAAAATGAAAACTAGTCTTATAAATATATAAATGACCTAATGTAATAAGGAAAGCGACTTTCACCATCTTCTTGATGGTGTAAATGGGATTCATGTGGCATGAAGCAATAGTAATAATCAATAATTTCACCCGTTTACTTTTGCACAATTTTCAGTTCTTTATTATAATGAGTGACTTTAATTGTTTTCCCCCTCGCAATGACCATGCAGTCGTCACACACGTACATCGTATGGAAAAAGAACACTAATAATATACTTTTAATTTCAAAATAAAAAATAAAACATACGCATTTTTTATAATTTTTAAATTTTTTTTATTAATATTACAAAGTTTAATACAAAGTTTAAAAAAAGTATATATCACTTATACGAATAATATTAATAATATATTCTCTAACATTTTTTATAACACGTTTCATATTATTAACTAAAATTTATTAAAAATTATATAAATTTTACTTTATTATTTTTAAATTAATAATAAATTTTAATCGATGATAAAAATTAAAAAATATATTCTAACATTGTTCCATGTTAACAAATATTCATTATTTAAACTTTCTTATGAGATCTTAGAACCTTTCCAAATAATTCAGTAGCCAGTTAAAATCATCCTTACATGAAATGCAAGTCAAATTATTCTACTAAAAGTTCACTACTTAATTTAACATGTATGATTTACTTAAGTCTTTTTTGTCATTTTTTTTTTTCATTAAAGCTGACAGATAATGTGAATGCACTTTTTAAAGTTAGGGATGAAAAAATTTGGTACATACAATTTTAATGATTAATATGAGAGTTTACATCTTGTTGAATATCTATATTAGCCAAAAACGGTTAAAGAACACAAATCTTGTCATGTTTGTCACACTAGCATCAGAATCACGTGTACCTCTCTGCTAACATGCATTATTATGCATTTGTTAAGCTTTCAATGTATACGAAAAGCCTGATACCTGGATTTTTAAGGATTATAAATTGCTGAAGTACACAGCTTCAAACGGTCTCTGACAATTACATGCAAGAAAAACAAGTTACATGGCTGTGTTAAGTGAGAAAGGAAAAGGGAATTAATTATGTATTATGGCACATGCATATATACACGTGAACACAAATATTTAACTAGCGGTTTCAATATCATGTGTGAGCTGAATATAGCTGCATTCAAAACACATACCAAGCTCTTAATTTGATCATTTGTGGTGACCCCAAATTAATTGCGATTGGGTTGATTTTGGAAATTAAATTTCGTGTATTTTTAGCTGAGTTTGGGTCATGCATTCTTTTTTTAGTTGTTTTATTTAATATCATGCAAATTTTTAAAAAATAAATTATTAATAACAAATAGTTTTTAAAAATGCTTATCACAAATCAACTTTAAACTTTGATTGGAAAATAGATAAGCGCGTTTTCAATCATTAAAAACATATATCATTTACTTTAGTTTCTATTCAAGGTTTATTTGTTTTAACCCAATAAAAATATTAAAAGCGTCATTTTATAGTTTTTAAAAACACGAATAAACTTTAAATGACTATCAAATTGAAATATTAATTACATTAAATATAAATTAAAATTGAATTTCTTCTTTTTCAATAAAAATATTAAAAATTGTGAATCATCCCAAGTTGAACAGCATTATAACTCTTTTCACATGGAAGGTGACTCTGGCGAAGGAACCGAGGAGCAATGTGGGGTTTGACTCCTTCTATGTGTCTCTGCATCTTTATTTCACCTGCTACATCTACACCATTCGATCACCATTTTTTATTTCTATCTCTTCTCTAATCATATTAGACCATGTGCCACCGCCATATAATCATAACATCAAATAATGCAACAAGTCTTAAACAACTATGTATGACAAATTTTGTAATTAAAATACGTTTTCTTAATTTGTTACGGGTTATTCTGTCGCCTGTGTTAGACCGAAAGCTCGATGTTTAAATCCTAAAACACTATTCACCCAAACAATATAGAATCATTTTCTACAAAATACGTTGAATAAATCATGTTTTAAGGTAACGGAACCATGATGATGTAGGAATAGGAACAAAATGGTATCGGATCAAAGGGTTTAGGGTTTAGGGCTTTTATTTTGTCATTTGCTGGTTGTGTTTCGAAGGACTTGGTTTTTACACATTTTCGTTTTGACAACGGGCCTGACACCAAACCTCTATGACCCATCTACGATTCGGATTAAGGAAAGAGCAAACTCACAACTAGCCTATATTTATTGATTAGAAAAATAACTAGCCTACTTTTTTTGTGGCCACTTCATTGTTTTAGTGTAGTTTTTAGCTTCTTCTTGTTGGGCTGCACCCCTCTAAAACACAAAAATGGAATTATATTACAAATTTAGCAAATTACCTCAATATATATTAGCAATTCTGTTTATTTCTAAAATAATAGTCATTTTGGTATGCTCACACATGCCACAATAACGTACACACTTCATATATTTTATATCTATTTTTCACCTATTTTTATATTTTCTATGTCCGCATTCTAACAATATATTTCACTTACACAGGTCATTTTTGGTGTCACATTTTAGTAGTTCAAAAACTTAACGAAAAGAAAGAAGAATTAGAGGTTGGTCCCAAGGACATGGAAAACAAAGTATTTGGCTTATATTGAGATGATTATGATAATGAAACATAAGACTCATCCGTCCTTTGAACAAGAGGAGGAAAAACCTAAGATCGTTCTAGTAAACTTGAAAAAATGTAAATAAAAATATTGGAACTTTTGTTTCAATGATACCACTCACAGCAATGCAAGTGTTTATTCCGAATTCACACTAAACTGAACTTTTTGATTAAAGACAAAACTCAGAACGATGTAACGATGCAATCCAAGCTCAGAGTCAACTCTTAAGCCACAGATGCCATGTGGGCAATCAAATCAATCACACGGGAACTGCAAAACAAACAAATAAATGTATTATTACCACTTAAATCAATCATCAAGGCCTGATTATGACTTGAGAAATTAAGGTGAATTGCAATACCTGTAACCCCATTCGTTGTCATACCAAGAAACAAGTTTTGCAAAGTTTTCATTCAAAGAAATTCCGGCCTTGGCATCAAATATGCTAGACCTGCATACGAAAGCAACATCCAACATGTTAATTAGATTGAAAGACCCACCAAAAATTGATCAAGACGGTTTATTTTTCAATAATTAATAAATAATAACCAACGTTGCTTCACAATTCAGCATTACCTGCTATCACCAACAAAGTCAGTAGACACCACATCTTCTTCAATGTAACCCAAAATCCCCTTCAAACTTCCTTCTGATTCCTCCCTGCATTTTGTCATTACAATACAAATAGGTTGGGTTAGAAGGAAAACACTATTCAATTTGCCACATGTAAAGGACTTAAAACTTCAAAGACTTTCACAAAAGTTCCAAACTTACTTGATAGCAGCTTTGATCTGCTCATAGGTTGCCTTCTTCTCCAACCTCACAGTGAGATCGACAACTGAAACATCCACAGTAGGAACTCGGAAAGACATTCCAGTCAATTTACCATTCAGTGCTGGAAGAACTTTTCCTACGGCCTGTTTATCCCAAATACAAATAACATTCAAAGGTGAGAAACAACAAAAACTTTAGAACAAAAATTTACCCCATCGAACCAAATGTGTATCAAATTATATATATATATATATAACAATTAACAAGTACCTTAGCAGCTCCAGTGCTACTTGGAATGATATTGAAGGAAGCAGCTCTTCCACCCCTCCAGTCCTTGCTTGATGGACCATCAACAGTCTTCTGAGTAGCTGATTCATCACCGAAAAAGCAGATAATGAATACCATCTTCATCTCAAAATGAATTAAAAAAAGATCATGGATAAAAAATAACAATATAACTAAATGGAAAACCTGTGATGGCGTGAACAGTGGTCATAAGACCCTCCACAATTCCAAATCGGTCATTGATAACCTGTGCAAAGTTAAGATGCATAATTTAAAATACAGATAGAAGCACCAATTAATTTCACGCAGGGTATGCATCAAATAAAACACCTTGGCGAGGGGAGCAAGGCAATTGGTAGTGCAACTAGCATTGGAAACAATGTTAAGCTCTGGTTTGTATTCCTTCTCGTTAACACCAACAACAAACATGGGTGCATCCTTACTTGGGGCAGAAATCACAACCTTCTTGGCACCACCCTGATCACAACACCAAAACCCATTTCAAATTACTAAACAATCATCCTAGACATATGTTCTGACTTAATTGAAGAGAAAATTTATTAGTATTTAAAAGAAAAACAAACACCAGGTAATAACCAAAAGACACAATCTATATTTCACAACTAAATAATCAATAGAAGCATTGATAATAAGAGATCGAATCGAACCTTCAAGTGAGCAGCAGCCTTATCCTTGTCAGTGAACACACCAGTTGACTCAACAACAAAATCAGCACCAGCTTCACCCCATGGAATCTCCTCAGGGTTCCTAACGTTCACAAGCATAAGAGCAACGAAGTCAACGAATTAGGCAAGAAAGAACATGCACCACTAGTGTCCTACAATCACAAACCATAGATTCAAACACAAGAAATAAACTTTTAGTCTTACCTAATTCCAAAAACAGTGACGGGCTTCTCACCAAAGAGAAGGGTCTTAGAATCCTTCACCTTAACATCAAAATGCTTCCACTGTCCATGAACACTGTCGTACTTGAACATGTATGTCTGCCAGAGAAATCACAGTTCAAAACAAACAAATACGCTCATTCGTTAGCAAAAACTACTACCCCAAACGCAAAGTTGTAATTTTTTTTCACTTTAAGCATAGTGTCAAAGCATAAAACTTTACCATGTAATCAGTGGTGATGAAAGGATCGTTAATGGCAACGAGTTCAACATCATTTCTTTGAAGGGCAACTCTAGCCACCAAACGGCCAATCCTTCCAAATCCTGTATACAATCGTGTTAACAAAAAAAATCCCAGTACAAACAAAAACAGACACACAAAAAAAAAACATTGTAAGTAAAATGAAAGAAAAACGGTTACCGTTGATGCCGATCCTAATCTTCTTGTCTGATGCTGGTCAAAGAAGAAGAAAAGCGTTAGAAAATGATAGATTGAGAGGTGTTGAGAGAATAATGAAGATGGGAAAGAAGAGAAGAATACCCATAGCAGTAGAGAGTGTTTGTGTGAGAATGAGATTAGAAGTGAATTAGAGAACAATTTGGTGAGAAAAACATGGGTTAACCAGTGCTATTTAAAAGGGTGTGTGTATGAAGAAAATGTGGTGTTAGTCACGTGAGGGTTCGTGACAGTCCTGCTTGGAGAAAAAGAGAACGGAGCTTGGAGCCGCAGCCGCTGATTTACATAGGGAAATGAAAACCAAGGGTTACCCCTGATTTGTCAAAAGGGTTAAACATTGGGTGAGATGAGGCGTTACATTGGTAGTAGCATCTAGAGTTCCCTTGTATGTCAAAGACAAATTTAAGACAATTCATTACATGATTTTCGACCTTGATGGGGATTGTTTTCACTTTTCAACGTCTTCGTCAGAAATTTAAAAATATATTTAAAATATTTTATCAATTTTTGTTAGTATGTGTATAAAAAAAAATTATTAAATATAGTTTGTTAAATCTGTAAAATATGTATTAAATATTTTTATAATTTTCAAATAATATTTTTTTTATTTTTAATAAAAAGTTTCTATTTTTAATTTCATAGCATGTGTTTTTGAAAAAAAATACTTTTTATAGTAATATTTTCACTAAATGTGATGTCAATCATTTAATGTATATTATAATATATTTTAATAAATTTTAATAATTGAATTAAATATTATCAATCTTTGGAATAAATTTTTCACAAAAAAATATTACTCAAGTTAAACTTTTTAATGTTTTATTATTTTAACAACAATTTGTACAAGAAATACGGTGACAAGTGTATTTAGAAATCAGTTAAAAAATTAAAAATTACATTTTATTAAAAAAAAAAAAACTCTTTTTATAATTTTATTAAAATGTATTTTATTTTAAATAAATTATTATAGACCACTTGTATTTTTTATTTGAGACAATTTCATTTAAGTTAGTCAAATTCAAGACTACGTAATCCTTAAGCTGAAACCATAATTATGACGTATTTTAAAATATATGATAAACATATAATTAATTTTTATTTAATGATATTGAATATTACAATTTTCAATAAAAAAAACGCATTTTTTAATTAATTCTTTATTGTATGTATCTCTTTTGAGATGCATTAAAAAAAACACGCTTAAATAATTAATAAATATTCTAAAAGCATCTTTGTTAACGTTTGGGGGACCGGGAATATTAATTGGAACATGGAATATTCGGGTTTTGAGCCGTTTATGTGCTGAGACTAGTCAAGTTTTTAATTGATTATCTTTTTGACCTTAAGCATTTTTTATTAACCTTGAGCTAGTGTGATTTTCTATTTTCTACTGGGAATTTCTAACTGATAATTAAAAATATGATCGAAAGCATTAGTTTATAATCCAACCTTATGTTATAAATAAAATTTAAAACAACTAAATACTAAAGCCCTTAATTACATTGTTTGTATGTATGTTTCAATTTATAATTATTTGTTTAGTTGAGTCCATTGTATTGTATTCACCTATTTCGTGTCATTTTGCATGAAATTGTGAGACTTGAGCGTGATCAATGACATCAATCTTCACGTTCTGTTAATCAATAATCACACGTTGCAAGGATCAAATTCAATGCCATCATTAGTTCTTTTATATTGTATACTATAAGAGGAGCACCGTGCTGTGAACTTTATGTCAATAAAAATAGCTTTCTAGATCAATCATAAAATAGAAAGCAAAGTCAACCAATAATCTCTTTTACTCATGAAAAAATGTTACCAACATATTGTTAATTATTAAAATATAGGAGAGAGATAATTATTAAATCAAGAATAAATTATATACAACTTTTTATCATTTTTAATAAATGTTAATTATTGTATTAAAAAAAATGGTATTGCATCCCTCACTTCATCAATGATGGGTTGTTTTATTATTATATTCGAAGGAACCAACAAAGTGTTGAAACAAAATTGAAAACATCCAGAAGGTCGAACGATGATTTGGACCCTAAAAAAAATAGTGAGATAGAAGACCCAAACAGTAAAGGGTCTAAAATCTGTTTAGTTTGACAAAAAACATTAAAAAATTAAAAAACAGAAAAACATAAAAGCCAACATGGCGTCGCCCGGACTCGAACCGGAGACCTTCAGTGTGTTAGACTAACGTGATAACCAACTACACCACGACACCTTTTTGTGTTAGATTTATAAACTTCTTTCAACTTAAACGGCACAAGCGATTGATAATGTTTTATTTTTCACGTTTAAATCTATTTTAAGGGATAAATAAACAAAAATATTTATTAAAATATATAATATTTTCTTTTATCATATTTGTTATAAAAGACTTTTTCTAAGACTATATGATCTTGGTCTCGTAGGGACATATGTGTATTCTTTTTCTTGTAAATTATAGAATTTTGACACTGTTCCCAACACACCTAATAAATTTTCCTATCATGGGAGCATTTAAATATACATTGCCCAACATTTTATACCGGTTGTTTGATGGTCATAGGCAGATACAGGCTGTTCAAGTTGGATTCTACAACCTTGGTCTTCACGCATATTTAAAATGCTCTATGTGATGCCTTTGGAAAAATTAACAAAACTTATTCTTCAAAAGCAAGTGCCACTTTGGCGAAAGGAAAGGCAACAATTAGGCACATACTAAAACAAAAACTTGAAAAAGTTAAGAAGACTCAAAAACAGGAAAGGTCCAAATTGAAAGCCAAGAAAATAGGAAACCCACCATTCATTCTTCATTCATTCACACATGTAATTAAAATAGGCTGCTATAACACGTTGCTGACCTATTCTTTGCATTTGGTACACACATGCTTCTCGAATTTCTCGGGTTCTTTCACTAACCCCGTTATATTTTTTATCACATTATACATATAAAACCACCCTCACATTCCTCATTTGTTGTCAAGTCTTGCTCCGCATCCTTCTTGTTTCACAAGTTTCCTTGGAGGCGGAGCATATCTCTTACCTCTCTCTCTCTCTCTCTCTCTCTCTCTCTTTTGTTCTGTTCTCTCTCAGTTCTCAAAATGGCCACCAACAGATGGTTGAAACCTGAGGTACTTCCATTTTTCTTATATGTGTACATAGTATATACTAGTATGAATTTGTTTCTTTGTTTATTTATGATTTTATATATTTTATTGTGTTTGAATTCACGTTTAAATAGCCATCGATGTACATTTATTATTTGCAACTTTTGCGATAGATACATGTTTATAGGGGTTTCCAAATACATGTGTGAATGTGATGTAATGATATCTAAACGGGTTTTGTTTTGGTTCTTGTAATGTGAACAGGTATACCCTCTTTTTGCTTCTGTTGGCGTGGCTATTGGGATCTGCGGTATGCAACTTGTTAGGAATATAACCACAAATCCTGAAGTCAGGTTTGGGTCTTTCATCATCATCTTTTGTTGTTGATTTGGGTTTCTTTTGATTTTTCATTGTTCAGATCCAATGTTTCCTCTGTCAAAATACAATCATCGGCCAATGTGATGCCTTCAAGGAATCGTTAGACATGCAGCTATGCAGAATTGAATCATAATCTTTGAAAACTTGTTATTTTTCTTTTGATCTATTCCCTATATTATGCATAGCAATATTTTGTTGCCTTAAAAATAATTTAGTGTATGTTTAGAAATAAAGAACATGTTGGATTCATGTTTGCCGTTGTGTAATTTGCTTCTTTTGGAACTCTTTTCTGATCTATAATTTTTGAATTTGATTATGCTCTCAGGGTAACCAAAGAGCACAGAGCTGCAGGAATTCTTGAGAATTTTGCAGAGGGAGAGAAATATTCACAACATAGCCTGAGGAAGTATGTTCGCAACAAGACCCCTCAGATCATGCCATCCATCAACAACTTCTTCTCTGATCCAAATTAAAACAAGTGCCTAACTTTTTGTCTAAGAAATTTGATTCATGGGTTTTAAGTTTTGGCTCTCCGGTGTTATGAATTGAGAAGTAGGACAAAGGAATTTGATTTTTCATATACATATTTTGATTTGTACTTTGTCGATGGATGACATTGAATTTCCCTAATAATAAAGTTCTATTATTCGATGCTGTTATTTAAATTTTCATGCATTGTTCGTCAAATGATTAGTTTCAACCCTTTTTTATTTTAATTGAGAATTCATTAATAAAATATTAAACAAGAAATTACTAAGGATACAAAGATTGGGTTAAATGATCACCTGTTGTATCCCAAAATTTTCGCACCTTTGAGAACAATAGGAGAAGATCATAGTGCATATGATGAAGATCACTGAAGCTTGCAGCACATTTAGATTCAAACCATTAGTAGCTAACATACCTGCTAAGCCTGAAAATCAAATGTACCAATTAGTCATTGAACAAGTAAGATCAAATTTCTAATGAAAGCAATATTATAGAAGGTGAATCAAAACTTGATCCAATTTTTTGTGCTTTTATCAAATATTATCTATTGAGTAGGCAATTATTTAGGATAAAGTGGATCACAGATATATTCTTATAAATTATAATGTGCCAATGATATCAATCACCAATGAGCTCCACTTTATGTGGGATTATGCTTTCACAGTCATGTATAAAAAGATCAAATTCAAATCAGATACTTATCTTCAATTTTTCTATTATTGTTGTTTTGTTACTAAAGATATAAGAAAGAAGCTAGAGATTAGGGTATGTTTGATTTCTATTTTTTTAAATTTTTTTTCTAAATATAGTATAAATTTATATTATATTTAGAAATAAAAATAGAAAAATCTTTTTAAAAGAGAAATCAAACATACTCTAAATAATCATCATTTACTAATTTGATTGTCATAATTTTATTTTTTTTTATAAATACCCACTCTTAAAACCAAACCACTAGGTTGGAAGTTAATAATTTAGTTCTTGAACTTTATTTTAGTTTAATTGTTTACTCTTTTTTTTTTAAATTTGGTTCAATTTTTCAATAATGAGGGTGACAAAAGGAAATCATATTTTTAATAGTCAAGACTATTTAAATAAAAAAAATAAACTGAAGCCAAATAAATAAATAAAAGAATAAAATAAATTAAGATTAAAAGTAAAAATTAACTTACTAATTCCACCTTCATTATCCCTTTCATTTATATTTCTGCATAAGAGATTGGGGTGACAGAAAAATAACAAAAAATGGGCTTAAAAAATAGCTTGGTTGGTTTATTATTTTTTATATTTTTAGAGTATGTTTGAGAAAAAAATTTTGGATGGGAAGAGGGATATATTTTTAAATTTCAAATTAAAAAAATTACATATAATTTATGATAATAAACATATTATTAATATATTTATTTAAAATATAAATTTTGCACTTTTTTCTTCTCCCATTGAAAATCTCCTTCCCAAACAATCCTTTTATAATACACACACAAAATATTTTGAAGATAAGTGTCTTATTTGAATTTGATGTATTGTAAAGTTAAATTTTATAATTAATTAAAACAAAACTATGCCCCCTGATATGCATAATGTGCACTAAATTAATGGGAATTGCAAAAGGCAATTCCTTCATTTGACCGTTAAATGCGCAAATTTAAAATATTATTGACGTTGCCATATAAATCATTGACCAAGAAAGGCCCAATAAAAACGAAAAAAAAAGAAAATCAAAACTAGCCGTTACGGTGCTTTCTCTGCAAGTTTCTTTCCACTACGAATCCCTAATTTATTCTCATCTTTTCCCCCTTTTCAAACCAGTTCATTTTGCTCACTGTTCTAGTGATTCGATAACTGAAAAAGGCGTTCCCATTTTGCCTCATTGTAGGAAAAAAATTCCACCCATTTCAAAATCTACACTTGTGAACGTTCTTTGGTTCATTCCATTGGAAATTAATTAGACTAGCCCTTGAGTGTGTATACGTAACAGAAGAAAGGGCATGGCTGCAAGAACAGTTGCGAAAGACATAATCACTCTTCGTGGTTCCGCAGCAATCGTTAGCGAGTTCTTCGGTATTCACTTGCCTCTTTTCATGGTTCCCTTTTTCTGTTATTTCTTTCATTTTTGCATATTTGGGTAATTTTCAATTACGAACTTATGTCTGATTTTTATTTTTTTGTTTTGTGATCTTTTCAATTCAGGATATGCTGCCAACAGGTTTGATCCCGTGTTCTTCAATTTTAAGAAAATAAAATGGGCATTATTTTTCACATTTCAATTATGTGGCTTAAAATCTTTTGGTATTAACAAGTATTTAACTTGGGAATTTGATCAGCATTCTTTACAACCGTGGAGTGTATCCAGAAGAAAGCTTTGTGAAGGTGAAGAAATATGGCCTCCCCCTGTTGCTTACTGAAGATGAGGGTGTTAAATCTTTCATAGCCAATTTAACTGCTCAGCTCTCTGGTAACTAACACTCCTAATTTGTTTCTTTGTGGTGCTCTTTATCATTTCTTAACATCCATCAGGTATAAAATAATGGGAGTATTAAAAAGTTCATTTTAAAAAATGATTTTGAATTTAAATCTTTCTTTCTTATGATTAATTTTTACTTGAGAGTAAGTAGTAGTTGTAGTAGTTCAGTTGTGATATCATTGTTAACCATAGTGCTGTATGATCTTTGAATATTGGAAAGAATGGCTTGAAGCTGGCAAGTTGCAGAGGGTGGTTCTTGTTATAATGAGCAAGGCTACCAGTGAGGTTCTTGAGAGGTGGAACTTCAGCATTGAAACTGACAGTGAGGTTGTTGAGCAGGGGTGAGTAACTTGGTATAACTACATCCCAGTCGAAGTTATTTTCCTTGCAAAATTTCTCCCTTAGTTTATTATGCATTTCATTATTTATTATTTGTTGGTTTTTTTTCAGTGTCTCGAGGGAAAAGAGTGACAAGGAAATCATGAGAGAGATACAAGCAATTATGAGGCAGATTGCTTCAAGTATCACCTATTTGCCATGCCTGGATGAACCTTGTAAGAACCGAGTGTTTCACCAATTATCATGAGAGAGTTGCCAGGCCATGTGCATTGATTTTTCATATTCTTCTTCATTTCATTTTTATTTTATCTCCCAACTGAACCTAGCTATCTTGTTTCAGGCGTTTTTGATGTTTTAGCGTATACTGACAAAGATGTGGCAGTTCCATTCACTTGGATTGAGAGTGATCCAAAACTAATTGCAAATCCGCAAATGGTGAAATTGCATTCATTCGATACTAAGGTGGAATTTTGGTTTTGCAATTTGGTCATTTATCTGAATGACATAGGTTGATTAATTTGGCTAATGCTAATATCTTGTTTTGGCTTTGCAGATTCATAAGGTTGACACACTTGTATCATACAAGAATGACGAATGGGATGAGGAGTAGAACCAGCCCTGTGCCTGGATATTTTGTTCAAATTCTGTCATTTTTCTTCGGGTCTTGAGTGAACTTTCTATTGTTAAGATGTGTACTGTGAATTGTGAATTTCTATTCACATTTGTAGATGTGTGTACTAATGTGGGTGTGCTAGCTTCTGTTTGTTCGACTTCTTGTGGCAGACAGAATTGCCATGTAACTGAGTTGTAAGGGTATCTCAAGAAATCTCTCAATGTTCTGTTCGAAATTCTGGTTGAATCAATCACACCTAGTAATATGAATTTTTTCTTCTGTAAGGTCTTCTTGCAATTAATTGGTTAAAAACTATGTTGCGGTTGAATCAATCACACCTAGTAATATGAATTTTTTCTTCTGTAAGGTCTTCTTGCAATTAATTGGTTAACTTGCAATTAATTGGTTAAAAACTATGTTGGAGACAGTTGAAATTAATTGGTTAAGCGAAGATTTTGCTGGATGCTGGTTCAGTTTTTTCACACAACCAAGAGACAGACTGGCCTTTATGGACTTTCGAAGCACTTCCGTACTATAAAGTTTTTTTTGTCATATGAAATGTCGGCAAATCCATGTGAAATGTTTATATGAGCCAAAATAACCTCAGGTTTAGGACTCAAACCACTTGACAGGCAACAACGAACTTATATTGTAACAAATCAACGGGCTAAGGAAACTAAAGGCAAATGCATGTGAAACACAACACCAACACCAACACCAACACCAACACCAACGTTTCCACTTTCCAGGATGGCAGGCTTGCTTGTGTTAAATATTGACATTACGTCACACCTTGCCTCCCTTCAGAAGCAATAATAACATCAGTCAAGTATTAAATTCCGTATAGAATTCTGAGGACTTCTGACAAGTAATAAATTCCAAACAAAAGTTATTTAATTAGAATAAACTGTTGCGATTGTTCAAAAGATTTCTGCTTAGGCGGCGTGTCAGAAAAAACATGCAACCGTCCAGGTGATGAAAATGTTATTATTGTACAAAGGGTTAACTAAAAGAAAGTAAAACTAGGAGATGAAAATGATCCACTATGAAACTTGACAATAATATGTTCTCACTGCAAATGCATATTTACAGACATGATAAGGCCAGTGATCCGAACGGAATTTGTGCAGAGGGGACTAGTTCATTTTTCCTATCATAAAACTATAAACAGCATTATCAAAACTAAAACAAATACAGTTCCAGGTTAGTGCGCACATATATCAAAGATCTGAACAGCCCCACCACAGTTCTCCATACTTTTTATGCAAATAGCTGAAGATTTATCATATTATGCACCTGCTTTCAGCTCACACCACGGTATATGGCACCATGACGGAGATCATCCATATTGTCAATATTTCTGTAGCCATCAAATTCTCTTAGACATGTCCAACCTCGGCGTGCCAGAAAATCCCGGTAATCATCTTCGGTGTAAAATATCTTCTCTTCAGTATGCACAGGGATATGGTCAGACTCATCATAGAGGCATACTTTAATGGCCATTCCTGCAATGGTATAATTTAGTGTCACGGCAATCTTGCTCGTCCATTCCATGTAAAAGGACAGGAAGCAATCTTAACATGCAATACAGTTTATCCTCTGAATTTAAGGACAAAATCAACTGATGAACTTAGAACTACACTAAATGGCTAAAGCTCCTGGATAATAAAAGCAAAACTAAACAATTAAATACAATAACTAAAAGAATAAACTGAGCCTAACCTTCATCAAGGTGAAGAGTGTAATTTCCTATAGGCATGTCACGGTCAATACTTCTGATAATCTGGTCTTCATCCTCCAACCAAAATGCACGTTTAGTTCTCAATCTAAAAGCAGCTCTAATTGCTTCCTTGATGGCTTCTGGAGTGCCATCAATACCTATTCGTCTTGTATAATCACCCCATTTGACTGATATAACCCTTCCACAACATGACTGACTTTCCCCACCTGCCAAGATGGGAATAATAAGAAGCAGAAATAAGAATTAAGAAAACAACTAAGCTACAGGAAGGGAGAGGGGTAGTTCTTTTTGTTTCCATTTTTATTGGGGAACGGAACAATGAAATTTATTTTTCTGTTTTTCATGTTCTACAAAACTGCTTCCAAATATTAATATAGGCTGCTGCCACATATAATGTACATTTATCAAGACACAAAATGATTAACTTTCCTGTTCTCTGACATTTTCTCTTTCATTGGAGAGCAAGCACAGATCAAACTACGAAGCTTTACATAGCTTACCATTCCCAGGAGTCTCTCTCCAATTCCAAGGAGGGACTCCACTCGCTGCAACAGCATCAGCTGTGGTAATGGCAAGAGGATGTCCATCATGATCCAAACTTCTCTCAAGATTGAGTGTTGGTCTTCCACTAGCTAAATGCGAAGAATTTGAGAATTATGATAAACAAGAAGTAGCAAGTACTACCACGGAAAACATGAATGAATAATCATCTAAAAGAGATCATATATACATATATATATATATAAGTCCTTTTCAATAAACACTCCCCTGAATTGGTATAAACTTCATTTTCATTTCCAAAATGCTAAAAATAGTGGTAGTTGGTATTAAATACTGACTTTGGCCAGTAAAATGCTGCAAAATACTGACACTTGAATTTAGAAAAACTCATCAATGCTAGGCAATAAGCAGTATCCATATTTCCTCCTACTATATGATCAAATACTTATTTGTTTGTCCATAAACTTGACATTTTTCTCAAGAGAAACAGATAAATGATAAGAAATAAACAGCAAGAATTTTTTCATCCACTATATGTAGAAATAATTACCAGACCATACATAAAAAGAATGAGTTCTTAGTAAATACAATTTCATTATTTATGTCCCTCCTCTTCCCATCATTTATGAAAACCTTTCCCAGCATAAGAAACATCAGAACGCTAAAAGGTCATCTAAATTAGTAGTTTAATTTCCATGCAATGCATGAGTACATCAGCATGATTTTTCCTCACAGAAGTTTAAGACTGGAATGTAGTATATATATTACTACTTATCAGTCAGTACAACAATCTAGAACTAAACCAAAATGCCACATGCAATTAAAAACTCACATGATTCATGCGCTAAAAAATATGAAATAATCAAGGACACAAGTAAACAATAATGCAGAATAGAAAGTAGGAAGCCGACGGTTGTATTACAATGACATACCTTCAACTGGCCCAAAAGAGATGCTGGTATCATCGATACCTGTACAGCAACCTAATCAGTCAAATAACTGTTCCTAAAGATGAAATGAATGAAACTGTAACTTCACAGATATCCAAATTACTTGGGAATGACAACTGGGGAGGCTTTACTGAAGAGTGATAGTTTAACATTACAGGCGTTAAATTTCCCTTTAATTTTTTTGTGATTTAACTATCCTATGTCAAAAATATTACTAGAGATACAGAACATAGCCGCAAGCCCAAGATCAGCAGATATAGGTTGATGCTCACTACTGAAGGGTAGAATGCTATAATATAAACCAAGACATAAATGTGATTTCCAAGGAGACTTCCTAACGTTATACAGGACAACTGAAAGCTTCTTCCTTGCTCCTTCAAATTTGTGTATCCCAAAACAATGTAAAGAAGTGAAGGCTAAATGTATAAAAGAAAATCACTACACACCAGCAACTTTAACCAATATATATATATATATATTTACTTATTTATTTCAGGAAATTTGGAAAGTGTAGTCTATTTGGCAGTTATGACTATGGGAGTTAGGTTTTCTCAAGTTAGGTATTTCATCGTATGATGTGTGTGTTAGGTTCAACTTATTTTTGCTAGCTTTCTAAAATAGCTTTTCAAAGATATGCAATTATTTTCCTAGAATTTAAGCTATCACAAACATGCACTAAATGCATTTTGGAAGACAAGAAACAGAACCTAATATTCCTAAGCAAGAATGTTGGAACAAGATAACGAAGTACCCTCCATTTTCAGACCAAAACTGTCAGAAATTGAGAACTACAGACAGTTTGGTTTTTCCTAATGCCACTTACACAGACTCTTTTAAAAATTTGATAAAGCATCCACCTCAGATGTCAAGTTTTCCCACTTCCTGTCAAGCTTAGATGCAATATGCTAATAAATATTGGGCAATTTAGGTTGCATAACAAGCATAGTAACCTATAGAATTTAGGTTTGATTCCCACTTAGAGTAAAAGATTTGACTCCTAGACTAATTACCACAGAAGCCAAATTCTTTTTAAAGATGCACAGTATAATAAGATTCATTAACAGTATAAAAACCTTCACACCCTACACTGACATGTATATTTTATATTACACCCATCAAAGAGCTCAAATTGACCAAATCCAACATGGCAAGAAAATCAACTATGAGAGCAACCAATTGAACAAATCCCTAATACCTTTATCAGCAAACTGCATAAAAGAATCAACTTTAGGAGGAGGAGTAGGGCTCTTGTACTGCACACTCTTGCTCCTCTCTCTGAGGATCTCATCAATCTCTTTGTAATAAGACATCTTAGCAGAACCACTCCCTCCTCTATCTTGTTGCTTCGCCTTCTTAAACTCCTTCAACAAGTTCCTCCACTTATCAGTGCACATCGTTGGAGAACGATCGAAACCCTTTTCCCTCATCTTCGCCGAAATCTGTTCCCACAAGTGCTTGTTCGACTTAGAAGTGTTGAAGAGCGAATCCATCTCACGCCGAAGCCCAATGAGGCTTCGCGTCTCGTCTTGCACCCAAGTCTCGGCGCGTTTCTTCGGCGCCTTGATCTCCACCTCCGGGTCCTCGCCGCTGCTCTCGCCGAGGATCATCGGCGGCTGCTGGTGGTGCGGCGGCGGCGGCGGAAGCTCGCCGCTGGACACCACCTCGATTATCATGTCTCGTGCCCCTTCTTCCTTGTAGAAATCGATGGGACGAGGTTTCTCCGATAAATACATGGTTTGGTGTGTGGTTTTGGTGCTGAGGTAGTTTTTTGGGTTCAATTGAGGAAGACAAAGAGAGAGGGACGAGGATTGATGTTCGTTTAGCTGTGTGTTGTAATTGTAAATTTTGAGGATTTTGTTGGGTAAAAAATTGAAGTGTTTTTGATTTGGGAAACAGAGGGAGAAGGTAAGTTTAGGGGTTTGTGTTGTGTTTGTAAATATGTCAGCGTGAAGCAAAAGCTTTTGTGTGCGGTGGAAAGGGATGAGGTAGAGGTGGACCGTGGACGTGTCTGTTTCTCTTTTACAAAACTTCTTTTTTTTCTCCATTAACGATATTCAAAATTTCTTAACTTTAATCTTTAAAGCTTAAAATAATAACATTTTATCAAGTTTTATATACAAATATTTATTTTTTTAAAACATAAAAATGTAATAAATATTGTGTTTTTAATAAAGCTTTTAAAATGTTTAAACTTAATCTTAAAAGTTAAAATAAAAAATATATGTAAAATTAGATTGTGTTATTATTTCTTTTACGTGTTATAATCTTTTTATCAGAGATATTAATATCATATATTTTAGCAATATTTAGTTACAATTTTATTAGTAATTATAATTTATATCAATTTATTTTTTATTCAATAAATCTCAACTCCTAATTATATAACTTATAACCTATTTTAATTAATAAAAAAGTACAATGAAAATGTATATCAAAAAGTATACTGCCGTTATGATAATAATTATCTTTTTTATTTAGAAACATGTTTATGTTATATATATATATTAGAGAAATAAGAAATCCGTCATATTTTATTTTTTATAACTGTAAAACTGTATGAGAAATCATAATACTTTAAGAAACAGAAGCATAATTTGGCATAATTTTAACTTGTGCATCGTGTAATAAGTATACTATTTGGCTTTTTTTTATGTTATCTAAAATTTCCAGATGGTTTTATTTTAAGGAAACGAATAGAATAATTAGTCAAGTGCAGGTTTCGGATTCAAATTATGCTTCTCAAATGAATTCTTAATAAATGAAATAAATTGAATTTGAGTTTTTTTAATCATACAGGAAATGTATAATTTATTTTAAACAACTTGTTTCTTTAAAACATAAAAAAATTAATTGAGAGATATTCTACAGACTAAAAAAATATAAATGATGAAAATTATTAAATATACCAACTTCTAGTTATTTTCTTCTACGAATGTTTTTTTGAAAGTTTACCTAAACAAAAATTTCTCAGAGAATCATTATACTATATTTTTGATAAACTTTTCTTTTATTCTGAATTAAAATTAATAAACAGTCAACAGAAATTTTTTCTTAAGGGTATTTCAATATTTTCATTTTCGTTTTCAAAATAAACAAAATAAAGTTCATTCATGTCAAGAGTAAAAATAAAAAATGGTGATGGGATATTTATTTGTGTAACCCTGATAAGATTTAAAGCTAACAAGTTGATAATTGAATCCGCAGTGGCACATCCAATCATGACCCTATCCAAAACAAACCGACTATAATGCAAACCACTCATTTGTCAGCCTCCATTAAAAGGTTAATAACTTCTTTACCATTTACTTATCCACACCTTAATATATATGGAAAAACCTCGTTGACTTAGCCAATGGAATCCCCACTCCTTCCCATGTTTGACCTTCTATCTAACTTGTAGAGTCACTATTTGTTTGGTCATCAAGCCTTTCATTTAAACCTATATCTAAACACAAGTAGACAGGTCTAGCAAATGTTAAAAGCATGTGCTAGATAGACAAAGTTGTTGTCTTGCTTTGCAAGTCATACAAATTTTTACAAGGTAATTAAGGGGAATATTAAAAGCATTTTTTATTAATTGCTGAAAAATTATTAGCACTCAGCCATTCACAGTATCTTAGACCCTTGAGAAGGAATTGAACCCAAGTAATTTCATGTGTTCAATAAAGTATTTTAGTATAACTTCTTATATGTTTAAAACATTTTTATGGATTAAAATTAGAGTTTTACTTTGACAAAATATCCTTACTTAATGTTGTTGTGAGTTGCTGAAATGAAATTATAATTATAATTAAAAAAATATTAAAAACACTTAATAAATCACACATGAAATTTGTCTTCAGTAATAGCGTGTTAACTAGTAACTAATATGTTACATGTACTGAAATAGAGACAACTAGAGGTTAAATAGTTTACTTCAACCATGTAATCATATGTTTTTTCTTCTTCTTACTATCTTTTGTTGTTCTATTATAATTTTCTAATTGCTATTTCAATACATGCAGAAAAACATGTATTACTGTATTAGGCGTTTAAACTTAAGTTTACAAGAAGACTTAGTCAAAACGATATTATTAGTCAAGATAAAAAGAATATCCAAAAAGTATTATAGAATTATATAAAGTTACGTTACGTATCTGAGATGTAGCTATGCAATAAATTCTCTATCAAACGAAATTCAAGGTTTAATTTAGACATGCTATGTCCCAAATGAGCCCATCTAGCTTAACCACTTTTTACCAAAAATATTTTTTGATTCATTGGAAAGGAAAGGACCCACAAGAGTTATAAGTAGATGATGGGTATGAAAAAATCTCAAGTTGCTTGTGCAAATTTTTCTCTGATCCAAAATAACACCAAACGAAAAATGGATTCTGGCATGTCCTGGGCTGATCAATGGGACACCAACCCAGACCCTCATCCGGGATCAGAGAAAGACAAGAAGAAGAGCAAGGATGGGTCAAGTAAGAGCAGTTTTGGGAAGACTGTGATGAGCTTCAAATGGATCAAAGAACTTCGCAAGAAATCTAATAAGTGATGATGAAAACATCATCATTGGTACTTGTTGTTTGAGAAGCCTATGGCTCTCTGAATTTAAGAATGCAACAATGTAATTGACCTTGTTGAATTAAATAAAATTCACCTTCACCTTCCTTAGTTTGTTGTCAAGACATCAAAAATCATGCGCGTCTTTTAATTTATAAATTGTATTCAAACGTATGTTATACCAAAATGTCCACTATTGTTTCACAGTTAATTTTGTTTACCAGAAAACTTAAAGCCAAAACAACAGGCATGATTTTCTTGAACCACACACTTATTGATTCACGTTCTTAGTGGTATAAGAGTTAATTGATATCTCCTTTGCTGTAAAATTTTATCTAGTTCTCACAGTTTAATTATTATAACAAAATTTATAATTGTTAAAATTTAAAAGATATAAAGTTATTTTTATATTTTGTATATATTCGTTATTCTATGTATTTAAAATAAAATTTATATTTATTAAAATTAAAAATATTTAAAGTCGCTTTTATATATAATTAATAAATTTATATATTATTTTATATATCTATAACAAAATTTATAAATAAATTTACTATAAATTACATAAATTAAAAACTAATTAATAATAGCAAAAAAAATGAAAAATAATTAAATTTAATAATAATATTTTTTATAAATTATGAATTGAAATTATAATTGATTTATATTTATTATCTTTAAATTGTATTTAAATAAATTTTATTACAATTTATGATTGTTAAAAGTGATAATTCCTAAAAAAAATTACAAAAAATTTAAAAAATAATTGTCAAGTGTTAAAAAATAAAAAATATTAATTCAATTGAATGAAATTTTTTTATAATCGAACAAAAATATTTTTATAAAAATTTGTAAAAAAATTATTTTAAAAATTTAAAAATAAAAACAAATCTAATAAATTTGTTGAGTTACTTTTTAATTGAAAAATTTATACATTTACTTTAAGTTATATTTAAATTTGAATAATATTAATTTAAATTATTTTATTAATTAGTTTAATATAATTTTTATTTTAATATATATTTTAAACCTTAAAATATACTTTGAATTAATAATAAAACAACACTTACGCGATAAAAAAAATTATTACCAAATGTTAAAAATTAAAAAAAAATAATGAATTATTAAATTACCTTTGAATTAAAAAATTATATTTATTTAATATAATCTATATTTTAATATTTAAATTATATTAAATTAAAATTTATTGAAATTAATTATAATATTTTATATAACTTAAAAATTATAATTATAATTAATTCGTACCTATTAAAATAAATTCGTGCATTACACGAACATATATATTAGTTGAAATTAAAATTTACTTACTAATCTAATTAATATTTATTTATTTATAACTACTTTTGTGTAGGCTGCTGAGAATATTGATTAAACCTTTAAATTATCCTAAGATCCAATAAGAAGCTCACACCACAAAGATAGATATCAACCATACTTTTAACAATATCAATGTTGTTCTTTGTTGAAAAGTTAAAAATCCAACTTGCATGTCCTTCAGAAGCTCGGGATAGGAGTTTTGAAGAAGAAGAAAAAAAAGAAGAAGCTAGTTTACTGTATACATTCTAATTAAAAGTATGTTAACATTTTGTGCTTTTTGTAAAAAATGTTTAAACTTGAAAAAACATATTATAAGCTGTTTATTTATTTTTTGACATCAAAATAAAAGAAATTAAAATAAAAATTTAATTTAAAGTTATAAGAAAATAATTATTGAAAAAACATACAATATTTATTCTTAAAAATAAATTAATACCATTAATTTTTCTCTCTTTATCAAATCCCATAAATCTCTTAAATACTATTGACTGTTTTTGGGCAAAATAATCTTGGTTGGATAAGGGTAAATCTTTAAAAAAGGGCCCCAAGCCCATCAAGACAGCTCACGATGGGCCAATAGTGGGCTACCCAACTAAACCGCGACAGCTCCCCAAACTTCAGTACTTCACTCTCCTTGGTTAGTCTTGTAATGAATGGAGTCCATTCTATCAAAGTCAAAGCCTCATTATTCATATTTTATGAATTTCGAAATTCACAAGAAGTTCAATTACGTCATAATATTTTCCGCCCAAAACAAAATTTCCCTTCGCGCTCGTCAAGGGAGAAAGAAAACAGAACAGCTGGGAAAATGACGGAAACTGAAGGAAAGTGTGAGAAAATGGACAAACAGAAGAAAGGTGTAACTCTGCTAGCCTTCACCGGAGCTGCTGCAGTGCTCGCAATTGCCGCGAATCTTGCCATCACCGCTGTCAAGTACCACAAGGATAAAAATGTGAGGAAGAAGAAAGGTACTCCAGTACTCCTTCTTAAAGTGTTCAAATTTTCTCTTACCCTAAGCTTCTCTGCAATATGCTTGCTTAGTACTCAAACTGTTAAAAATCAAGATCGTTTCATTGAAACCACTTGGAAAACTTTTAGATCTTGCAGGTTCTAAGGTGCGTGTTAACCTATCTGCATCTGAGATTCTTAAGTTAGCAGATCAAATAATTGCTGAGTCAAACAAGGTCCATAATTCTGTTGCTTCCGTGCCTCTCGACAAGGTACTATCGATTCGCATCTGTGTGCTACACTGGTCTCATTGTCTGTTCTTGTCTTCAAAATAAGTTAGCATTTGTTTCGAAACGCATCGTTATTTTTTTCCTTTCATTGGCGAAGTTTTTTGAATTATGTCGTGAACAAATTTTGCTATTGGATCAAGGCGAAGGTGTGTCATTGTTTTTTCAAATCATATTGGACGTGTTATTGCTGTCTGTGTTTACCTTTGCTTGTGTTTATTTATTTGTTATGCGTTTTCTTCCCTTTTTCTTCCTTCTATGTACTGTTTCCTTAAGATGATTGTTTTATGTCGACAAAACTGCAGGTTACATATGCAAATGTTATATCACCTCTGGCAGAACTGCAATCACAGCAATTCCCTTTGATCCAATCTTGTGTGTTTCTGAAGCTGGTATCTACTCGTGGTGATGTACGTAAAGCAAGTGCAGAAGCAGAGCAAAGAATAGATGCTCATATTGATACCTGCAGGTTTGCTGCCATTTATTTAGTTTCTTACTCTATTTATGATTTCTTTATCATGCTGGTCATGTACTTTTGATGGTGCATAAATGCCCCACCAATGCATGGAATATAGGTTGGATGTAGTATTGCCTACTCTCACTGGTTTCAAAAAATTTGCTGGACTCAGACAATGAGGGCAGTGGATAATCTTACACTACCCTGGCATTAAACTTCAAGCATTGCTTGATAGTTTCATGGATATTGCTAGTTTGTCTTTTCCAGATCACACGTCTTTTCATTTCATCAATTATGAAACTGAATACTGTGTTGTTCCATGCAAGTGGATCAGAAAACGCGAAGATGTATATCTTGTTGTTAAAGCATTTGCAGTAAGGGGGGAGTGGATGAATGCTGAGGCCAAACGCTTTGTTCAAATTCTGGTAAGAACTAAAGAGTTGTCTGGATTGTACTTTTGCTTTAATTTTTTTATCAGGGCAGAGATTTGTCTGGAAAATTTATGACATCAATTTGTTATTGCTTGTATCATTCTATGTTTGAAATCATGAAATCCAGATTTGATTCTTTCCTAATCAGTGACAGGTTAGAGACTTTGAGCGAAATGGATTGAACCTCACAGCAAGCAAAAGAGAGGAGTTGGTGCGTCTGAGGGCTCAGATCGATGAATTAAGCTTTAGATATATTGAAAATCTCAATGATGAAAGCACATTTCTTCTCTTCAATGAGGCAGATTTAGCTGGATTACCTTCAGAGTTTCTCAAGGTTTAGTATAATTATTTTTCCCTCCAATTAAAAAGAATTTAGAGGTTAATAGTTTGTCTCTACACATGATTTATGATAGAAAATTATGGCATCACTTGATCCATGGAGCTAACCACATCTAGTAAAAAAAGACTTGACTGTTGTTGTATTCTTCCATCAATCAACATAACACATGTAGGCATGTTTATGAAATTTTTTCTTTCCCTTCCTAGTCAACTATTAAATGGTTGCTCTTAAAATATGAACTTTCAAATTTATATCTTATATTATTATTTTATTCTAAATCCTTTTTCTTCTGTTATTTGTTCAGACATAAATTTCATAATACTTGTCTCTGTGTCAAACACTTTTCTTTCTGGGTGAACTTGGAATGGATGTCTGTTCCTTGAACTATGAATTCCTAAGTGGTAGGTGGAAACATAACATGACTCTTTCACTGTGTTCGTGACTGGGACAAAATAGTGGAGCTGTGGAAGTAAGGGAAAGGGATGGGAGAAGGACAACTATATCACTCGTATGTATGTTTGGGAGTCTTATTCATAAAAGAAGGGGACATGGAGTAAACTGTTTCCTCAATTTTTCTCCAAGAGATGTATTTATTTCCCTCCAAATCACCCCCTTCCCACACTTGAAAAAAAACGTAAAATGATAATTTGATCTCCATTTACTTCCCCTTTATTTGGTCTCAAACAAAAAAAAATGTATTTCTCTAATTTTTTCCTTATTATATACATCCATTCAAGAAGATGAATACTGTCCTTCTCCTTCCTTTTGAAAACCATCCCCTCCCATTTCAGTCTATATAATCCCAAATCCAGCCTGGAAGTATGAAATCATGCGACTACAAAAAGAAGAATTCAAAGGAACAGTTATTTTAGAAATTGGAAAAAAGAAGAAGAACTATACACAATGTAGAATTTAAGATTAATATAATATTTAACTGATTGGACTATTAGATTGATCACATACTTACTCCAGATAAGCATAATATATTTACCTGATTTAACTCTAATCAGGCTTTCATTCATGGCATTTTTATGGAAGCTCATTACTGCTTTTGCATTGTCTCCTATTGTTAAACATTTATTTATTTATTTATTTTTATTTTCTGCTTGTTAAGTTATTGAAATAAATCCATTTCTCCACAGGGTTTAAATAAATCTGAAAATGGGAAATTGAAAATTTCCCTGAGAAGTC